AAATCAAATTGGTCAACCGACCACTTTCCCAAAGTTTGTGAAATAGGAAATATCATTATACATGAATACATCCAACGAGATAATATATTTAAATATAAAGCCGGTATATTCTAAGGAGGCAATTTCACGACATTCCATGAGCCGCATTTCATGGCGAGAAATTTTGGACACGCACAGGGGGGTTCTAATTTATTCTAACGAATAAATTGTTCTAATTTATTCTAACGAATCACAAGTGAAATACACACGATATATCACATTCTAAATACCCTAAAATGCGACAAAAAAGTTCGAATATGCCTTAAAACCATGGCAACAAGTCAAGGCTTGGTTGCCTAGCAAATATGGACGATGAAAAACAATTTCAGTTATTTTTTGAAGAGTTTTTTGGGGAAAAAGGTCAGTTTTTATGAAAATATAACGTTGAAATTTGCTGATTTTAAAGCTAAAAACCGCAAGAGATATATATTCTTCACATTTTTGCACTGATGGGTATTCAAAATCATCGCTCGGAGTTTAGAAAACCGATAGAACATTTTGGTTATCGTGACCCGATCGCGCGAAAATCTTACAAGTTCAACGGTCAAAACAACTTTCGACGCTATAAATGGTGTTTTTCTATACTTTAATAGCCGTTGGCTATTTCCTGCAAAACCGCAAGAAGTATTAACATCTAAATATCATCCATGATATCAAAATATCAAGTTTTACGTCTAAAAACAGAATCAGATAGAACATTTTCACATTTTTAAAACGTTTAGAGGTAAGGCCACATTTTTAATATAACACTAATAAAGCCGTGTGATTTCGCGTGGCCATATTGTTTCGAATCTCCCGAAGTCTGTGTATCTACCGCGCGTGCGTGTCCAAAATTTCTCGCCATGTTAATGATTATCGGCTTATTAACGTATACAGATTACACATCCAACTACTACTCACCAGCTCTACAAACGTGCAATGCCAAAAAAAGGCAAGTTAACAGCAATGGTTTCTTTTGGAATGTCTTTAAACTGATGTACAAAAGATCCCACAATAGGAAAATAGACCCCATCGAGCTATACACTTGGTTTTACTCCGAATCCATCGTGACAGAGATTTGTCCACTTTACATTTTCGCACCAGATTTCCAGATTTCTAAGACCAAAATTAAAGCATTTCCCTAAATTAAACCTCTATCGAGTACACTTGGCTTATTAGCTATGGTCAAGAAGTGTACTTGCACGTTATTTAAATGTCATTTTCAATAAAATCACGTAAAATTACACACATGTAATTATTACGCCATAATTAAAACATGGCTAGAAACGAAGAACAACATTGCTGGAAAAATATGTGCATAATGGACTTTTATCAAGCAAGTTGAAAATGGCGGCTTTACTCTGATTTAATAAAAAAATTCAACATTATGGATTTTTGTTACATCCCGTCAGGGGGTCCCACAAATTTGGCGACAATCTGAGTAGCGAAAATATGTCAACGAGATATATTAATTATAGACTAAGTTTTCTTACCTTGTATGAATACTTTGATTTGGCTTTGCTGGAATGGCACGGCTTTTTAGACGCTCGGATTGACTATCTTTTTTAGCAGCATTTGGAGCCTTAACGGCTACCCTAAAGCTATAACAAAACTGGTGCAGATTCATCAAAATTTAGTCCACCACACAATTTAATTTTCCGCCATTTTAAATTCGAAAATTTGGAGTTTGTGCGTGAAAACTCGGCTGATCGGCTGATCTCGATTTCTAGCCATGTTACAACATAATGTGGAAAAAAGCGATTTCATATTGACTGGTTTATTTGGCGGTTTTTAGCCCGCTGTGCCTGTGGCTGATGCTAAAGGGTAAATTCTGTGTTTACAAAAAAAAATTACCCAATTGCTGAAGGGTAAATTCTGTGGTATTCCTGAATGCATTGTTCAGCTTATAAAATTATTATGAACCTTTGTTGTTTGTTCTTTCGTGTGTAATTTCCTAACTTCCTAGCGGAATTAGTACGCTTCAAAATTTCACTAAATGTTCTAATTTATACAGTTAGCCGCCCAATTGAAGGAAATGTATTAGATTTGTCATGTGGTTCGCTTTCAAAACAGCATACACGAATATTATGCACCCTGCTAATAAAGCTTATGACCAGTTTTCCGTTTATCATCAAGAAGATTTCTACTAATTTTAGTTTACTGGAGTACCAACACAATCAATTGATTGTATTATTTCGTTGCACCCACAGAAATTTCGTTGTACGAGTCACTGATCTGGAAAATACTGGATTGCGCATCTGGTATAATGCATATAATTGAAGTTGTTTGAAGTTTGTTTCATTCACAGTACACATAATAGCATTAGACTGTTAGTTCATTATATGTTAAATTACGTTAATTATATACTGATTTTAAAATTGGCTAAATCAAATTATTAAGATTAGTGGCACTATACTAAAGCGACATGCCACCATGATAGCGGACTACTAATGTGATACGTCATCACTGCAAGAGCCTATATAATATAGATTTCACACTTTACGTGATTAAAAAATATCTTTGCTTGCACAACTTTGACTTAAAAGCATTATTCAACTCCTAGAGTGTGAAAGTCGTCTCTCACGTGAATCAGAACCCATATCCACGGAAAAACTACTTAAAGGTAAACAGTAAATTCGTACATCGTTTGCCGTCCTTTCTATATATGCCTAATTTTATTCTGTACCTTCGATTCTTGAATTGAACTATTTTAATTTCTATATTATATAATTTGTTATATTTGCACCACCAAATACTTTTAAAAACCCAAATCTTTGCTCATAGAATCTTTCAGAGTAAATAAATAAGAGTATATTTTTGTTAAATAATCGAATGCGGCAACAATTATATAATTATATCCAGTGCAACGTTAACGACAACAAATATCTTGAACCGCTAGACCTAACCCACTCAGTTTCCCGAGTGTACTAAGACTGAGGTTAAACCGTATAAAACAGTGTATCAAAACAGTATAATTTTTATACATTCAATTTTTGCTCCTGATTCATTGATTATAACAACGAAATTAATCATTTTTTCAAACGAAAGAATTAATAAGTATAACTTATATCCCTCATCAGAACTACCTAATAACAGGTTAACCTGAATGATATAATAATATTTTTTCAAGTTATTCGTTTTAAATTACTTTGGCAGGTTGATTATATTATACCAAGAATCATTGTAGCGGAAAATTATTCTGGGAGAATTCTCGAGAATATATTTATTAGAGTGGGTTTCAAATATATACTATAGCAACTAAATTCGATGTCTTCAGCCCCTAAGCTATTACTTGAAAAAGTGAATAAACTACAATATAAGAAGAAATACCAGCAAAATTCAGAATTGAATTCAGGAAACCAAACTCAAATAGAATTTTCGAAATAAATGCCAGATTTCTGAACTAAAGCCAAAGTCTAGAAAATTGATGCATTATATTCAAACATAAATCAAATCTGTAAAGCCCAATAATTATGAGCCAGAAAGTGAAATATTGCCACGTTGGTTAAACTATAAAAGGCCTCTGACAATATATAGTAGGTTATTAAAGGCAGACAGAAAATCGTAGTCTTCTACGAATTATTATATACTGACGGAATTTAGGGAATGTTGTCCATGAAAATTGAAGCATCAAGATGTGAACTAAGCTGGCGAGAACCTGAATAGCATTCACTTTGAAATAAATTATATATTGTTTGCCGTCTGCTTGCGCGGTTAGAGGAAAAATAAATAATTAAGATCTGATATAAGATCTTTAATATGTACATGCCAGTAATTACAAATTCCTCAGTATTGTAAAAACAAATATGTGTGGAGCCGCCATAGAGATATTTAAAGGCTTTGAAGATATCTAACATGTTAGTAAAGGATGTACTTACAGAGATTGAAGCGAAGCGATCGACCAAACTGTCTTAAAAATACAGAAGTTTCTTTGAATGTTTTCGAATTGTTGAGTATTGTAAACCAGGAATAAGACAGCATTGATTTGAATATGAATTAACTGCACTGCTTGATGTCTCAATAGCATACCAGAAGCAAAGAAACCCTTATATCAGTCTTTCGTTTAGATTGTGATCTTTGTTCGTTGTTTTTCGATAAAGTTCGATTGTAAAGCGGTCACCTTAATATAATGACGTATAGTATTTCTCAAGATGACGCTGGAACCCATTCACACACGTTAAAGTTTCCCCATTAAGTAGCTGTAAAAAGCTAAACTTTTATTGTTATAATTATATAGAGATCCATTCGACCATGCATAGCTTAATTATTTATTATTTATTATACACCCCCACACTCTTGACTCTTCCTACTCTCGTCAATGTTGCCCTCGTTTATTATTCGTGAGAGTAATTTTTCTGTCACTTTCTATACGACATTTTTTCATTAATAATAATAGATTATCCATACAGTAGTAACCGATCTTCTACCTTAAGGATTAACCCACCCTGTTAAATTTAAAGGTATAGGTTGCTAAGCGGCAGCTGTCTCCTGCTGAGCTTTTTCTTGAACACCTAGAAAAATGTTATAGGAAAACCAAAACTTGGAAAACGGCTTCCCGCTAACATTTCAGAAATACTCGTAAATCGAATATAGAGTAATATAGAGTAAAATGTATATATAGGTCGAAAACTGGAGAGTCTTTCCGGATTATATATTTCAAGTAATATATTCAGGAAATATGCAGGGAAAACTATTTCGGGTAACATACCAAAATTAGTGCTTTCTTTGCAAATTTCAAACGTTTCGTCTTTAGGCGTCAAATTCGTTAGCTTGGGTATCGCATTCTTCAAAATATCCTCGCCTGTAGAATTGAACCGAAGCTGTGCTTCCATCGACACAAAAAGTTGAGCAATGGCGTTTATGCGGGTTTTTCCTTAAGCTTTTACCACCATCTTGCTTTTGCCACCAAGCCTCGTTTTGATGCAAAATATTATTTTTACGCCAAAATATTATTTTTACGAAAGACAACAACACAAGGGAGAAAGTGCTAAGAAGCTCCACAGAGCTTTACCGGTTGCGACATCTGTTAGATCTTCTATAACAACCGCATGACTTGAGTGCAACAAAGGAAAACAACTATTATCAATATGGACGTTCCTGTCATGACAATGCCAATGAAATCTCGCGTGGATAATCTTTTCCTTTTCTGCTTGCTTCCTTAAATAGTTATAAAAAACACTTAATTACATAACGGCGGTGGTGAACAATCACGAGATGCTACAAATTGTACGCACTATTTAGTTATAAAGAAACAAAAGAGGCGCAAAAAGGAACTTCTCATGCAACAAGGTTGGGTTCGACGACTCTTACACCTGGGATTGAATGTGTCGAGCAATTTAATAGCTTCGGAAGAGCTAATAACTATATATGAAGCGTAAAATGACGTTAAAAAGCAAACAGGCTTTAAAAGACAGCTGTTTCTATTCGTAACCTTATTAAATAGTCGGTTTAAATAGTTCACCGATACCATGCTATTATCAAGATAAAAATTTGAATAACATAAACCTACCACTAGGAACTGATGAGGCATTGGCAGATGGCAAAACTAAAATAGTAAACCATAATAAAATTTTCTTCCGTGCCGACTTAACTCCAATTTCGAGTGAATATGTCATAATACATATCATAATCTGTTGAATTTTATACCTGGAATATTCGTCCTTGTTGTCATCATCGCGTACGTAGGTGGAGCTAAACAATGTAAAAATGTATGAATTGAAAATTACGTGAATTCCGCATTGAAAAATCGCATCACCAGTACATAAGTACAGCAGTTAAAATGTTTAAGGTTATAGAATAATATTATCGTACAATTACTTATATATTTATATTATATGTATAATTACAAAATTCTCAGCCTCTATCTGATCTGCTAATAGTCCTGTCAAGTCCAACGAATGATGCAACAGCGCGGGATACGAATCTCTTCATGCACACAGACACAGTGATAAATACAGCCGATTTTCCCTTCATTAAGATTTAAACAATACTGAATTACGCCTATTGCATATTTAATAATGCGCTTCTAATTTCAATAACAACAATAACATGTCAATTGGGTGTATTGGTAGTTCAATAAAACAATGATTTAATTTATGCCATCTTTTAACGTTCAAATGTACGAGTCAAAATAATAATAGCATGTATAGGGAAGAATCATTGTGCGATACGAATAACAGTAAGGAACGCTCACTCCGTCGGAAGTTTGAAGCCAAGAGGGCGGACACTGAAGCCTTTCTTGTAGGTATGATCCCGGCCTTCGGCGCGGATATTTCGTAGGTAAAATGGCTACAATTATGATTTTTCTTTGAAATTTCCTGCACCAGAGGCCTGAATCATACCTACAAAAAAGGCTTCATTATCCACCATCTTGGCTACACTAATAATGAGGGAAAGTCAGAGAGTGAGCGTTCCAGTCTTTTTTGAGTTCACTGTTTTTATCACAGCATACCATACGGCTGAGGGAAGAAAACGTAGAATTACACAGGAAGACAGAGAACGTCTGGTGAGGGCTTTTCAGGACCCCGACCAGGACTATCCTGTCGTTGCTAATTCTCGACGAGAATCCTATGCTAACTTTGGAAAGTATCAATGCAAAATTAAGAGAACGACTCCCGGACCATCCAGCTCACGTGCAAGCAGTAGCTAAACATTTAGAAGGAATGTTGTATACCCTTAAGATAGCACATAAAGTTCCAGCCGAGCGTAATCGAGCTGATGTTATTCAACGCTGGGATAACTATGCTCACTGGTTCTTGGAGATAGCAAACCAAATTCCCGTTCTTATTGACGGGTGTGGGTTTACCATATGGACATCACGGAGCCAGGGGCATTCGCAACAAGGCGACAGAGCTTACCGCGTGTGGGCTATATGTCCGGCGTTCGTGCTGATCAATCAGAAGACTCAATTGGGAGCCATCACAGGGGAACGTTTCAACGAGTTTCTGGTGAACACAGCTGCGAAGTTGGATGAAAACGAAACATACTACGTTTTTTCGATGTCGAAATTAAGATTTTGCCACCTTACTTAATTTCCATTCTCGAATCCAGTTGAACAATTAAGCTATCAATTGTTTGAAAGCTAATATCAAGGGTGACATCACACGTCCTCGGTCCCAGCACGAGATTAACAACCGAAATGCTGCCCGAATGCCAATATTTCACTGAGAGAATATAGCAAGCCTATTTTCATAGAAGTTGCTGAGAGGAACATGCCTTGCGTTACCGTCGAAAAGTATGCTGCCTGGTTTCGATTGATGCAACTACCACGATGCCTGATGAGAGAAAATATTCAAGGATGATTACATCAACTATTTGTTTAGGTCTTGCAAAAACTTTGTCATTGCAGTGCGCTGTCGTTATTTAATTGATCTATGGGTTATTCGTATCGCACTAATGGTTCTTCCTTACATGCTATTGTTATTTGACTCGCACATTTGAACTTTAAAAGATAGCGTAAATTAAATCGTTGTTTTATTGAACTTCCATTATGCCAAGTTGATATTTCATTGCTGTTATTGAAATCAGAAGCAAACTATTAAGTATGCAATAAGCGTAATTCAGTATTGTTTTTCCCCTAATGAAGGGCAAATGCTGTATAAGTTACATTTGAAAAACGTTTCAGTGATTTTAATCTACTGAATGCAAAAATGAGTAGGATATTTTGTTGTATCCTTTTGTTCCTGCTTGTGAATTTTTACGCTAAAAACAAAGGATTTCTTGCACAATAAAGTCTCGTAAGGTTTACGCAACATATTAAAAGTAAAATTAAATTTAAAAAGATAATCGTCTAATCATCTTGTTTGCATTAACTATACTTAATGCAATATTCCTCAGTTTAAAAATAGAAATACGGAACTCGTTGCATATACAAACGGCGCGGTTGCTTAGCTGAATAGTGTGATTTTTTTTCATTTTACGAATGTCTTTTAAAGACTTTACCGAGTTCTTTTGGAATAGAGGGGAGTGTTTATTCGCTAATCTAACCTTGATTTGGAATTCCAAAGTCTGCAATTATTGCTTTCAGCAGACAAACAGCCGTAATTAGCATCAACTTTCCGGAAGTCATCACGCGTCTTCTATCAACAAAAATCGAATAGACAAATTTTCCAATATTAGGCTCGTCTTTTGGAGCAGGCAACATCCTCTGTCTTATGTGAATTATAACGTAGATCGGCATAGAAAATGTCACAAACACCGAAACCCAGGGAAAACCACTCTTTGAAAGGGCACACAGCATGACCCAGTTCTACGTGGCAGAATTTATGTTTGTCTGAGACGAAAGCTTCTGTTAAATTAAAATTATAAAATTATAAAAAATTAATTTCACCTTTTAGATGATAACCGCAAACAGGCATAGAGTTTTTGCGCAGGTAACAACACGAATAACAGCTTTCAGAGGTATATATCGTAGGTAAAGTTTAACTTGAACGAATTCAGCAGAATGTATGGCAACTTTGGTACTCGAGTTTCGTTATTTCCATATTATATAATTTTTATAAGCTTTGCCGTATGCTTCCGCATTGTCATACGCTATACTTTACGCACACTCGGAATAATTTCTTCAGAGCATTAGATTGATTGGAATTAATAATGCAGACTAGCTACGCTTACCCTTCTAACCATCACAGTCAACAATGTCTGCATATAATTATGTACATTTAGCGCATTGGTACAAACCTGCAAGGCAGAATTATATAATTATAGACTTCATTGCCCAATTTAGCAATAATAAAATCTCGTAATATAGCTAGAATAACAATTGCGAAACTTTCTGGCTTTTGACTTTGTGAATTGAAAACAATATGTGATACACCATCAACTGAATTTGCCTGCATGTGTATCGAAATAAATACTTACAGTACTATACTGTACATCGCTACTGTTGCCACATCCTAAAAGCAAGCGTTATGAGTAAAAAAGAATAATCACTGACATGCACTGTGCTTAAAATCTAACGAGAATGACATGCATTCATTTATATCACATGGAGTAATATCAAGCCAGTTTGTGTAATACAGCCTAGGAATATACTTGCTATAGTGATTCACGTACCTCACTTACTCATTGAGGTATATGACTGTTTTTCCATTCATTACAGGTTATGTCATTAAGACAGGTTGTAATGAAGGTTGCCACGCCAAGCGACTATGTATTCTTAGCTGAGGCTAGAGCTTCGCTTTTGAAAATGGTAATTTGCTTGATCATTCAAATGATTCAAGCCGTGGAGTCCTCTATAATCACAAGTTTGAGACAATTACTATATAATTAATTTCCAATGGGACTGTGTGGGCGTTTTACCTAGTATCGTATTCTGATTTCAGAACAACATTTAGTGTCACGCTGGTACTTTGTTGGTGAAGTTTAAAAATATATCTCGAGCGGTATGGTCGTACTATATGATTAAAATAAGTCTCACATGATATTAACGTTCTAACGGATCCTAAGGCTCACATCAGTACGATAGCACACCAGCTCTTACACTATATTTTGCCCGCTGCCGATCAGTAGGGATGGAGACGGTAAATGTGGGGATCATTAATGAATTTACCTTTACCCCAAACACCAATTCAACGACCAAAACGGGTGTGAAAAGAACTGTGCTTAATCCTGCAAAACAAACTAACAAAAAAAACAAACCCATGCATGCAGCGAGATTAATAAGACGCTTCTCCCGTAGAGTTCACAACATCGCGTGAAGTCGTTAGGGAAAAGGGAGGGATGGGTCACGCAAGCAACTAACAACTCGATCAGGCAAACTGGGCTCATATTTATACTCAACGGAGGGGGCAAGTAACCGACCGGACCAGCGTCCTAAGACCCGAGACACTACGATACGAAGACCCGTATAACATTAACTTCTTTTATTATTTAATAATAAATACATATATACTGAACTATATACAATAAAACAAAATATTCGTGCTTCCATGACGAAGAACTGAAAAAACAATGTAAGAACTATGAGACTTTCTGTGTTATTTGGCATCTGATGTAATTCATAAACGCAATTGTTTGGATAAGCGAATAATCGAAACCGTTATAACATAATTGTTATGCCTTGCTGTAGGTCGTACTTACAGCTAGAGTATTAAACGTGGAGTATGACCAAACCTACCTATTTCTTTTGTAGATGGTTTGTTGCGAGATCAAAGCAATATAATTTAGATGACATAATGCTCATCGAATTAAATAATCATTAAATCATGTTAATTTCATTCCTTGAGTTGAGATGTTTAATAACGTTCAAAAGCGGATGTTACTGAAGCATTTAAAACCGAAACATTATTTTACTATGGATTTTCATCGCAGTTCAGCATTTTCCGAGATTAAAAGTCCCTGGTGTCATCCCAGCCATACTACGGCATGAATACAGGCTTCAAATTGTATAACGAAAGTTGTCAATTGATTTCATTGTAAGGCATTAGACACTCGCTATAATTTCGTCTCGTCGTATAGCGATTGGCCGATTGCCTCAATTCCTAAGGATTTAATTCGTGTATTTAGGATTTAATGAACATGTAATTATCACTGCGAAGGCGGCCTTGGATTCTGTTAGTGGATTCTATAGCCCATATCCTATAGGCAGTCTGATTTGATTTGAGTTTTTATGATTTATTCATATAAATATACATTGATACAGGAAAAACAAAGTTCACATCAAATAGTACAAAACATTTCTATTCTTCTGGCACATACTAAAGTTTTGTTTACAATGAATAAATAATGTTTTTCTCATTATATTATACTCTGTTATATAGCTGGCACTCTACACTTGCAAGCACATGGATGAAATGACGAAAACAGTGTTGTTATAAATAATGGGGACATATTCATGTATTGATTTTTCACTCTACGTAAAAATATATAATCGATTTCAAAATAAAAATATACATAGAATGATTTAGAGAAGGTATGAATATATGTCGCCCCTCTAAATAAGACGTTTATGATTTACGATTTACGGCGGGACCTGCTCGACGACACGCATGCGAAAGCAAAAAATACCACATACAATGAAAGACAAAAGAGTGTGTACAATTTGTGGTCTTAATGTATTATTATGTGGCTACTAATATGTGGCTTAGGCCGTCAAGCTGACTACGCCGTAGATCGGAAGCTAACGTATTCTAAAATATTTTACAACCATTTTTCGTAAAATAAAATACGTGTGTGGGGAGCGGTACGCCTGATTGTGGTTGAAATATAACCTTTTTGCCCGTTAAAGTCCCAAAGAAGACAAGCCGCTATCATTTGTTTCTAACCTAAAGGTGGTCTTACACAAATTTTTTTTCTCTTATTTGAAAAATATAAAAACTTTTTCATGCCATGTTGCAAGCCAAGTTGCTCTGAGTGAAAAATAGGTTTTAACGCTAACACGACGGAATTGATTTTATTTAGTTCTTAAGTTTTTTGCCTCGGAGCTGAGCCTCGGAGTGAATTAAACTCTTCCAGTATTAAACGTTTTACAGGCTATAAATATAAAACTTCTACGATCTATCTCAAATAAACATGCAGTCATTATTTTACTTACAATGAAGGAAATACAACACTTTTAGGTTCACGTCCGAACCAGTTTCTTTTAAAGTCAACCATGAGACTTTTTATCAAAATAGCTTTATTACTTTTTGAGTTATCTTTTCCCAAAATAAGGGGGATGAGAATTTTAGTTTCCTAAGAAAAGCGAGGAAAAAAGTTTTGCATATATTCATTAATGTTATAGAGAACAGTTCAATAGAACAATGAAACAATAGAATAAGCCAATCGACCCCTTTTGTTTGCTCGGGGTAAAACCGTTCTTTATATATTTTTTGGAGAAAAAATATTCAGGATCGATTAAGGAGACATTTAAGTTTAAAAAAAAATAAATCGTGATTTTTGTGTATAAGACCAAATTAGTAACAACCATGGTACATTTAATATTTTAAGATAGTCTGCTGGTCTTCTTTGGCATTCGTGGCGTAATTAGAACGATAATTGGGGTGAGGGGATATTCATATATCCAGTTCTGCAATAGCTTACTACAGAAATCCGTCGGGCAGAACTGAAAATATGATTATTCACATTTATCGTTCTAGTTACGCGCCTGTTTGGCATGCAAAGCCATGCGTGAAATTGCCGATCCAGGGCAAGTCAGAATGAATTACTACAACAGCTCTAACGTGCATTAGTATACACCCGACTCTTGTCTATTAAAAATCCTACATTCTGATTGGCTACTCAACCATTGTCTATTCGTGATGGTGCACGTTTGGGAAAAATCAAAACAAACATGAAAAAATATGGCAGTAAACTCTCGTTTTGCCGAGGTTTCTGAGGAATTTTTAGAGAGTTTGATCGAGAATTCTGTCCCTGCAAAAACTAAACAGGCTACAAAATATTGCATGAAAATTTTCAATGGTAAGGAACGAAATAGAAAACTGTATTTTATTAATAAATCTGCTTTTATTCGGCGCTCACGAGTGGTTAAATAGGCCTAAATTCACAACATTTTCGTCAATTTGCACTATAAAAACTGTATTTTTAGAATGGTTTGCCGCACAGTCTAAATTCACTACACCAATGGAACAAATGGCCAAAGACGAGCTTTGTCAGTGCCTCCAAATATTTTATGCCGCTGCAAGACAAAGAGACGGTAGCGAATTTAAAGTTACTACGCTTCGCAATATACGTTCAGCGATTGACAGGCATTTAAAACAAGCACCAAACAACAAGCCTTGGTCGATAATTGCTGACCCTGCATTTGAGAAAGCCAACAAAACCCTGAATGCTATTTGTAAGAAACAGACGAGGGAAGGAAAAGTCGGAGCAATTGTCCACAAAGCTGCAATCACGCCAGAACAACTGGAAAAATTGTATGAAAGTGGCCAGCTTGGCAACAGCGACTCGCAAAATCCTCGTCAGCTCATGCAAACAGCTTGGTTTTATATTACCCTCTATTTTGGTAAACGAGGCCGAGAAAATCTAGGAAAACTTACCAAACAAATGCTGGTCCTTCGCTCAACAACACAAGGACGCCGATACTTCCGTCGCGAAGCGTTAATTTCAACAAAAAACCACCAAGGCGGTCTGAACGACAACATCGACGAAGCTGACGGCAAAATGTTTGAAGTTCCCAATTCACCTCGTTGTCCAGTTAAAACCGTTGAAAACCTAATGAAGCACCTTAATCCAAATCACGACGCTTTGTTTCAACGGCCAAGAGAAATTTGTGCCAAGTTTCATGTAGACAGTGATGAGGTTTGGTTCTGTAATTCTCCCCTTGGTATAAACACGCTCGTGAATCTACTCAAGACAATGTCGAAAGCCGCCGGGATAGTCCCCCACCTAACAAATCATTGCATTCGAGCTACGTCTGTCACAGTTTTGTCCGACCACAATATAGAGGCAAGACACATCAAAGCCGTTACTGGTCACAAATCTGACTTCTCCATTCAGTCGTACAGCGCGAGAGCATCTTTCGAACAAAAGGAAAACATGTCGAATATCCTAAGTCGCTTCGTCTCGGGCGAGAGTAATCCTTCCATTCAGTCTAGCCACTGCAGCTCTACTTACAGCAAGTCAGACCTTATGCAAACATCATCCTCAAATTCGACGTCTTTAGCACCTGAAATGACTGATCGAGCTAGTCCTGATGTCCAGTTTCGCATAGAAAACCAAGCCACAAATATCCAGATGCAAGCTCCACAATCGTTCAATTTCCATGGCTGCACAGTGTCAATCTTTAACAACAACTACACCAGACAAGAATGATCGTTCCCACTTTCCCGTTGAACTTTTCTTCCCTTGGTAGTTGTTTCTTTTATAACATTTAAGAAGAAATCTTACTTACGAACGTTTTTTGGGCATCTTAAAACCAAACTGTTTGCTTGTGACCGTTGATCTCGCGTGTATTATACGTATTGTTTACATGTCATTTTATGTCGCGTGAGTGACGTTCGCGCGACCGTATAAAATTAAATTAATTAAATTATTTTTCGGTGTAATTGTGGTGTATCGATTATTTTCTCGAATTTAATATATCTAGGTACAGGGTGTATACTAAAACAATTAGACAACTCGCCTTCGTTGTCCATGAACGAATAGTCAACTCAGGCTTCGCCTTCGTTGACTATTCGCTCATAGACAACTCGGACTCGTTGTCTAATTGTTAAATAGTATCATATTGCTAGATTTTTAAGTAAAAATATTATTTGGAAATAATAACTATAGTAGTTGTCATGCATACAAGTATTTGGAATTGAAATCCGCCACAGCGAGCGCTGATACATGGTCCGCAGGATTTTTATTCCGTGTTGATTTTAAAGCCTTTTCGTACGAACCAATTTTTTACTCTCGCACTGTTTTGATAACAATAGGCTGCTAATCCAATTAAAACCAGCACTATCATAATTGCCACGATTATGCCAGCAATAGCACCCGCAGATGATTGTTTCACTTTTCTCCCATTTCCTTATATAAATTGTAAGAAACAAAGTTTAAAACAAAACTTCAATATATCCAGATTTATCACAATAATAATGTAACAGTGTTAGAATAACATTGTGGGTCAGCTGTGACATACGTCAATGGGTGGGAAACATGTCACAATTGCAACAAGACGGTGGACGGCCTGAGAGCACGATTATGTATACTTTAACTTTCTTTTATATGTTTGTACTGTATGTTTACCGTCATCCGTCAATTAAAAATCGGGCGTTTACGGTCTACGACGCGGTTAACTCGATGTTGCTTGTCGAATATTTTGCTTAAAATAAGCTACAGTAAACTACTCAACTAATTCAAGCTGCCATGAATGAAACGTTTCAATTGTGTCAAGATCCTATGATATCTAGCTGATATTGCAGTTTCATATCATTTAAGTTACGAAACAGCTATCACGTTGCAGCTGCTTTCATGTCATCAAGAGGCCGTGAAAATGCCCGTTTGAAGGCGTAGCAAGAGTGGCAATGCTCTAGTGGGACCACAAGTTATGTCTCGCGTGTCGTTTTTCGTTGTTTTGCAAGCGCGCCGTCGAGCTCGCCGCCTCGTGAATCGTAAACTCCCTACTAAACTGCTATAAGCCTGTTCAAAGCGACGCAACATTATTGACAGTACATGCACCATCCAAAATTTTTCTTAAAATCTTTTGTGCTATTTTGATCCCAGTTTTTTAAGGCTTTCAACTAGGATAAATCTTTTACAATATACATAAAAAGATTTCAAAAAAATCATAATCATAACGAGACGTAGCATTGTCGCATGATGTTGGGTAAGATTATTTTGTTGTGTTCGTCTGAACAGGCCAAAACAGTTTTTTAAAAAGCTAGCCTAAAATTTCGTAAATTGAGTATGAAGCCAATATAGCGAATTTTTTTAAAATGACAACTAATTTTATATACTATAAAGGATGAAAACTTACCACCAGGTATAGATTTCGTATTGTTAAATACAAAAGCTGAAAATATTAAATATGATTATCAGTTTTATATCAATGACAATAGGCCAGGGTGTATCAGTGGGTAGCAAGCCTGACGTCAAATTTAGTCGCGCGTGAAAATTTTACCTCTATCATATTTTTCCACTGAGCTATATAATAATTCCTGGAGGACCGGCTCCTGATCAGAAAGTGAAGCAACAAACATGGCGGATTTTGAGCTTTGTGACGTCACCTGGTCCCCTTTGCCCATGGTAATTACCACTGACATACCGCGATACAAAGTGAAAAACTATGTGTCTCCCTCCTGGTTTTTACGAAAATATTTTTGATTTTAGGTATATATTTTTTTCGTATTTCCTCTAAAAAAGATAAAATTGTTTATCTTTTTCCCTGTTCGACAAAGTAAATGGAGAAGCGGCTTCTTGCTCTACATATGACGTTGTGAATAGCTTAATTCACTTATCGGGAAAGCTATTTTTGCCTCAGGTGGGCCAGTTTTCAAATTATTGTCTTTTTTGAACTTTTCGGACTATAGTATAAACAACTGCAAAAGCGTCAACGATAAAAAGTTATATGCTTTTATTAGCCTTTTTGACCTTTGGTACGTGACTAAATTACGATAGGATTCATAGGAAAACTTTTTTGTGTCAGGCGAAATTTGTCAATAGTTAATGTTTTTAATTCTGAGGTGCTGACAGCTGATACAAAATATTTCACTCTAAGATTCAACCTCTTGTAGACTTGAAGTGGCTGTTAAAGGTCTAATATGTTATCTTGTTTGCCTTGTCAAAAGTCAATTTATCATGGTTTTAATGGACTTCTTGCACCTTGTTTATAATCAATCTACATTTAATTTGCTCTTAATGTTGATTAATATTATTGTTATTCTCTCTGGGTGCAGAGTACTGTATATATTGAGTACAGTTAATCTTAAAAAGATCTCCATTTTTCAGGATGAAGATGCTATAGAATTTAACAAGAGATGGCTTGTTATGCAAATTACTGGAACATTGTACAGATCATTTTACTATATAGACTTGTTGGCTGTTGTCTGTTGTTGGCTGACATTTTTTTACAATGGTTTTTCAGATTAAAAATAATAAATAAATGCATAAAAACATACATTAATTGAGCAGTGTGTCTTCAATCTGCAACAACTTTTATAATTTCCTGGACAATGCATTTCCCCTCCCCCCACACCATTAAAGGGCTAAAATTATTGGGCTAATCAGGGTTTTTGGATAATAGACTGACTATAATGGAGGGGTGAACAAGCACAGTTGCATTTTTGTGAATTCATTAGGCTATTATATTTGTACTACTCCTGCAGTGCTATTAGGTAGCTATAATTTCATATCAAATACAAATCATCAATGACTTTTCTTAGGTCACACAGGGACACCTTTACAGGTTTAAACTAAGGTGCATTACAAAAAGCGTATACATTGTCTGTAGCTCATTGAGGAACAAGGTGTGACCTAAATAAATATATGCCATGTATATATCACTTCTGGTTATATATAACTATTGTAACCCCCACTCAGTACAATTGCTAATCAGCTGCCCAATATCTTGCATGAGCTTAGTCCTTGTTTCTTTGGATTTAATGCACAGACATGGACACAGGACAACATAACTGGATAAACTGGATACTTTCTGTAATCTTTTACTTCAGGGTTTAAAAAAAGTCAGATTGGTATCCATAAAAGACACTAAAAAATTATGACAATGCCAAAAAAACTCAAGCATTTCTAAAATTTTACACAGTAATGTATATTGAAATTGAAAACAAAGAAAAGAGAAAAAACCTGTCCATATCATTGTAAAATTTTCGACTTTCGTCCGCGTATTAAATATTTTTTTATGTTCGCCCAATATTTGTTTGTTTCGGCATTTGCAAAAACAGTACCTATGACTTGTACGTAACCGAAATAAACGCTTTATTACGGGTTAGGTAAAAAATAAATCGAAAAAACAGAACGACAAGGTTTCACGGCAGTCGGAAGTAACAAAATATTCATAAAAACCAGGGGGGGATCTACTGTAGCGGGCTCGGAATTGAGCCTGGTCAGTGGTAATTACCATGGGCAAAGGGGACCAGGTGACGTCAAAATGACGTCACAGAGGCCAAAATCCGCCATGTTTTTTGCTTCACTTTTCGAGCAAAAAACATTAGGAGCCTGTCCTCCAAGAATTATTATATAGCTCAGTGTATTTTTCCCTTTTTTATATGATTGCCTTCAGAGTAATCGAATTCAGAAAAATTAGCATGGTGTGACTAAATCCCCAGCCTGGCTACGCCACTGTATTTTTAGTTCAACTCATCTTAAACAATTAGTATAGTCGAAGGCGAGGTGACTCAATAATTGTAATCATTTAAAATCAATGTTGTTCCTGCAATGTGATTTGCTCTTAGCAGAGTGTATCAACCACACATCAGGTTGATTTCAAATTGCTGACGCCATGCAGAATTAAAATCACTCTCTGCATGTGAGACAACAACCAATCGGTTAAATAAGCAAATTATTTGCAAGCGTTTAACTAGAACGATGATTGGGGGGGGGAAGGTGTACATTAATATATTCAGTTCCACCTGACAGATTTCTTTTGTAAGTGCAATAGCTTATATTAGTATTCACCCGACTATGGTCTATTACAAATCCTACTTTCTGATTGGCTACTCAACCATTGTCTATTCGTGATGGTGAAAGTTTGGGAAAAATTCGCTCCCGCCACCAATAAAATTGAATTAATTAAATTATTTTTGGGTGTAATTGCGGTGTACCAATTATTTTCTCGAAATCAATAGATCTAGGTACATGGTGCATGTGTACTAAAACAATTAGACAACTCGCCTTCGTTGATTATTCGCTCATAGACAACTCGGACTCGTTGTGTAATTGTTAAATAGAAACCCGTCGGGCAGAACTGAGTATTTGAATAAACATACACCCCCCCCCTGGTATCGTTCTACCTAACGAACAACAAGCTTGAATTGTGTCAAAATAAAACCGAAAGAAAAGTGGTCGAATCGCGTAAAAGTGATAACACCATATGTCTCGGATTATATGACAAATCATATCTTAAAACACATATTACCAAACAAGCTTTTTTAAACAGGGTTATGATTATCATGCGATTTTAAATTGTAGAATAAATTGCTCTACAGAGTGCCACCCCCTAAATTGAACTGGCATAAAATATCATAGATATTCACTTTATCAACTTTTGGTCTTTCAGCGTAAATTATTTCAGCGTAACTATTATCTATATCATCACGATTTTCATATAAAATAACGTACGAGCAATAAACAATTGGTTGGGATACCTGGGGTGCTTGTAATCGTCGTCATTGACGTCTTCGTAGCTGAAACTAAACAAAAACAATGTAAACTGGAGAAATATTACAAACCACATTACGCATTCCACATTTTGTGACTTCCCTATGCTAAACATGAATGCTCATTGCAGTTATCCAAGATACGCCTGGACCTAATAGACCATTTGCATTATAGACTGCTTTTTGATGTATGCAAGATAATTCAATCAAATCACCACAGCTGAAAAGCACATACGTTTGTTTAACGCACGGAAATTGTTACCTGCACATTTGGGCCCAAACTGGTAACATTAGCCTGAAAAAAAGTAATTTTTTGCAAATTTTGGAAGGCTATATTTTCCGCAATCTAAAACAACTTTTCATTCTTGTTAATTTTTCTCTTTTCAGCTGCGGTGATTTGATTGGATTGTCTTCCATAGATCAAGAAGTAATCTATAATGGTCCTATTGATTGGAAGTAGTCCTATTGATTAAGGATTAAAGAACTTTGTGAGTGCATTATCGGGTTTTACATGCACGAGTTCACGAACAAGGAAGGAGAAATTCAATACTGCACTAGGCGAAGCCGAGTGCAGTATTGAACCTTGAGTTCCTTGTTTGTGAACGAGTGCATGTAAAACCCGATAATGCACAAACAAAGAGTGCTTTAATGCTTTTAATACTCATTTTGAGAAAACTCGGAAAGACTCTATATCATTAATTTTTAAACTTAACTAAACAACACATGCTTATCTTTAAATACTAAAACACTCCAAGCGGTTGCCCGTTTAGTATTTTTCCGCGTGGATTCATCTATAATTACATTAATTTCCTCTTCGCTAAGATCGGCAATTTTTTTGTTTGTGCCGCCATTTTGATAGTGCAATAAACCCTATAACGGTACTGCCGTGGCGTTGTTGCTATATAACATTCACTCAGGTGGTACAAATCGACCAATCAGAACGTAAGTTTACAAAAAATGAATATTGATTTGATAATATTGATTTGATAAGGCTGTTTTGCACTTACGCGTTTTTCATATGCACATAAAAGTTTAAATCCTTATAGAATGGAACTTTTAAAATTTTAAGTGAATAAACTTAATTTAAGTGAATGAACTTAATTTTCTGTTTATTTTAGTATGCATTAGTTGACCTAGCTGTTAAATAATAAAAACATAAAAGCGATTAAATTTTTCCATACGTGTACGTGCGTATAAAAAACGCGTAAGTGGAAAACAGCCTTAAAGGAGGTTAAGACCCAGGCCTAATAGAAAAACTACGGACGCATGACTTTAAGGGTGATTTAGAACCTGATTCCAACTGAAGCCATTATTATTCAGAAAGTATTGAAAAGTTATTCAGAAAGCCGGCGGGCGGCCCTTCCTGGAATTTGCACGATGTCTTAATTCTTTTAAATCGGGACTTGGGAAAAATCCATTAATTAGTGCTGACCTCGTTTCGATACGTGTATAGTTGCTTTAGTCCGTCTTACCTGAGGTGCCTGTAATCTTCTTCATTGAACTCTGCGTAGTCGGAACTATATATAAAAAAAGAAATGTGGACGATAAATGATACAAATTACATTACACTGTTCAGCATTTTCACATGACGTCAGGAAAACGTTTTTAGCTTCAAAATACGCCCCACTTAGCTAATTGCTGCGGAGCGAGCGAGCCTGAAGCGAGCGAGCGTAGCAGCAGTCTAATTGGCGCAGTAGGCAGTGAAAAGCAAATTTTTAGGGTTGCGTTGCATTGTGGTTGTGCGCAGTGACGCAGTTGTATCAGGCCTGTTTATATATGCGCAGTCGTGAACAAATTAATCTCATATACAGTATTGACTATCAAATCGTATTTTAAGTATATTGTCGATTGTTTTGCCTGTTTGGACTTATATTTTGACTCAGTGTTGCATGATAATCGAAGTTTATTTCTTCATAGTCATATCATTTCTTCATCGTCATAGTGTGCCTTGGCAGTCTGCCGTATTCGAATTTCATTTCTTTGAACTATTAAACTGTTCGTTTCTCGGTTTCATTTGCAGTACGGTACTGCGCTTAATTCAGTGTGAGGTTTACTAGGGGTAAAAAGCTCAGTAAAAGCTGGAATTTAGTGTTTAAAATTAAAAATCCAAGTGTTATGTTTTACATATTTGTCATTGCGGTTCGTGTTTCGTTGTCGCTTGCCGCATGTAAATTAATATAGCAAATGAGTAGCAATTCTTTAAAGGAACTGATTATATCTTCGATTTCATTTGCACCTCTACGCTAGATAGTATTTCCTTTTTTATCTTATTGTTAGACCACAATTTAGTTTAATAATCCAAGTTTATTTTTACATCTTTGTCATTCAGCCTCGTGTTTCATCGTCATAGTGGGTCTGGGCAATCTGCCATATACGAAAATACAGCAAACGAGTATAGCAATTCTTTGAACTATTTAAGGCAAGACGACAATGCCGAAGGGTCGCCAAATACATCAAAGGTGGATTACATTCTTATTTTGTTAACTTTAGAGTTTAGTTCAGGCCCTGTTACACGATGCAATTTTTTTGCAACTTGCAATACAACTCTACTCTTGAGAAATGTAAAATGCCAAAGTACGTGTTTTGCGTTGATATTTTTCCAATCCATATAGCATATCTTCATTGACTTTACTGATTTCAAGCATAATTCCAAGTTGCAAGAAAAATTTCACCTTAACACGCCCTTTGTTAAATTAGTTGCGACGTGATCGTGTGACACATATTTCACAAATTTCAACGCTTTTGTAATAAAATTTAACAATTGTACAGTTTTGCCAATCCTGTTCTTATATGATATTTGGTTCAATTTGTTTTTAATGCCCGCAGCAATCCCTACCTTGCAGGTAACCTAGTTTAGAACACGGATCTCTTGATAAAAACTCAAGTTCTGTGTTAAGAATATTCAAAAATTATTTAAAATCATTACCACCTTTCTGGGGTTTGCGTGATGTCTTTTTTAAATTTAGGGCTTCGAATGTCCATCAATGGGGCTTCGTTTCGGATAGGTATAGTTGCTTTATCTACAATCTACTAGCAGATCATTGATGAAGAACCTCATTGGTTCAGAGCCATGCACGGGGTAGTCTTGAACCAGTGGCGTAACTAGAACGATAATTGCATGGGAGGGGTGAATATTCGTATATCCCGTTCTTCATTACGGATTTCGTTTGAAAGTGTAATGGCTTACAAAAGAAATCCGTCGGGCAGAACTGAATATATGAGTATTCAACCCACCCCCCCCCCCCAATTATCGCTATAATTACGCCCTTGCTTGGAACAGAGGTCTGGACACTTAAGGCACTTGCTCAGTAGCATTTTACAGTAGGCATGAATTCAGTTCTATATTTCAAAAAACGTCCCCAGCCAGTTTAGTCTTAAAACTTGTAAAAATACTGTGGATATCCTAAGTAGGCATTCACAAAAATTTGCATTACACGCAGTTAACAAAAGCACTAAACATGAAACAATAAAAGCGTTGAATTATCAAGCGTAAATTATCTCATTTTTAGTGCAAAGTTTCAAAAATAAAATTTCAAAGATAAATATTCACTATTTAAAGCTAAGAAACGAGGAGCGATGAGTGTTGCTTGAAACATCCCGGGCGTAAAAAGCAAGCAATTCTTTGAGAATCTACACAGTTTATCAACTTATGTTTTGAATTACGAGCATTCAATTGAATCCAAATATAATTTCGAAGGTTTATTTCATAAATAGAGTTAAGAGCTTAGGAAGAAACGACACTGTGTGGTTTCTGTATTGATAGGTCTCTTACATGAATTTATATTATGTTGATACCTGACATTCTGCATACAGTACATATATAATTCACATTATACAAAACGGACATTTTTTGCAGTAATCAAATCATTTTGGCAGTATACAGTATTGATTATAAGTCGATTGTTTTGTATCGATTTACTCGTCGAAGCATCCACATCATAGACATAATATGCATCCCGGTTTATTTGCATAACTTACTGACAACGCAACTATACTTTGGCTATTCTTATGAAATGCCGGACGGATAAACTGTTGCCATCATATAAATGTAGTGAATGTAGTCACAGTTGTTTGACGAAGAAAAGAGACTAAACTGAGAAAATCACGCTCGGGATACATTGCCAACTAAAATTATAATTTAATACTGGCAATATCCGTGATTAACGTAACTTAGTACTTTATTTTGAGTAATTTCCTGATAATTAATGTTTAACCTAGCTCATTATATTTTTACTGGCATAAGTCAAAATGTTTTTGTTGCGACAAACGTCTGGTTGCTTAGTTATTACAGGGCATGGAAACTATGCACTATCCTTGGATCCCTAATAAACAAAGTTGATTAATTCATTATTTATTAATTAATTATTACTTTATTATTAATTAAATTTAGAATTGCATTGCAAGTTGCAACCCAGGGTCCATATTAATAAATATTATGAAATAATTATCTTCAATAATGGGCGGAAAATGTCAGAACGTTATTGCCACGCCCTAGAAACGTCATCGCGCAACGGTTTTAAAATTGAAGCGACAACTATTTTCACATTTACAGCCTACCTGAACCTGCAGTATTGGGTAATATAGAGTTTGAAAACATAGCAGGTTAACGTACATTACCTATGCATCTGGTTGTGCCCACGCTTCAATTTATGGCATAAAATTTGGGAAAATTTCCACTTAAACAAAGTTACACTTACATAATCGAGTTATCATCAACCAATGTCTGGCCTCGCTGTGCAGCTGTGCATGGCCAAATCCGCACATTTCATCCACCGTAAACACTTTCCCATCAGCCAAAGCGTTCATTTCAATTAAAAGAAGGCAAATGTGAGTTGAATTGCGTTCATGTGTGACATTCCTGAATCCATATTTGGTTGTTCTTTTTCTTGTTACGTGTTTATCAGGATCAATCAGTATATTGTATAGCAAAATGCCAACATCGTTGTCAGCCGAATATTCCTCATGAAAACTGAATTTCATTCCCGCTTGTTGACCGCAAATATCATAGTTTATTGCTTTCAGACATACTGTCTTTGTTGAACCAAGACTGGTATATGTAATATTGTGGACGTCTGCAAGAGAAAAAGAAATGAATTCCGGTGACTACAGTACTTAGCCAAATATTGTATTATATTCCCATTGCTCCTTCCGGCACACAATAGCCAAGATGAGGGTACTAAGAATGGGGACAAAATAAGTTTCAGCTTGAGCCTTCGCCAAATTGGGCGGAAGGTGAGAGTTCTACCGACTGAGGGGAGGTGGGTGAGCCCGCTATATCTTTGCACGCCTAATGCGGCTCCTCTACTTTCCAACGTGGAATGGGCAAAATCGGCTCCCGCGTTCCCTTTCTATCCTTTTTTTGGGCCCTAGCAACCTCCCATCTCAATCACTAACAGCGGATAATTAAAATTGAAGCCCTATCTTAGTATAATGCGCCGAAATTCCCAGTGGGAATATAATAATTCTGTTAATTAAATTTCGCAGGCCATGATGTAGTGTAAAATTTTATTGTAGCCCGATAATTGCAACGCAATTTGGCTTAAGTATGTATAGTAAACATCATAATGTATGGATTGTGTAACGTTAAACACATGCACGTACGGTTATGACATTCCAAATATCCTTTAATTAAACAAAACCTTTCTATAAGATACAACTAAGTAACTGACCTCAAAATTTAACTTACCTTGATTTGGTTTTCCAAAAACGGCGATGACTAGCGTCAGAAAGTAAGCATGTAAAAATATGCCAGTATTCTTTCGAAGAAATGACATTTAGCCAAGTTTCCGCAAAAGCTCTTCCCTAAACAATTCAAAGAGAAATTAAAGGAGAATCTAAATGAGGATAAGAAATATTTATATGAAAATTATCCTTATTAACTCGCATTGCGCAATGCGCAAGCGAGTTCTTAAAATGGGAAGCGTTCTTATTAATATTTTTATGGTCGAGAATTTTGCGACCCGCAAGGTGCGATAAGGTGCGCTGACCTGCAAGCCACGAGCTACGCAGGCGGGGTTGCTAAGCTAACGTGCATGCTGCACTGCTGAGTGCATTCGTTCATGACGTTCATCGTTTTCTTGTGGACAAAAGACGATAAAAATTCAAGATATTTCGAAATGTGGCTTCCAAGTGCCATATTTATCTTAACGCTCACCTTACATACAACTGCACACGCCGAGCACAGTAGCCCTACACTAAAAGATGCCGAGCGTTTTCGAAACGGGGTGTTCTGTTGCTCTCATGCTTTTCAACTTCATGTTGAACCAAAGTTGCTTAATATCGCTATGAATTCTTTGATCAAACTGAATACAATCTCAAATCAATCTCACGAGTTCTCACTAGTACTATCAATTGAAAACAATACAACGACGTTGTCAATGAACTGTGTACATGACGTGCTACGAATATCTGAACAAGACTAACTCCACTGTGCAACAAGACCAACTTCACGATTGCTTCCCCATTTTCACGCCCGTTCCGTTGCATAGCTGAACAACTATGGCAAGCCCAAACACACGCCTGAGTAAGCGTCTTTTTTGTCATAGCCCTAGCTCGACTCAAGCAATGCGAGTTTAATGCCTAGCGGGCATCTTGTTTACATTGAGACAAAAGTTTCATGCCTACATCTTGTGAATAGTTCAGAGCGTTTGTTTGAAAGTGATCGGTCCTTGTTTTTTTCGCAATTGTCAATTTCTTCTCAATTTCTTCTCCGGCAAAGGTTGCATCTTGTCGTGTTTTCAGCTGTGTACGCGGGAACGCTTTTCAGTAGCGACCATACAGGTTGGATTCAACATTGCAATCATGTTTATCTGATCGTTATATTTTGACGTTGCAGTAACGTTCGTTTAATTAACGTTGTGTTTAACGTTTTGACCTACAGGTGATATTTTTCGTCGTATCAACATTACATTGCGACGTTGAGGCAACGTTGGTTGAAAGTTGAGATTAACGTTCGTTTGGAGTGACATTTTCATCGTATCAACGTTACATCGCAACACGAACTTTGTTAGCGGTTTGGCGTTTGCCGTAAACGCCAAGCTAAAGGTCTCTAATGCGTCAGAGTGCGGTTTCCGAACCGGGACTATAAGTAATGGCCGTGGTATAATACTGATTATTACTGCGTCGCGCACTGCGCGAACGCAGTCTTAAATTGCCGTCGGTGTTTTGTTTTGGTTTTTTTTTTGTGTTTTTTACGTTTTCGACCCGGTCTACCTGGCCGCGCAGGCCAAATAAGATAGTCGTATTTTGAACTCGTTTGATTTCGTATCGAAATATTTTCGTGCTAAACATGCACACTTCAAATAGTAATCTAAGCCTAGTAACCCCCAAAAAAGAAATATTTTACTGAAACAAAAATTGAAACAGTTTGTTGTCGCCGGGATTCGAACTCGGGTCATGCGAACCAAAGCAGGAAACTGCATGCACGATACACGTCATATAAAATAACACGTACACGAGTCGCTGTGCATGGCCGATTGCGCAGGAAATCTAGACGTCTGTCGTTCGAGAAAATACGTACAGGTAATCATAATGCTGGAGTCTCGACTTGTCTTGTTTGATATGCTCACTCTGCATACACTAGCACACACTGATCATGGTAAACCTACACTAAAACGGGTTTACAGACAACGATCACATGAATCATGAAAGCCTTGTATGCCATGAAAGCCTTGTATGCTATGAAAGCCTTGTATGCCATTCTATGCCATTTTTCAATCAAACCGCACTTTCCTTTCAAGGGTAAAAACGGCCAGACCGATCCTATTGAATTTCAGTACAAACTGATTCCCAGAGTACATGATTCCAAACTCAGCCCTTATTCACGTATATCGTTAGCTACATGCATATGCCTAGCACCAATAATGCAGTTTTACCCGTATATTCTGTACGAAGTGCTCTATTTACTAGAAAGCCTAAGAAAGAAACATTTTTCTAAAGGAATAAATATTGACAGGAAATGGGGCACAGTTGCATGCAACGATTGGCGCGACGCAGTAACCGCCAGAATTGGCGTCTTGTTGAGTATAGCCTTGTTAAGATCGTAACTTGTAAAATATAAACTGAAAGCGTGTGCAAACAAATTCGCTGTACGAATACAGTGACGACGGATCATACGAAGATCACCTATATAAGCCTGTTCATCGTAAAACCAGCTGATATCTTTCACATAAGTGTAATTTGATATCATTCATTGTAAAATTCCCCTTGACTACGCAAACTTGTAGTTTATATTGTGATAACAGCTTATCTATTCAGTCTGACAAACTTGTTGTATTCCTATCAAAAACTATCGATTGATAGTTGATCAATCCTTAGTTCTAAGCGGCGATATCTAAGTATCTAAGCTTAGTATCTAAGCGGCGATAGATAGTTGATCGCCGCTTAGAGTGAAAATAAAAATTGCTTTGACGTGCATGAAGCCATATTTGAGTAACATTAATAACCTTCTTTTACCAATGTCAAAAAACCTCAACAGACATATTTCGAACAAGATATCTTGACGCGGTTGAGAGCGTATTTTTTTTTATTTTACTTGAAGCAATCCATATAGCTACAGTTATATATAATAGGACACAATACATTACGACACATAAATTAAATAGACAACAAACAAAATAACCTTATGCTCTCTTTAGTTTAGCCGTTGTATGTTGTAATAAAATGGCTCTGTCTTTGTTTATCAACAGGAGTCTGAAATTTTCTCCCTGATGCAAAATTGTGGAAAAACGAGCAGTATTACTTCACGTGCGCGTCGTAGATTTGGTGCATCTTAAACGCACAATCATGCATAAATTGAAATGCGAACGAAATTGCTAACGCGTTATATAGCGATCTATTTTGAACAGTATTTACCACCCATACAATTGATATGTTATTACCATAGTATATGGCTATATATACCATATATGAATGTATATATTAATCTATAGACCAATACATATCGGCATATGAGCGTAGATATATTTTAATGTTAACAAAGGAGTACCATTGAAGTAGCTCGAAGGTATTTGCTTTGTTTGCGACTGTGCACTCTATCCTAACAAGAACTGAATATTTGGCAAAAAAATATATGATTTCTATTAATATACTTACCCCAAACCGAATAGGGAAAGTGCTCGATCCTTTTCTATCTTCTGTATATTTTCTATCTTCTCCTCTATAATCTCCCAAGAGAAATTTCAAACAATTCAAACAAATGTATTCAGCATTAAAGCCGGCATGAAACAGCAAAAATTTAATAAAATAGGGGAAGTCCCACAAATCCCGGGGGATGGAATAATTTCCCCCTATATAAGTAAAAATGTAAGTTGAAAGGCACTTTTGAAAGCCGGTTTTTAGGGTACTGCAACAATTTAACGCAACCTTGTTTTTTTGTTTTTAGCGCAATTTGTTCAGGATGACGCAGTTGACAGTTCTGAAACAAATCTGTACGTACCGGATAAATTTTACCTTTAGTTTTTTGCCAATATAAGGTTAAAAAGATGGTTATTTAGAGAATAACAAAGAGCCGATTCGAAAATTAGATTGGAAAAATGTCTCAGATTTCACAAAAAAAAACACCTTCATAGTTAGCTAAGCATGTTTTCACGCAGAGAATGTTTTCCATGCAAACAGATTATAAAAATTGAAATTGAGATTACATAAATTGAAAACAGGAATTTATCTATACACACTCAGTTAAAGTTCGTATGAGCAGAAATTCGTCAATATTTGAATAGTGCATAAAAATATCAAAAAAATGGTAAGATAACTAGGACTAGAGTTTATCTAACCATCGTTCAATCATGCTTTCTTAATAATTAATGATCATTGGTATAGTTCATTAAAAAAATGTTTTCCCTACAATTAATGCAGGATATAGTTGCATTATATACGTACCTCTCTACGACGTTCTTAGATACGAGATAGTTCCCCACGAAGATAGAATGACTATAAGCTGCAATTACAGAAATATCTCTTTCCATCAATACCAGCTATGACAATATATGACGTTCATTGCATGGGTTCATCACAACGATGTTCTTGTTTCATGCATGACCTGAAGCTTTTACCACTCAATTATTAGAGGTTAATTAAGAGCATTTGCAGCAAAGTCATTATTCCATTTTCACTTCGTCCAACTCATAGTGAAGAAGGTAGGTATCCATTCAATTTTATAGATCCGAATATATAATATATAGACGGGATATTATACATTTGATTCTACACACATTTGGTATTTCCTCCCGCATGGAATGTAAAAGAGGTTTAGAATATTTAGAAAACATAAATGTGCAACCATAATTTTCCTGAATGCATGCATACAGAATTTGTATACTGATTTTTCCTCTCTTCCCCCTATTTCTATCAAATGTTCTCGGCGCCATAATCTTTTTTCACAAGGGAAGTGCGTGACTGGGACGATTCAAGAGAACTGTGGAAGGTTTTCTTACTTAAACGAGGACATGAAAATGTTACTCCTCTGCGACTTGCTCGTATCTTCCACACCAGAATTGTGACAATTATGATAAAAATGAAAATGGAAATCGCTACAGCGGCCCCTGATAACGCCCCGAACTGCGGGTCTTTTTGCTTTGGATACATGGCCCGATTAACCGTATCATTATTGGTAGATACCGCTTTTGTTTCTTCCTTCCTCGATGCGTTCGGAAAAATTTCTAAATTTGATGAAAATTGCATTGAAAATTGTGGCTAAAACATTTTACTATTCAATCGTGCTAATGCATAATAAAAAAATTATCATGAAATGATTTATTGTACTCGTTATTTTTGAAAATTTTGATAAATCGGACTTGCTCTGGCGGCTCGTACAATTTTAGGAAAATTTCCAAAATTGTTTGCACTATTATATTAATCCCCGATTGTTCTAGATCTGGCGCCATCGCATGAACTTATAAAATTTGTTTGAGCACTAAAATGACGCTTATAACCCACCGTGTGTAAGCACCGTGATTAAATCGTTGACGTGATTGAAACGAATAGAGTATGAGTTCAAATACAGTTGTAATTATAGCGGTGGTGTAGCCAGCCTGTCGATTTAGTCATGCTATGCAAATTTTATGTTATTATCCTTATCCATTTCTTTAGAAATTCATTGTTTTCACAGTCAACGAACACCAAAGTATTAGCATAGGATGGCTAAATTGTCGGGCTGACTACGCCACTGAATTTTAGACCAAAAAAATAAAAATGTATACAAAACCTACCAGCAGTATTGACAAGTATCGTGACATCACTATGGAGATCACTGTATCCAACTCTTCGAACATGTAAACTGTATTCACCACCATCTGATTTGCTCACGTTGTTGATAACAAAAACTGCCTTATTATGAAAACCTGTACTATTCTTCACAGTCAACAGCTCGTGTCTTGAATTGTCTTTGAGGTAATATATTTTCTTTAAATCCATTGACAATACTACATGATTCGTATATACCCGTGAGTTAACACGAGTCACTCTGTAAACGATGATGCCCGTGATTGAGCTGTTCACTGCGACGCACCATGTCCAGTTGATAGCCGTCTGATCTCCGGACATAACATGAATGTATTTAAATTTCGGTTTTAGTATTCTTTCACTTTTTATTGTTCCATCACAATCTTCTAATTAAACAAAGACATTCGGGTTGAGTTAATATTACCACACATGTCGATATACGTATTTAGCAGTGACCGAGCTAGCTATAGGCTTATGAAAATTGGCAACAAAAGTTTGATTTAAGACGACGGCTTGTGAAGTTATAACAAATGGCACATTGTTAACCAAAATAAATTCACCCCATCGATTTCAGACATAACTATAGTTCGACACATGTTACCACCCTCCGTTACAACTGTCGTAATATATTTTCTGTTCGCAGGGGCGGCGTAACATAATATATTTTGGGGGGGCTAATTTCACGAGGCGCCACCATGGTTGGCGCCGAGCGAAATTTTTTTTGAATTTCAATGCTCTAGATCTTCGGAAATGGCCATTTCAGAGTCTTACTTGCCGCTTTCATCGTGGTTTTTCATGGGCAAACACAAACTGAAAACGGCACAGCGCGTGCAGTGATATCTTCTACATCTCTCAGATTCTCAAAATAATTTTCCGAACAAAATGGCGGTCCGAAAATAATAACAATATACAACCACGAATATTCTGCTGTTAAAGACAACCATGAATAATAATAATATAGGATATCAAATTTTTATTAGCATTTAATAGGCCGGCGAGCATGAATTTGACGACTTCATGTTAACGTAGTTTGTATATTTGCTCTCCCATTCTGACATTCTTCATGATATTTTTGGGGGGGCTAAGCCCCCCCCACTTTTATTTCTGGGTGGGCTAAAGCCCCCCAAGCCCCCCCCTGTTCCGCCGCCCCTGTCTGTTCGTTTCTTAATGAAAACATGGCATTTTAAACTGAAACCCACGCATGCACCAATTCTGCTGACATGCATATTCGGCTTCATTGGTCTCCAAACGAGAAGTTTTGTTTAACTTCCGGTCTCCTATTTCTGGAATTACATTCATAATACTCGGAAACAAGATTCCGAGTATCAGGCGAAAAAATACAGAAAATATATCAATTGTTTTCATTTTGATTTACTGATCCTGTTTAAGTAAACAGTGAACTATACACAATATTCCTAACCAAAATGGCAAAATAGTCCTGCAAGGGTACTGATAAAAAGGTTTATACTAGCCCAAGTTATATGTGATGACTAAATTGTTAACTGCAGACTCTTTTCTTATGAAATATAGTAAGATTTAAAGTTTGGAACAGCAAAGACAACAAGGTAAATATGTAGCTAAATACGAGTGCCAATATAACGGTATAGGTCTAGCTATACGTGGCGTGCTTGGGCTACTTTCGTGAAGTTTTTGGAGTAAATATATGTAAACAATAACACAAATTCATCAGGTCGGTTATAGACGCTTCGTTTTCAACAGTTATGTACATAGTCATAAAACAATTGCATTCATGCACTGATGTACAGTAACAAGTTAATACAGTCTAGGGATCTCCGCTTCTTATACCTACGCCATCTGACGAAACTCGTAGTCGTCAAGCTTTTGAGTGCGAGTAAGCCGAGTTTGTAGATTATTTCCGTATTCGAAATCCCAACGACTAGACGAGTTTCGTCAGACGGCATAGCCAAGACCACCGAGTTCGGCGCGACGAATCTTGAACTCGCAGTTGTTCTCGTAGTTACTGCTAAAGCTTCCTATTAATCCAAGGAATACGGCTAGGTAAGGTAACGTGCCAAGTGATCCTGTACTGCATGCATGTAGTATAGCTTTATTTGTTGTAGTTAAATCAGTAGTTAAACTTCTCATAACTTATAACTTGTATCGATATGGACTTACCTGCATCACAAGCATAAAACGCCAGAAAAAAACAGAGTAGCAGCAACAGATTTTGCCAAAACATTATACGCACCTGAGAAAGCCGAAAGCATAAGCGTCAAACAGTTTCGTTTAATCGTTTTAGTTGAAAGAAATACTAAATTCTAAGAACTATACTGTAAAACGAGTTCCGGAAACTATTAGTTTCCATTGTTCTCATTTTTTAATTATACTTAATATGGTACAGTATGTTCATGTCATTCATATTTTAGGAAGAAAACGTTGAAGGATCGATATATTACGCTATACAGAATTATGGAATGCACATGCATTAATATACTGGAACTTTTCCTTTTCTCGATATATAAGAAACCAAAAGTCTGTCTCTAATACCCGCCTGACTAAAAGTAAAACTGAAAATCAATTGTTTATATTGTCATTTTCGAGTCACGAGTGCTTCAAAATGAGTTACAAAGATTTAGTACGGTGGCCCAGAGGTGCAAAACACAAACGCAAATTCAAAACATAAACGCACATTTGAAAGCAGGAACGCAAATTCAAAACAGAAACGCAAATTCAAAAACACAAACGCAAATTCAAAAACATAAACGCATATCATGAAAGCACGAACGCAAATTCAAAACAGAAACGCAAATTCAAAACACAAACGCAAATTTCAAAACACAAACGCAAAACTAACGTCATGAACGGCTATCTTTAAAACCAGCAACCGGGAATCGGGGAACGGGGAACGAGAATCTCCGGAATCTTTAAAAGCCGGAATGAGAATCTCCGGAATCTTTAAAACCAGGAATGAGAATCTCCGGAATCTTTAAGCCCCGGAACGAGAATCTTCGCAATCTTAAAACCCAGAATGAGAAACATGTTAACAGACGGAGCAATAAAATAAATGCCGTTCTAAACAAGTTTATCGATATCAACTTTTTTGCATAAAAACAGTCAATTTATGATAAAATGAGCCTGTCTCTTGAATTCTGTCGTTGGAATTTTCCAGATTGGTCTTAAACGGACAATCACCGAAGCCCTATTTTCTCTATAACAAATGCTTTTTTTTTCACCTCGTCGTGGTCCTTGTCCTCGCTGTCTAACCAAGGACATGGACATTGGAATGACTGAAATTATTTCTTTTGCTTTCATGCAGTGCAATATCATGTGCAGAATTCCATTGGTCTCTAGCTATATGTACTGCTGACTGGAAATTCTCTATGGCATGCTCATCAAGTGCAGTTTATATACTTGGCTACTCCATTGTGTTAAGGTGCTGATGGAACTAAGAAATCCATACCTATACCTTCTTGTGACTTCATCCAACTTTGAAATGCTTGAAACACTGCACACTGAAAAATAATGACATCAAATTAAAACTCGATCAAACTAAACAGCTCATTAAATGTGAATCAAATGGAATAAATAAAGAGTACATACTTTTTACCATGCGACTGTCGGTCGAACTAGAACTTGCATTTTGTGAAGTTGTTTCTTTTGCCGACGCGCCTGACAAGATACATGCAATCATTAAAAAACATATACTACATTGAATGCACATGTAACCTTTACATATAAAACCTCTGATCGCCTTGTACATTTTCGGTCATCATTTCATTATTTTCGTGTTCAGTCATTTTCACGCCGAGTCACGACACCTTTTCACCGGCCGTATTTGTGATATGCGATTGAGGTTTCATATCATCAGTGCTCTTATTTTAACCATGCGTTTTAATGTACGTCACAAAATAATATGTTACAAATGACATTTCCACCATTTTTATCATTTTGAAAGTTGCTATTTCTCTTTGTTATTTTTCTTTCCAAAACGTTTTTATGGTACTTTATAATTATGTTCTTCTTCGAGTAGAAAAGTTTGAATGTGCACTGCGGAAATATTTGTAACAATTAAAGCATTGCTGTGATTATTTTCGATCGGATGATACAAGACAGGTTCGTATAAAATGATTAATTATGTGGTACGAAGTTAATTACAATCAATATAATTATTTGCACCATGTCTTTAAGCCCACAACTCCCCATTCATTTTGATTAGAGGGTCTACTGATTTTTCTTCTGTCTGAAGCAAGTTATTGAAGTTAATATACGACTCCAGGATACGACGAATCTTAACCAGAAACAATAAAAAATGTGCGGCATAGGTCCAAATTTAATAATTCGTGTGTAAGTGAAAGATAGCTTCAGTTTCTAAAGGAGCAGTATTACGAGCAACAGTTTTTCGCAATTTTATGGTAATCAGAGTATCGTACCAGTTTATTGTTTATAAAAATAGTCATAAAATTGGTTAATGTCCTCTGACTTCATTGATGGAGGCAGATACATCACCGCAACCGCTAGTCGTGAGATAGATCTTAGGAGCCATTCTGGCCTAAGAGTAACCCAGAGGCATTCGAGGTCTGTTTGGGAAAGTTGGTGATGGGTTTTTGCCGAAATGTCAGTGTCAGAAATATACGCCACACCGCCTACGGCTATGTTTTATGCAACAAGAAACCACGTGAATGATTTTCACAAATCACGTGAGTAGATTTAGACCAATATATGCCCGAAGATTACATATTAATTTTGAATAAACCATGATTTTTATGGGTTATTGCGAATAAACCACGATTTTTAAGGGTTATTGTGAATAAATTATGATGCCCATTGTCTGTCGCCAGGCAACAAGAAACAACGTGATTGATTTTGAGCAATCGCGTGAGTAGATTTAGGCCAATGCACGAAGATTGTATATTAAAGCTGAGTATTTGCTATAAATTATATACAAATGAACCCTTCACGAAACCAGCCTTAATTAAGGTCGACATCGACCGAACGCGATGCGGCAACGCGACGCGAATTTTCAGTTTTCAGAAGAATATGAATTAAATTCCAGAAGCAAAATTTGGAATCTATGGACACCAGAGCGTTCAAAATGTATTATCGTTAAGTAATCTACAATAATTTTATGATAGGTTAAAATTTATTTGCTTGCCTTCCCAAATCGCGTCCTTTCTGGGCCTTTAGTCAAAATGAATTTCTAGCCGGCACAATTTTAAACTTAGATGAACGTGCTGATATTTCCTATTGTATCTATGAGTCATAATGGAGAATATTTTTAAGATTAAATCTAGCAATAAGTTTTCTAAATTGTTATTAGATGCCACGTAAACAAGGAGAAATTACGTCTTAGACTAATCAACAAATTTGTTTAGACTTTTACTGGCTCATGCGTTTAAAAATGCATAAAGAAGAATGCATAGATATGAGAAGTTGAAGACGAAGAGTTGGAAAAAATTAAATTTTTTATGAATTCTGCCTAAATCATATCTGTAAATTGAACGTTATGCAAGTCAAAGTACAATATTCCAGAAGAAATCTGAGCTGTTATAATTTATTATAACCGTATCCCTCAAGCCCTAAACGAGCTGGCAAAACTTCACCAAAATAAAATATTTCGCAATATAATTGTCCAAATTCTCCCTACATACAATCGTCGAGCTAGCTTGCTGACCTAGCAACAAGACTGACAAGGGTCTAATAAAATCTAGACTAAATGCGAATAAAAGGAAGCCAAGTAGTATATTTGGTTTCATGGTCTAAACCAGCTGTTCAAAAAGTCCCGTCTAAACTGTCCATAACGTTACTATATAAAGACTTCAAATATTGTACTGGCTGTTTTTTAATAGTGGATTGCAATTGTTGGTTTTGTTTATATTTGTTTCGGAAGTGAAAAGTAGCGGGAAAATTCAGAAATATGGACCGCGCAATATGGGTGACGACGGGTGACGACCGGTGACGATGCACGTTCGTTGGCCAATCACATTTGCTGTTCTATCTTACTCACGTTATATCCCTCCTCATTAGCATGTAACGCTCTCTTTGGTTGCTATAACAACAATACGAAGCTGTCAATAGCTGTTTGAATGACTTTATTCTTCCATAATGCTTTCAAATGTGAGATTTCTAGCCGGTGCTTCTGGGTAGAGAACGAAATATTTAACAATGTGAGCTGACGGTTTCAAAAAAAATGTTCGTGCCTTCGAATTGGGCATGCCAATACTTGCTGGTGTTTATATCATTCAAGCAATTGCTTGTGGAAACTCGAGCAACGGCGAGTGATGCTTCAGGTGAATACACTGCAGAGTCATATATCAACAGTAGCTCAAGGGATTTGTCAGGTGAGCACTTGAGCGTATCGTGTATTTACATTGAATGATTGAAATTTAACGCCATAACATGATAAATATGAATCAACGCCGGTAAATTAAAAGCACACAATCGAACAACATAGATTTTGAATTGGCTCCCGCGTAAGTTACTACATTTATCAAGCTTCCCGTTATATCAATCGTAGCTAAAAGGGAGTTTAACATTCTCATATAAAAACCTTGAAATTGTACTATAAACCGATTAGTCTCAAGGGAATTTTCTTAACATGTAGCCATCTAAAACGGTTTATCCTTGAGCTAAATAATATCATAAGACGACAAATGCTAGTGACCAGTTATTCAAGTTTTCTTGTGCGAATAAAAATACAATTTCAGCGGCTAGATTATTCATTTTAAGTTGGTTTCATTTTAAAATTCTACGGCGAGTGTTCTGCTACCCTGTCAATTTTTGTAACGAGTGGAATTGCTAAAGTTTACTTAGCTTAGAAACTTTATTCCATGCAAGAAAGCAGACGATCGCTTCGTTTACAACTTTTACTTTGCCGTTGATACATATGTTACATTCCCGCGGTGATTTATTATTTACCTTTTGTTAAATGTAATTTCAAATATTTTTAAATCTAACACGAAGGCTGCATTGCAACTTTGTATTGTAACAAACACATATAATTAGTATGAAATATAAAGTCATGTAGCGAAGTGTCACACTAGAGTATATTCTAAAACTCGTACGGGTCGTATTTCGTTTAGGCGCGAAATACGATAGCTGCAAATTGCTGTATCAACAGTGTCTCGCTTTTATTTATTTGCTCGTTAAATGCTTAATAAATCAGAACTACTTGTGTCAGAAGGGTAGGATTTTCACTTAGTAAGACATATTTGTCGTACGCAACTTCATATAAACATAATGTTATAGCTACATTTCAAAAATGTAAATAGAATTTCTATGGCAGTCAATGAAAACAGGAATTCATATGTGTTCAAATTGTACTAGTGGACTAGGTCAGTCAGTATTTTTTTAGCCTTGACCTATTTTAAAGTCAGTCACAACTCACAATATTGATTGATGGAATTTTTTTCTAATGTGTACATAAAATATAGGCAGCCAAAAAGCCAAGATGCTTAGTTATGGGAGTTGTAGGCTTGTAGTTGCTTAGTTATGAGAGTGCATGTATACACAATACATGGCACAGCAGGAGCCCTTTAAACATATGCACAATGCTGCTTGTATTCACTAGGCCATGTGTATGTGTAAACCAAACTCGATCACTGTTTTACATGCTCTCAAAAGGATAACTCGCATACAACATATAAATCTTGCCATCTAATGTTGCCAAACTGTGTAATGTTATGTAATGCAAAATAGATGACCTTTTGTAGTCATATTAAGTGCCCTGTATTTTTTAGTATTATCTAATAAGTGCTTGAAAAAAATACTAATCTATTTACATATACAACATATCACATGACTATTAGTGAGAATATTATTTTAAAATCTTCCCACAGGTGCATAAAATATCATTTTCAAGACACATACAGGATTTGATTTACTTTTCATTGAGAGTGCCTAGTGTTTTATTCCTGTTGTGTTTGTTCGATACCGTAACTGCACTTCATATCTCAGTTCCCACTAGTGCCGGTACATGAGTATACACCTATTATATGTGCATTTAGTGTTGGTGCAGCCAATGTAACGTTAAACTAATGGTGCTGTTCCGCTGAAGAATCACAGAGTTTGTTAGAAATTTCCCCTCAATTTGACAGAATTTGGGAATGTCATAGGATGGTCTCAATTAATATGAAAAACATGCAGTAGGCCCACTTCAGGTGGAACCTTTTAGATTTGTGATCGCATGCTAGATTACCAGTATACATTATTGCCATTCATTACTCCCCTTATTAACTTGTATGAAATCAAAACTGGCCAGTCTGTTGCACAAAATTGAGGCTGAGTGACCCCTACTATAAATTCCTGATACTTTGGTACTTTCATTAAAATGGCAATAAAATACCCCTAAAGTAAACTTCAAGTAAGATTTTCTTACAAGGCTATATCAAGAGGCTGCTTTCACATGAACTGGACTCAAAAGGTATAAAATTAATTACTTACCTATATACAATTGAAATCCTCAAACTTGTGCTATGCATGGTCTTTCAAGAATTTCAATTTTCCTTCAGTGGTTATTGCAATTGTCCCTGCTGAATAATTCCCAGTGCACAAAAGTTTTAAATCCTGCAAAATAATAAATTTAAATGCAACTTTATACACTAACATATTTGTTAGAACCAATTAACAAAGTTATGATTGGTACAGATGGCTTTTATTTGTTTTGATTGAAAGTTACTGGACTCTGCTGAACCTGCACATCTGCAGCTACATTGCTATGAAATTGCATTGTGAAATTGCCACCTTCTGCACTTTTCCCCACCACCCCCACTCTGGGTGGTTCTATAGACAACTAATTTATGGGGGTTCCATTAGGAATACATAGGGTGGAATGCTGAAATGAGACACCAAAAAAACGTGGTAACAGGCAGGCAGACGTATGTACTAAAACGGTAGGCTGCACATTATAATTGAGCAGTCAATTTCTGCTTGCAATCGCGCATTTTTAAAGAATTATGATTTATGAAACATGTACCAAATGATGGTTGCCAGTTGCCTTGGTTGGTCCATGAATGATTAATTAGTACTACGTAATCTTTCCAATTAAGTTTCATTTAAGTAGCTCGTTATATGAATAAAAATATGGTAAAAAAATTCTTGCTCATAACCTGAATGAAGAATCATTTTTCAAATCAAGCGCCCCTGCATGGTTACACGTATTTTACACCTGTGTAGGCCACAGCGGCCACGATCCGGCAGCACAACGCGATTTTTAAAAATTTTTAAGTCTTCAACAATGTCGTGATATTCTTGACAATGTCGTGATATTCTTGACAATGTCGTGATATTCTTGGAAATAGCGGAACGATGGCACATATTGACTTGTCTGGTAACCCCCATGTATATCTCGAAATGTTCTTTCAGAATTGAATTTATTTGCTTCTGAAATTGAAATATTCGCGTCGCATTAGCGAATCGGGTCAAGTTTGTGTAGGCCTTAAGCTTCACCATATCTGTAATTCTTACCGGTATGATCTCGCCCGATTCCCAGTTTATCAGTGTTATTTTTCTTTTCTTTAAGTTACTGAGAGCCATCAAAGCTTTGTCATTTCTGGCGTGTCAACAACGAAACAACTATCGTCTACATTGTCGACAAATAATTTCACAGGATCGTTTTACAGCAAGAGTAGCACGAGTTATAAATCAATAACTGAAGTTATAGAAACTACAGCTACCGTACGAAATACTACAACAGCCAGCACGAATGGAACATCAGCATATGGTGTACGTGATGCGGTGTCTATATCACAAGCACCTCAGATACAATCCACTGAGACTCCTAGAACAATATCTCGAGTCTCAAGTACAGTTGGTAAAACTAGTACCTCGATCACAGGAACTGCAGTACCCGTATTGGTTTCATATGAAAGTAATAATGATACTTCATCAAATGTAACAGCAGCATACTCAGTTCGTATCACTGCATCACCTGCCGCTGGTGCAATTGCTAAATTGAATATATCCGAAACAATATCAAACTATGCGATGATTAACTCTTCTGCGGAACATCCTAAACCAAATCAAACAGCATCACCGCATAGCAAAATCAGATGGACAAAGACGGTGACTTCCTCATATTCTGCGTATGAAGGCAGTATAAATTCACACAGAAACAATTACACTTCTCAAGTACCGCCGTCTATTGCACCTAGTCCACAACTGAGCACATCTATTGCGGTCTTCCAGTCAAAAAACAGGAGTATGCCGAATATATCAGAAACTAATTTCAATCAGTCGAGCGGCATGTTTAAGGAAAACGCTACCCTCAGCGTTGAAAGTATACGTGTTACTACAGCATCAGATATAGAACACATCAACAATTCAAGCACAATTTCAAATAATTCATTTAAGCGTACAATTTTTGCCACAAAAGCATCTCCAAAAGGAAGCAACAGTTCAGAAACATTTCCAAGTTATTCAAACATTTGGAAAACAGAAGTTAGCGCAGTGAATACGTCTTTGTATGAAGAAATCAAAAGCATTAGAGCAAGTCAAGCTGCATTTGGAACAACCAAAATTTGGAACGTGAACAGTACCACAAGCGTTATGTTCCCGAGACGAGTAACTGAACGAAACTCCAGCGGTCATATTGAAGTTTATAGCACGAACGTTTCATTAAATATACTTCCCAGAGAAACGAAAACACACTCGGGTATTAACAGTATATCTGAAGAGGAAGTTCCGTCGTCCGTTCTTCAGTCTCCCTCCTTGGTTGCTAGTAATTTATGGAGAGTCAATTCTACGAGACATTTCCCGACCGTGCTTCAGGCTTCGCTGAGCGATGTGTTCGAAACCAGAACAAATGCTACACATGGTGTGGTAGCTTCAGTATCATACTCTTATAGTATGAACGAGACGACAAGAGTTTATCCTACCCCTGCATTGGCAACATCCGCGCCCTTTTCTGAAGGAAGTATCGAGAATAGCACTATATCCTTGTTGTCCCACAAAGAACAGACAGTCACGAGAATCTTTTCAAAATCTAGTCCTTCGCTGCCTGAAGAAATGAGCGATGCAATCTCCAATAAGAATACGACCCAAGTTTTCGACGTTCGCTTTTCCACCTCTTTGCACAACTCTACGCATACACAACTAAACCCCAGCTTTACTGAGGAGGGGCGAACGCCAGGGGAGAAAAGTCAAAGTTTTTGGATGTCTTCGTTGGTGAAGAATGTTTCCCGCAACACCCTTGTCTTTAGTCAAACGTCGCCGGAGCATCAGACCTTCAAGAGTAGTGTATCACCGGAAATAACATACACTTCTTCAAATATACGTAATTTGTCGAAACCTTTCTCGTCTGACTTACTATCTTTGAGCGCTAGCTCATTACAAACTTCAGCAAAGCACAGTACTTATCAAACCAGCAAATCTTTGTTAGAGGTAAACTCAAGTTACACCACGGTAGAGACTAATCCCAAAACAGTTACGGACATTTGGCCTGTGATCAATTCATCTACACCAATTTCCCAAAGCAGGTTGAGCAACATTTCAAGTGACTCGATGCATCCCATTCTTCCAAATGTCACATTGAAGCCATCAACAGCCGACGTCAAAACATCAAACGGACTGCCTGTTCTTACAAGTCCTCCGCAGATAAACAGAACGACTGTTTTTCCCGTGTATACTCCATGCTATATTTCATACGTCGTTACTGTGTCACGTAGGATAAAACAGTTTTCGCCCTCAACAGATGATATTAAATGGAGTAGAACAGCAGTAGAGCACCAGTCTTCTCGAAGTAACGATAGTTTACCTTCAGGTACCGCGCAGTTGCATCCAACACCTTCCACAAGATTTTCTACAGAATTTAGGACGACAGAAAAACATTCAAAGAAAGAAAATTTCCCAACACGATCTTTGTCACGGTTGCCGGATCGTATAGAATCTAGTGTACAATCAGGACACGCTCCAACAGCTGCTATGACAAGTACGTATTCCACGTTGGCAAACGAGACTATTTCTTCAGGATCACGTAACGTTTCGTATAGTAATGCTATGATATCAAATTTAACTGTATCATCACTTGTTTCAAATGAACTTTCTGCAAATACTAATTTTACGGCAAATATACAAAGTCATTCAACACCCACGAGTAACAGTACTCAAGACTCATCACCTTTGTTGACGCCGGCACGGAATTCTTCCTTAACACCATCAGGCAAGCTTTTTTCAACGGTTAATGTCAGCAGGTCCATAAGCAAGCATGGAAAATTTAATCTTTCGAATGAAACAAGAACGGTTTATACAGCCTTCCTGTCCTCAAGTCAGAAAATATCAAGTATCCACATTAATGGATCAACAGTTTTACGATCTTTTGTAACTGAAAGTTTGGCCAAAAACGTAACGTATGTTAGATATACAAATGGCATTTTAAGTACTACGACGTATCCGAGTTTCAGTCTAAAATCCGCATTCGTCTCTATCGAAGAAATATCTATGACCACTAATGATACAAGCAGTTTGTTAGGACACATCGCCCAAACAAAAACGTTAAATTCAGCACTTTGGAGGACGAATCACCATCCACGTTTAGCTCGAAGGCTGTCTATGGAACAGTTTTACAGCCCATAAAGTCTTCCCACAGTTTTTTTTCGGTTTCGAACGCAGATCAAAATATCACAACCTCGCCGGACGTTCAAGCAGCAGCAAGTACAGACAGCATTTTTAGCACTAAAATTAATCAAACCACGACACCATACCATTACGCTGGTTATACTAGCGTGAATTACTTACCATCAAGTTATTCTAGAAAATCAACCTCTCAACCAGCTGTGGGAATGACTATTGGTGGTACCTCTACTGTGATCGGTCGAAAGACGAATACGAGTTACCTTGGTTTGAGTACGGAAGGACAGAACTCCGTCCAACCAACGCCTGTTCTTTTACGAACACCGACTATAAATAACTCCAGTTTCACCCTGAGTTCACCAGTACTCGGAATAATGTACTCAAAAGAAGTAAGATCACATCGAAGCAACCGTTCTGAATCCATTTTCCCTAGTGTATCAGTCCTTAATGCGATTAAATCATCTACGCCATCATCAGGAGGATCAGATGAATCGGTGCTTGACAAAACCAGTCCATTATCATCTTCCCTGTCCTGGAAGACGACTCGTGATAATAGTTCGTATTTTACTCCAAATAAAACTGATTTTATGACCTCAAGTCTGCATGAATTATCGCAGCAAAACTCTACAATCCATATAACTATCAATAAAACAGCTACAAATGCGGCCTATTTTACTTCGACCAAGAACTTTGATTTGTCTTCTATAAAACCTACCAAGGTTATAGCTTCAATTATGACAGATAGTGTTGCTCCAAACTTGAATTCCGCGCTGGAAATGACCATGTCTTCATCTGCGAGTTTAAGTACAACAGTTGTCCTAAAACAAAGTGAAGGAGGGTGGAATGCCCCATTGCGTCGGAAAAGAAGACAAGTGCTAAATGCGAATATTACAAAACCTGCCAACCTGTCTACATTCTATGTATCTTCACCGAAATTAGAAATGGGGGAAAGCTCTGAGGGCATTATTACGCCGATAAGCAGTCTTCTTCCAACTCTTCAAGCGGTTTTGTCGCCAAATTTTTCAATTCGTGCAACAAAAGTTCTGCCTCGTCCGTCTCTTATTCAGACATGGAGTGTTGAAAAAGTGTCACGGGCACATAGTCGGAATCTATCCCGTTCCAGGTCGGCGGAAGAATCAAAGTCGATTAGCGAGGATTTTAATTCTAGCATTATACCCTTGCCGACTTCCAGCGAAGGCGCGGTTCATTCCTCGGCGTCATTAGTGAGACCAGAGCATACGAGCACTATACTAACAAGTGGTGCACGCTTTGTCCACTCGTCCCCGTACTCAAATAGTTCTTCACGGAGATCATTTGGAACGAACAGTTCAATACACGACACATCGCCTCTTCGAGGAACAGTTTCAGTTAACAAAAGTTCATTGTTCAACCATAATAGTTTCAGGACTGAAAGCAATTATTCGATCTCAGCCACTGCGACACAAAAGCAAAATATGATTGTCACATCAAACTACTCGAACACAGCACGTCATTCTATCGTTCTTTTACCAAGTTCTAATAAAGATACCGTCGAGGTAGTAATCAAACCAAGTGTATCATCATTGCTGGCTGAAAGCAATAGTACATCATCAAAGCTTGATGTGATAAACAGCTCATCTATCATCAACACCACTTCGCAAAAGTTAATTACATTCTCCAATTTCACGATCACTCCGTCAATAACACGAAGAAAAAACGAAACGAGAATACTTGTTTCGGAGCCAAGGTTAAACATTAGCCTGAGTACTTCAAACGGTAGTATATTTAGTTCGTCTGAAATTCGAAATAGCTCATATGCATCTTCGATGTATAATTCATTTTCTTTCAAACCCACCACATCCACGCATCAACAAGGGCACAATACAGTATTTAACCTGCCTGAATCATCGCTTAACACAATTGTGATAAAGTCACGTAGTATTGCATCAACGACGTCAAAGGCTTACGAACAAACTCTAAGAACAATGTTGCCATTGTACACTGTTAGATCTGCAAACATGAACATTTCCACAGTAGATGGCTCAGCTCAAGAAAAATCTACTTTTTCTGTCTCATCCCTCTCTCCAAAAAGTTCTCTTGAACACCTTTCAACCGCTACAAAGAATATAACAGAAAAACACTCCGCAATCACACCTAGGAATATCAGTGATCATTCGCGACTTTCCTTCACCTATTCCACAGAAATACCTCATTTTCCTACGATGGGACAGCAGCAATCATCCCGTCTGGATATCAACATATCTGAAGATCTAACCTCGAGTGTAGACAAATTACTGCCTCTTAGAACGGCTTCGCATTCTGGTCTTTCGTTACAGGCCAATACATCAAGTGGTTCTTCGTCCCTAACACATATTTACAGCAAAGAGTCTATGAATGTAACAGAAACATCGACGGCTAATTTGACAAGCTCAATCGAAGAGCTAGTCTCGAAGTCAATTCAAAATCTTAGTTTAAAAGCAGCAACATATTCTCATACATCTTCAGTCATTGGAAACATTTCGAGGGCTTCATACACCGTTAGAACAGCGTATTTACCTATGACAACAAGCCCATCTCCTTCGTTTTCTTTCATTGGAAGTAAAACCATAACGGCCACACCTATGCTGCCTGACAGAAGCGATACCTCATCTCATTCAATTTTGAACCAAACCTTTTCTCTACCAAACTCACATTCCAACCTGGAACAAACGACTGATGTTGTGGATTCTTTTAGTTCGACCTCGTCAAGTGCATCACATACAGAACAAAATTCCACCTTACCAACAGTTATGGAAAGCGTGTCATCACATGAGGGTGCTACCACAGGTGGAATAGATGCAGTTGGCTACTTTACGCATTATATCATACCAACATCGTCTTTGGGTTTATGTTTGGCGGGTTATTCGACGACCATATTTTTAAATGTTTCTTTTCACTATTCAGCAACGAGTACGATCCCTGCCAACCTAACTGCAAGTTCTACTTTTGCCAGTGCTTCTGTCGAGCTCTATGCCAATGTAACTTCAACAGAATTGCAGTATTCGTCAGTTAATCAGACATCGACTGTCATGAGACCGTTGCAGAGAAGCAGTGTGACTGTTAATATGATCAATATCTCGTCATCGAATCCAATTAATTCGTCTGTTGCATCATCGAGTCTACTAAGGTCAGCACAATCCAGCTTGAACGCCTCGAGTCGACCGAAAGTCACAGTATTTACTAACGTACCAATGAAACATACGATTTTATCATCTGTACTGTTGAACACAACAATTACTGTGTCATCTTCTTCAATCGTTTCTCAACCGACTTCAACTTACGCGGGCTCGTCAATCCTTCATTCAATGCGAAGTAGCATAACAGATATTCCAAAGGCCTCAACCGTCACCACGACTAATACATCTTTAACGTCTGGTAAGATTCAAGTCTCACCAAGCACGTCCTCAATCGTACAATCATCATCAGCCGCTATTACACTAGCGCCCACTACAAGCGTCAAAATGTTAATTATTGTTATAAAAGTACCCGAAAACACTAATATAAACACCGTCGGATTTAAAGCTAATATCGAAGACAAACTTTACGAAGTCTACTGGATAGGAAAGCTCATTGAGAATGCAAAAAGGCCAAAACGAAGAAGTATTCCTGATTCAAGGGTTGAGGTAATAGACATATCGTTATTCGTTACTATCCTATTCTACACCCAGGGGTCGCGGAAGATTGTTAAGGAGGGGGGGGGGGGTGCATGGTAGAGGGAACAAATATTCCTATATTTATATTAGCAGACGCTGGCTTTCCGTGCCCCCTGTGACTACCCCTATAAGCTTATATAGATCCACTTGTTTAAAATCCTATGTTTACTGGAACGATACTGAAATCAAACGCCATATTTGAAGCCAGTTTGAAGCCAAATTTAACATCTGTGGCAACACAATAGAAGAGACCATAATCGACTTGGCTTATCGTTCCCATCTTTCACTGAGGGGTCTAATTCTTCCCCAAAAATGGTCGTAAAAACTCCATTAAAAAGTCATTATGAACGGGTTTTTTTAAAAAAAACTTCGGTTAGTTGTACCCGTTTTAGTTCTCGTGAACATGAGTGTGGGCATTGCTCTCCCGGTTTAAATAGAAAAAAGTAATCTATTAAACCTATAGATATATGTATAACTTGGCCACTGTGACTCTTGTGACGTACTTTGTGTATAAAAGTAGAAAATTAATCCAGCATTCAACTGTTTATTTTTAGGTCAAGAACATGCAACGTGATGGGGAAGAGGTTGATATTCGATATATTGTCATTGCAAACAATAGAACAATGCCAGCAAAAGCTGCTGCTAAGACAATGGACAGTATTTCCATCAAAAGAATGAGCGAAATCATTGAATATGATGTAAGTAAATTCCTGTTTCTTATTTTGAACAATTTTTTTTCAAATCAGTCAAACGGAATGCTTGTTCTTTTGCGAGCAACATTTTCCAAATGAAACCGACTCATTAAATACATTGTCTGCAATGAAGCGAATTGAAAGTATAGAAATTTCCATAACCGCACACATACATCCTTAGCAAGCGTAAAGTTCTATTTTGGGTTAGTTAACTATATGCAAGGAGAACATGTTTTTATTCTCATATTTATTCTTAAAATATCCATGCCGACCTAATAGCTCACACAGCCCGCACTACCAAGTCCGATTTTTGCCACGCTAGGCTTCAGTTGAAAAAAACAAAGTCATTATTCATATCTATACCAAGTTTAACCTTAGTTTTAATGGGTATACTGACCAATACAGACCTTATTTTGTAGGTTATATCGCGTCCAAAATCGGTACCATCGATTGATCCAAAGAGTCAAGTTGTTGTCATCCTTGTCGAAACCATCAGCCAGAAAAATCTTTCTAACCCTGTAACCAGGAGTAGTTTTGAAAATGAACTTGCCAGCTTTTACAAGACGTCAAAAAAAGTTTCAAACGTTCACACTGTCGAGGCAACGGTAAGCATTGTAATGACATCCCTAAATAATACACAAACGTGAGCAGGGTTCATATTTGAATTTCTGCTACATTTCGCGGATCGATTGCAGTCATGATTGGATGCATGGTTAATCAAATAGACGTATCACTGACAGTTGACCCGTTCAAATTGTCTCATCTAAGCCCAAATGCGGCTTTTAACAGATGTAAATTAGTGAATTGTTTCCGAAATGTATTTATAAGAAAACATTCAACATCATTGTGTCATTCAACATCCTCCGAGAAATATTTCAAGTTTTGGAAACAAAATGACGTCAAGTGGCACATATGAACCTTCCTTACAAGTCACAAACCCCATTCAAATTAAACCTCCCTTACGGATGGCACCCGTGTATCCGCACTTTTTTGCAATTCTGTAAAAAGTTGGTGGGTGTCATGAAAGTAAAATTATTACTAGTTAAGTTAACTCAACACGAATGGACTGTTATTGGTCATTTGGGCGTGAAACGTGTACCCTTAGGAAGTGTCTTACATATTCTTACCCATTTACTTTATAGCTAACTAAACTGTTTTTCGAACCACTTGGAAGGACCTATATTGAATATTTTATCACCGTCGACAATATTACAGTTGACCGCACAAAAGTGCTGGTTGCATTTAACGTCAGTGTGAATGAACTGTCAAATAGTTTGAAACAAACGGTAAGTAAGAACTGTATTTTTGTACAAAGTTTAGTGATGGTTCACACCAGTGCTGGTGTTAGGTTGGGTCTAGAGTGGATTGAAGGGTGCAGGGTCGTGGCTTTCCCATCGATCTGAGCGATATAGAAGTAAGAGATCAATTAGCCTTTCTCACGATGACGAATGTGCTGCCATTTTTGGGGTACTTTTTTTAAATTGTGAGCGCAAGACCTTGTCATGGCAACTGTCTTTAATTTTAGGCTTAATTTACTGTTCAAATAGTCTATGGACTCTTTAAATAATGCTTCTTACATTGTTATTATTGTTTGAGCGCATTTAAGAAAATTAAAAGCACCCCAAAAATGGCTGATATTTGTCATCGTGAGAAGGGCTAATTGCAGTATATACAGAGACAGAAAGATAATGGCAAATAGAAACAGAGGTTTAGTCTGGCCAGTCTTGCAGGAAGTAACAGGCCAGCTTGATTGCCCGCGTCTTATGCGTCTGTGTTCATTATGTTCATTCACATTTATATATATACTCATTAAATGTGAAACAGAAATTCTGTTATAAATGATCAATGCACGTGAAAAGCCTTTCTTACTCAATGTCAGAAAATCAAGAAACCACTGCATAAAAATCAAGCTCTTATTCCAGTGGAAATATCGTCATGCAGTCGTTACGACGTCTTTCGGATTAATTTTCCACTCAATGAGTGGGAGTGAGATTTTAGAATATGCAGGAAACAGTTTTCTTAATCAATTCACTCATTCTAAACGAGTTTTGGCATTTTATCAGACAAGTTACTGACCAGGCTCATGACCATCAAATTAAGTGGAAACGTCAAGAGCATTGTTTTATATTTTATATTAGATAATCTGGGAAATTTTCAGGATTTTCATGTACTTTAGGTTCCGTACTTCATACATCCAACTATTTACTCCGTTACATTGATAGGTTCTAGTAGCTCCGTACATCCCAAGTGTCTTACAACTCAGCGAGATGGATTATATCATTCAAACTATGGAGTTTAAAAGTGTTTCTGATCTAAACGCAATTGAGCAGGAGATTGCGAATAAACTTACCCAGGTTTATATCAAGGCACGATTAAAAACATCTCGTAAACGAAAAAAAAGGGCTTTGGGGAGTATCGATGCTGTGGTGAGTATTATAAATTTATGCTCATTTTATGCTCTACTTTAAAATGAATCGACTACAAATGGCGACCATGTTGGCGCTTAATGTAAATACATGCATTAGCATCTCTTAATTTTTATTAGCGATATACAGTCGATAAAGCATAGCCGATAGATGGAGCTCGATGGATTCGAACTACTTCTGCATGAGCAATAGAATGTATAGTTTTTTGACTGAGAAACCACTACTGCATTTGTCTGATTTATAAGTTGGCTCACTGCCTATGTACTGTACATTACAAACCAATTTACTAAAGAACATCCATGAATGGGAAGTTATAATTGAATCTACTCGAATTCATGTGAACCGACAATAAACATGCTCTATGTGGAGTTTGACCACTCGTATACATTCATTTGATTAGCAATTTTTTTTTAAAAATTGTTTACACTTTACCTCGATTCCTTGATCATAGGCATACATATAATTGTGTGCCGGCTAAGCCGTGCCAACCATTTAACGCGTACGTGTAATTAATATTGCCGTGTTTCGTGATACCTTCATTCCCGATTCAACAGATATAACAATTATTCGCTTTAGTCCTATAGTTCTTGACCACGCGTGTCTACGCTTCATATAGCATACTCTTCACAGCATATCACAACGCTTTATACTCTGTCGGTTTTGTGTGCCTCATTGTTTATTCGGCATAAACATCGATCCTTAGCAACCGCAAGCTTTATACCTTCTCAAATTACGGTTTCCATTAAAACAACATGGCCTGCTAGTATAATTCGCCAAGTTTCAGGGCCTAAATCATTCAACATTGTGGATTATATATCAAGATGATATACTTGTACTAAAGTGCTAATCTAATTGCGAAGGTTTGTACAATTGTTCCAATCATTGATACAATTTACCCTTACAATTGAAGTTCGTCGTACAGTAAATTATATAAATGAGACTGAGGCTGATTTAGTCACTCAATATACGCCATACGGTGTTTGGATGATCGTATACTTTTATCAAAGATTTTGCACTTTTAACCTTTTTTTTCTGTGGGGAAAGAGTCCAATTAGCTGTGTTTTATATACAGTCTATAGCTTGGCCGAGATATCGAAGATCTATAATGTCAGCTGTAGGCTTTTAATTCGCTTTAACTAGTATGTGTGATGTGTAGGACTGAAACAACTAAACTTATAGACGATGCATATATCTATGGAAATCTATACTTTCCAAGAAGCGGGCCTTACTTATTAATTAGACTGACTCGAATATAATGTACAAATGTCAGAATAATTAATGGCATTATAGTAATAGTAATGCAGTACCATTTGAAATTAAACAGAGCATTAGAAGCTTAGCTATTATATTTTTGTTTAAATCAATATCCTTTGAAATTTTACGGCCTCAACTGTGATAAGTCTGTTCTTTAGCGATACAATTTTTGTGGTTTTCGGGAGCCAGATATCAGGAGTTTAATTCTAATAAACAAACGTTTCTGTTCTTTATCATGCATGCTGTCAAGTCTAATTCAGTCCTAGCCCAAAATCATTAATTGTTCCTTCTGATTGCAAGCATTTTGAGAGCATTTTTGTTCGAAAGGTAAAAATTTAATCAGGCTTGATTTGGATGGTCAAAGACTTTATAATTTTCGGTTACATCTTGTCTGGTCTCATAAATAATACGAATGAACTGCATCCTTGCATTAAGTATGGAATAAACAGATTAGCACCTTTGGCTACCTGCTGCCTTTACATGTACCCCTGCATCAATTTATATGAAACATTTCTTATTCACCGCTATAGTCTTCTTTGTCAGTTTTTATATGATTTTCCCAAATTTTATTTTGATTTTAGATAAATTGTTAGGTTGACAAAAGATTTTTACAAACCCCCTGCTTTGTCAGAATTAAATTATTTGACACAATATTTAATGCACTAGTCTACCACATTTTTCTTTATATATATGACTTGGAAGTGCTTGACCATGGTTGTCTTGATCTAATTTGAACGGCCATCTTTGAATAAATTCCTACGATAATTTACTCAGTTATGAACGTGCATATAAGCTTTACAAACCATAATATAAAATTGCAATGTCTTAACTTTTTAGGTTACCAAAACTAAGAAGACCCAAGGCGAATCTGCTGACGTCACGTATTACATCTCAGATGCTGGTTCCATCCTTAACGCCACGTACGCATGCGCAATTCTTAACAAACTAACTATACACGAGATGTCAAGTGTTACCACACCGTACACAGTTACTTCGACACCCCGGCCTTTAACACCCACGACCTCCGGTGCCTCTGACAAGGACGATGAGCATCCATCGTGGTTCATTCCTGTCATAATAGCTGGCTCTTTGGGCTTTTTACTGTTAATCATCGTCATCATACTGTATTGTCGATGGAAGAAAGGCGCTCCTCCCAAGAAAGTTCAGCCCCAGGCAAATGAGGAAGAAGTACACAAACCGCGGGTAAGCATTTTCCATTTTAGGAAACTAAATGTGTCAATTTCCCTGAGGAATATTTTATGATTTAGCGTATTAGTACTCTTGCTTGTTCAATCTTAACGTGAATATCAGGCCTTTATTTTCTCTACCTTTTCGCCCGTGCATCTTTCCGCCTGGTTTACCACCGCGTTAAGGCGGAAAAAATAAAGGCATGGGGGCGGTTGCACCAAAGCTGGATATTAAGGCTATCCACCTGATAGTGATTTTTTTAACCCCTGTAAACATAGCTTAAAAGCAATGAAATTATAGATTTTGTGCTAACAGTTATGGAAGAGGATTATTAATTTAGGAATACTAAGGTGTAATCAAAGCTATATCGAACTGCGAGAAATTGCATAGCGATTGAAAAAAAACTACTATCCAGTGGATAGCACTATCCAGCCTTCGTATAACCGGCCCCTGACATTCAGGGGCAGGTTATACAAAAGCCGGATAGCACTATCCACCGGAAAGCGAAATTTTCAGGCGTTGTAAAAATGCTTAAAAATCTACAAAACTACCGATATGAACTTCCCAATTAAGAGAAATATACTTTAATTTATAAATGCTAAGGTTTAATCTGGGTTATACCGATCAACGGACAATTTTAAGAAGGTTGAAAAACTCGCTATCCGGTGGATAGCGCTATCCGGCTTTCGTACAACCGGCCCCAGGTTAGTTCAATAATAATTGAATTATTGCAAGCCTGGCGACTTAGACCTAGCTAGTAGCTGCTATGACAATTTGGGGTCATAATTATTATATTACATTGATTGCTTTGACACTCGATGGATATAGCTATATATAGTCACGCTGATCATGAGTGAACAACGAAATATTAGGATAACGGGTATATAATAAACATACTTGCAGGGAGGTGAGCCCGTGATCAACGCACTTCGGTGCCGAACCTGCAAGTATGTTTAGTTTTTACGCATCGGGTTCGGTAGGTTCATGGGTTCGAGTTTGAACGCACCTGCATGCCCTTAGCCAATAGGAACACGGCTTTTACACTGGGTATGGGATAATATGTAAATCCTTAGGCTGGTGAAAAAAGTGAAACCATCGTGGTTGCTGTCCACCTCCTAAGACTAGCCCAACTCTAGATCCGCCACTGAACCCTTGCAGGCAAAAATACTTTTGGGCCACTTGGACTGAATCCGCCTTAATATTAGGTTTTTACTTTTTTCCCCTTCTTTTCTTCCGTGAATTCCCTTCGTTTTTTTACCTCTACCAAATTTTTTGTTCGTAAATGTTGAAAAGAACAGCAAATATACACGCACTTCTGTTTTGCATTCGTGAGGTAAAAGAATGACATCTCTTCAGCGCTGGCAAGACATTACCAGAAATTTGCGACATGATAATTTGCATGTATACTAATTTGCATTTAACTTTCAGCATAATGGCCTTCAACATTTACTATAAAATATATATAGTAAATATACAAAACTTAAAAATGCCGTTGATCTAGACCTTGCCTACTGTTTGCCGACCTCTAGATCGGTCGAGCAGCTGTTTAGAAACGTTTTGGTGGCCGAATTTTTTTGCTTGGGCATTTCTGTAATCTGCCAAATTTAAAAATATATTGCTCAAAGTTTTGTCCGTGTTCTGTCAACGAACTTATAAAATCGCTCACATTGATTCGAATATTTCGATTCAGGTAGTTGATGAATTGACGTGTAATATACCAAAAAAAGTTGTTAAAGATATTGTCTTTCGTATTTGTGTATAAACTTTTCTGTACGGCTCGGATTTTCACTGCAATCACTTTAAAAAATATTATCAGTCTTATCAGGAACTTGAACAATACGAAGGCTATATACACATTTGTTCACAATCAGTTGGCCGAACGTAGAAATACCTAAGGTAAGTAATTCGATCATTAAAACGTTGGGAAACGGCTGTTCTATTGACCCAGAGGTCGGCAAACAGTGGGCAAGGTCTAGGGCAACGACATTTTAAGGTTTTGTATATTTACTATATGTATTTAATAGTAAAAGTTGAAGGCCATTATGCTGAAAGTTAAATGCAAATTAGTATAAATGCAAATTATCATGTCGCAAATTTCTGGTAATGGAACACAATTATATCCGAAGTAATGTGTGCATGGACCACCTGCTTTTTTCCTATTGTCATGCGGAAAGAGGAAGTTATTATGTATTGTAGCATGCAGCTTGTCAGCATCTTGCATTATTGAAAGGCTTACTTAAATGGCTTCTTTCAGTTGCAAAATAAATGCCCTAAGGAGCATTGTCGCATTGTCGAAGACACTGTCTTTTAAATTTTTCCAGTTATTATACACCGTTCTCCTATTCTTCACGAAAACGTTTTACCGTAATGACACATATGTCCATCAGGATAAGAGCATTGTTTATTTGTGCTCAAAATAGAACACCTTGCGACCTATTTTATGCTCTAATTTTAATATTTATCTCGCTTGTCATAATATTGTCAGTTAACAAGGGGAAAATATGAACTCCAATATATATATATGGCGCAAAAAAAAGGTTAACCTGTTTAATTGAGTATAACTTTAAAACTAAGACGTCTGCTACACTGAATTCTTTAGATTCGTGAATATCTAACTTAAAATATGGTACATACCATGCGTATTTTGATACAATATTCCCAACCGAGATATCAGCGTTTTACTTTCAATACGTATCTTTTAAAAGTGCAAAAATTAGTCAAAATGGAATATTTTAATATAACAAAAGATAATTTTCGCTTTCCTGCTCGCTGCTATTACTCGCTGCTTTATCGTTAAACGAGGCCTATTAAGAAAAGAACAAGCAGAATTCATGCGAAATTGTTTGCTAAATTTGTGTGCGATCGAAAATATTTGGTGTTGTTTTACCGCTTTCCATACAACATGTCATAACACAGAAAATAAAAAGACCTTATCCATCTGTCAAATGTTTCTATAAACTTCATTGAAACCGACAGAATACGTAACATAAAATACTAGGATTTGTCAACTTATATATATATATTTACTCTGACATCGAGCCTCCTTTACAGATGACTCACGCTTCTGAACCGGAAGGAAGATCTGCACTGCGCCATCCTCCGTCGCTAACAACAAGAGCAGGTGTTGCTGTTGAAGAAAATGGTCACAGCGAGACGAGGCCAAAGCCTGCTCCACGTAGGCTTCCTGTGAGAGAAAACTCTGTGCGGAGAAAAGTTCCCAGTAGAGAAAGCGTTAGTACGAGGTAAGAAAATTCAGGCTGATGACTTTTCCGTTACATATACTGCTGGATTGCGCAGTTTAAAAATGAGTTTGAAAGCACAGAAAGCCATGGTTTCGTTGTCCAGACGCTCGTTCTCTTTCTAGCTAGATGCTTTTGGTCAGTAACTTTCAACCATATTAATGTGTCACAACACGTTGAATGTATAATATGAAGTGCGAAATGGTTCAGCCAAACATTTTAAACGGAACGGGGAAGTTATATAGTGTGTATATAAAAGTGTTATACGGTAATAGTTTGATTATAATTATATCGCTGCCATTAATATATTAATTAAAATATTAAAATATATCTACCGATTGTTCCAAAAATCATGATACTGATTCGTTCCGATGGCGCGAAAGGCTTTTGCTATGAAATACGTTCCAGTGTATATTCAGAAAAAGCAACTGTTGCTAGGATATTGACTACCGAGGTTTCAACTTTGAACTAGAAATAGCTACTACATTCGCGGATCAGCTCCTGGCTCTTGCCCATGTGGTTGAAAATAATCATAACTTCCCAAGTTCCCGTGAAATGCACGTTTAATTCGAAGAAGCTTTTAACAGTTTTTTTTCAACCGACATTAATCCGAAGGCCTTCTTTTTTTCCTAAATTATACAGTTATACCTGCCTTCTTACCTACCAATGAGCCAAACGACCCACCCATCTATCTGCCCAAAAACGCCTATTTTACAGGCTGCTGAAAATAGCAAATCTGAAAGTCTAACTATCATAGTCTAAACATCACAGTTTTTTTACCTATTAACCAAGATGTTTTATATTAAGAAACGTACTTGCATTGTTTTCAGAACAAATCCTGCATATGTCGAGGAGGAGAGCGATGACGAAACTTTAACAGATATGAGTGTTAATCAAAGCAGAATTCAAGAAACTAACGTCGTAGTCGGTAGAAGAACGCAGTCTGAGACACCGAGAAAGACCATCCCTCCCCGGCCTTTACAGAGAACTCTTCCATCGGACGAGGAGGATGAAAGCGAAGAATCTGAAGACGATAGTCAGTTTACGCCTAATGGCGGTGCATTTGCCGTTGCTGACAGGGTATATGACTTTTTATTTTGTCTCAAAAGTATCGTGGTATAGCAATTTAAATAGTCTCTTGTTGTATCCGTTATTGTTGCTTAAGACCTTCTCAATCGCAAGTAAAAACTTAAAATTTGTTTCTTTTTCTGTCCAACTTCGCTCTTACATTAATTCAACTCTTCACACAGCATTCGGCTGGAACATTACCACCAGTGGCAGTGATGACCGGTGGCCCCAGACATCCAGAAATACAGCCGCCTGTTAGATTCCGTCCATCAGTTCATCCTGAACCAAGTTTGCCACCGCTTGATCAGAAACCAACATCACTTGTTGGTAGAGTTGTTGAAGAGGTAAATTCGTGAAGTCGTGTCTCCTTCCTGTTTTCCAGGTGTTGACGAATGTGTGCATATAAATAATTTTATTCATGATTTGTATACAATATTACACTACAGCGAAAAACTGAAACTGTAGCTATTCTTCTTTACATAATCGTAACATATTTAATAATATAACTATTTAACGTTACAGGAGGGCTCTGTACAAAAAGAGATGAGAACGAAGGTAACAAATATTCCACTTCTAAAGGCCTTATTACACGGTGCAATTTTTCATGCAACTTGCAATGCAATTATTCATTTTTTTACACTCAATGGAGGTTTCTATATTTGAAGAAATTAAACTAAGTTAAATATTTTAAAAGTAGAATTAGCCATTTCCCAATCGAGAAGGGGGCAGTGGGTCTAGTCGCGAACCGCAAAGCATCTATGGACTGTTTGGAGATGCAAGAAATAATCATTTTTAATTATTTGTCCCTCCAAACAGTCCATAGATGCTTTGCAGTTCGCGACTAGACCCACTGCCCCCTTCTCGATTGGGAAATGGCTAATTCTACTTTTAAAATATTTAAGTTAGTTTAGATTCTTCAAAATAAGAAACCTCCATTGAGTGTAAAAAATGTAAGCAAAATTAGGTTTCGTAGTTGTTGTTGCCTTTACACGTAGAATTGTATTGCAAGTTGCATGAGAAATTGAAACGTGTAAGAGGGCCCTAAAATGCTGTTTTATGGACTATATAGGTTTTTAATTGCATGAAATGCATGCATTTCTGCTTAGATAGGTAGTTCCAGCTTGTTCGATGGTATAACAACACAGTAATAACACATGCATATCATAAAGCCGATAATATTCCGTATCAGATAATTCCGACAAGTTATGTTTTTGCGTTTAGTTATCGCAACAAGAGGAGCGTGTTTTGCATTTATTTTATTTTCTTAAATAGTCTTCTGTATGTCTTAATTGCATGTTTCCTTTTATGGTCGTGTTATTTTTAACGTCGGTAAAATGGAGTAATATTTTTTGAATATTTTCAAAGGCCGACATTGAAAGATGGCGTAATAAGCAAAGACAGCGTGACAAGAAGTTGGGTGAATCATCGAAATCTGGAAACAAGAGACCAAGCTTCACCGAGAAAAAGGCTTGGGGGAGGGCACAGCAGGAAATCGGTGCCGTACTTGACCCGGAAGCAATGCAACCCATTGTCAGGTTAGTCCGCGAATAACTTCTGCAATATTTATAATAATATTGTATTTTATAAAATCCGTTATCCTAATCCGTTAAGTTTTTTTGCATGATATATGCGTGTTAGTATTTGCAAGGGGGAATTCAGCTCATATAATGCATGATCTAATATAGAAAGCATCTGTGTTGTTTCACTACATGAGGTGGCGCTTTAGACATTACTTTTGAAAATATGTCAATAGCAAATATGCATTATGGATAACGATGCCAGAGTCCAGAGATGCCGGAGCTGAAAAGTGTACTATACCTTTTAGGTGTCGCTACCAACATACGACTTTAGCTTGGCCGTTAAATACATAATTACGTAGAAAGATAATTGTATACTTTTCCTTATTCACACATGTGTTTATCTTCAGGAAAACTCGCCGCAAGCCTCGTCGTAAATACAAGATAAGAGCTGAGACAAGTGACGACGAGGAAAATGTCGAACTACGAGGATTTAGGAAACTAACAAGTCCCCGCGAGGAAAAGGCACGTATACTTGTATTTCACTAATACTATTCTGTTTTTACGGCAGTATTCTGAATTTTTGTTTTTGACAATGAAATTGAGCTGGCTACACTAGAATTCGTGATTTCGATCACTCGTTAAAACAGAAGCTATCAAAAAACTTTCGTTTGAGTTTTTCGTTCATTTCTGTTTACACTTTAAAGGATAGTATATAGTGGGAGTAAATAATATTTTGAAGAGTAAAAATCCCATCTTTTCATGAAGATCGGCACACTGGTTCAGCAAGTCTGTTTCTTGACTTTAATTGGAAGTACAGCCAGGAATGCCCAGAAGGGGGGGGGGAGCAATTTCTGCCCCGGGCCTCAGGGTTGCAAGGGCCCCCGTAATTTTAGAAGAATAAAATTGAACTATATTGTTGGTAGTATGTAGTCCTCAAAAAAAGTAGTTTTTAGAAAACGTTTTGGGTTATTTATAGTTTGGGTAATGCAATATATATATTAGATATTGCTGAAATTTCACCCCCAAAACGCACGAAATGGCATTTGCTGCACTCTAAAACTTCAAAATCTTCTTGGGGGAGGATATCCCTAAACCAACTACTGACCGTGCTCCCGAAATATACCTTTGTGACACCTCAATGTTCTCGTGATGTACTATCGCATTACAATGGTACAAATTTACTCTTGCGTTTTTTTTGGCTGCGGATTTTGGGCCCCTAACGAGAATTTTGCCCGGGCCGACAAAATTTGAATACATCGCTGAGTACAGCATTGCCATCAGAACGCCATTTAACCCTAGTTCTCTTTTCAAACGATTTCCAGGTTCCTAATGCGGAGCATGAATCACCATCGGACTCTGATATCAGTATGGGCGAAGCTCGGCGTAGAATGATTGCGCTCATCGACGACGCTTTCACTTCAATCAAATCAGCCTCGAAGAAACATCATCCAGAAACCAGTGACCAGGTCGATGCGGGTGGGCAAGCACAGAGCCGCCCTCAGAATAAACAACCACCTCCATTGTACCCCAGACCCACAACTCTTACCCCTGCTCTTCCTGAACCACCTCCGTCGCATGGCCGAGCGTCAATTCCTTCCGCAAGGCACAGGCGGAGATTTATGAATTCTCAGAATTCGTTACCATACCCCTCGCAATATTATCCTGGTATGTCAGGTGGTTATTCCCCTCGTTACCCACCACCACCTCCTCCACCGGTCGTGACGAAGAATCCTCTCGTCGTTTGGGATCCCGTTGATAAACAAAGGTTAGCATTAGTGATCAATTCGCGGTACTCTCGGGGTTTTTAGTAAGTAGCTAGCTAACGTTATTGGATGCCTACCAAAGAGAAATGGATTTCAAAATCAAACGCGCTCTAAAATCAGACAAGGTCGTTACAGCTTCTCTTTGACAATGGTGAGCTTAAATGCACCCAATGTATGACGCTTACGTAAAGAGATACTGTCGGTATGCCTTTAGTCTCAACACTTTCAGCTTCCATTTGTCACAAAGCCAGAGCAGTAGCTATGTAATTCATACGAGATATCATTCCTTACGCTCCTGAAGTTTGCGTCGTTGATCGATTTTGTGCATCTCAATATTTGCGGATATAATACTTTAATCTGTTTGACTGCTGATTTAAAGATTTAAATTTTCCCTTCCCGCAGCCAAAATTTTTAATTGGCGTGCCATATTTCATGAAGAATCAAATATAGCTAGTGTAAAAACCACTCGCTCACGCGTGGAAGGGTTTTTTAGGAATACAAGCAAAACAAATTGCAAAAAGCTGTTTGAGTTTCAACCAAAAAGGCTGCTTTTTGTAGCTCTCCCGCTTTGTGAATTTCAAAGTTCCGGTTCTTTTTCGTGTGTACGTGTGCCTCTTGAGTAGAGTAGGACATTAGGAAACATTGCGCATTTAAGAGAAGGCATTTCATGTTGATTTGTATTTTCGCAAAATATTGTAGTCCTTTCTACGTATAACGTATAGGTGGCACACGGTTGTATATATTCTTTTCTCTCTTTTCAGAGCTCTCAACCAATCAGCTTACAGGCCATATGCTCGCACTCCGTATTCCTACACCGATCCTTCTGGTAAATTGCATTTTACTCCAGTTCAACAAACCCCCGACGGAATGGTAGGTGTTGTGCTGATGTTATTATAGTGCAGTAGAAGAACATAGTTACGGCCAACTGGCATACCAGGCGCCCTCAATGCTAGGAAGGTCTTTCATTGCACGTACAGCGTTAGTTCGTTTACTATGTATTGACCCCTTCTGTCTTTCAGGGTGGTTTGGTATGGTCTCCATACGCGACAGAATACGCGATGGAAGATTTTTACCGAAATGTAAGTCACCTTCATTTGTTTGCAACAAATTTTGTGATCCATATTATGTGGCGTGGTATGATTTACCAACCAGAGCTCCATCTTTAAGGCAAACTAAAAGTCTAAAGCTGGTTTTCTCGTCACCTCTGCATTTATTCGTTCGTGCGAATGAATGTAAAATCCGACCATTGTCATGACATTTTAAACCCCACTTGATATTACTCAACATGCAAGTCTTCAGTGGCGTAGCCAGCCTGACGATTTTGTCCCGCTATGTAAATTTCGAGTTATTATAATTATTCATGTCTTTAGAAATCTATTGTTTTCACAGTCAGTAAACACCAAAATATTAGCATAGCGGGACAAATCGACAGGCTGGCTACGCTACTGCAAGTCTTCCCTGAAATCACAGGCAGTTTTAGCCACTGTCATCCACGTATCACTAGTTTTAATTCTTATTGTCTTATTATATATATAACTATAGGTGGAAATGCCAGGTACCTTGGATCCCAAAAATTCGAGTTTCTTGTCGAAAATGGAAGAAACGACACTGGGTGAGAGCACAAGCGCCCCACGTGAAACAGTAGTTGAAATGCCACAAGCTGACATTGCTGGTGAGCCTGGGACGAGAACGGGAGAGCCTGCTGAGCCACTAGTTCGCGCAATCAAGGACGAATTATTTCGGTTGGCCTCGGGACGTAGTCCTGTTAAACACATGTGAGTATTTATATCAGATTCAATATTTCCCGTTGATCGTTCCACATTTTGGATGGCTTGAAGGTATTATTGGATGGCTGGATTGTTTCGTTTTCTTGGTTATACATCTCTACAAAAAATTCTTATGTGGAAATAAGTATGCTTTCAACATGGCTGGAAGATATGCGCTACATTCTGGCTATCATTAAGAGCACGTACCACTGATGTACTAGCAATGGAGGATGCTGCGCTTTACATTTTATCAGAACCACGATTCCGTCAAGAAATGTTTAGTTCATATTTGGCGCGAGTTCAAAGACATGTACTTTCGGGAGTGCAAATCAGCAAATATCACACTGCAAAAGGATTTAAGAATGTTTCATCATGTTCCAATGCTGACTCGCTGAGAGGCTTCGTTTCGCTGTAAAAGGGTGCGTAAAGACATGGACAATAAGAATGCAAAACATTGTGCCGACGAATGCTTTTCATTGTTTGAGGCTGTTCACATGAGCTCGGTTGCCCGAGAGCTTGAGATGATTTTGAGGTATTAAAATAAGTCTTTGAAACAAAACAACCGCACACTATTGTTAGGGCGGCTAGTCACATGGCTACCAGGATCATGTTATTTAAGTACTACTTTAATACTTCAATATCACGCTTCGTTAAATAAATCTCGGCTGAGTGAGATCATGTATATAAACAGTCCCTCAGTAGGATTTGAACAATACAAGGGGTGTAAAATATATTCAGATGTTCCAATGACTGGGTTATGTTTTTTGAAATGAAGAACAAGCAAAGTGTGGAACATGAAGTTATACACAAAATAAACATACATGTATACAATGGATCGTTTTGAATGTTAAGAAAGTTTTATTTATTTAATATAATTATTTAAAAGTTTTGATAATAGTTATAGCTATAGACGTAACATAGATTGTAAAGTGTATATAGTGTAAATATAAATCGAAAAGATGATATCTATGAACTTTAAAAGTTTTGAAATTGTAATTTAATAGTGTATGTATTTATCTATTAAACACTTTTACAATATAGAATATTACCCAATGTGTAATGTTTATTGTTTTGTGAAAAGAAGAGATTGCCTTTCATTATAATAATAATAATAATAATAATATTTCACATTTATATTGCGCATATTCTATAAAATATTCATATGCGCATTTACTTAAATTGCGTCAGGAAAAAAAATTAGGTTTGTGCTAATGGTCTGCATGTCCTTGATTTTATTAAACACCATATTATGGAATGAGAGATCCCGATCGAGTTTTTACCTCATTCGATCAATAGTTAATTTGGACATCTTAATTAAGACACACTGATTATTGGCGTACGGATATATCTATAAGGTTACTATCAGAAAGCTATCTTTTTGCCTTATGTTAATGTGCATGGCATTGAGGCAAACCTTGGGACGACATGCATGTACACTTCACTAAGGCCTGCATAGTGTCCCATGTTGTACATGTAACCTCTGTGGGCCAATATGGTTGGTATATAGTTTCTTGTAGCTATACTATATATAAATAAGAGCTAAGTGCAGCCTTAAATTAAGAAATTAGAAATTTATACAATCGGGATTAATATATATATATATACATGGCACACGCAGCTGCTGTTGCCTAACGCCAAATTACATAATTAATGTTTGGGTATCATGCATGCATCGATCTCCCCATGTTATATGTCGCGTAAACCCAAAAATTTCATGACGTCAAGAAGTACAAAGTTCGTTTGATGACATGCCAAGCAAGCATTTACAAGATCAAAGGCTTATGCATTCATTCTAAAGACTTGCTCAAACCAAAACTTATTGTCAAAGAGTTTGTGTTCAGAACACATCATATATGCATGTATCAAGATGACGTCTCCGCTCTGTAAGGGGCTGTTTACATGAGCCCGGTTACCCGAGATTCGACGAAGCGTGAGAGGACTTTGAGGTATATTGAAATAAGTCTTTATGACATGGCAAACAAGCACATGCTAATGTTGTGGTGATTATACGACTGCCAGGATCATGTTATCTGCTCATTTCAATACCTCAAAATCATCTCAACCTTCATTGAATCTCGGGTACCGGGCTTATGTAATCTAGGGCTTTTCTGATTCTACTCGAATCACATATTCGATTGTTTAATGTAATGTGACGTGTTATTGACCACTATAATGTAAAAGCAAATTACATTTAAAATACAGGCATCTTAGTCCCGATGAATTTGAAGGCTCTTATAGTGCAGATGTTTTTAGTTTCACATCAATGATAAGACCAAATTTTTAAATTGAAGTTCTGTAAACAAATTATTAAAAATAATTAATTTGCGTACATAGATAGCACAGGTCTTTCATTAAAATATGACGGGGTGAAAGCTGTTCATATACCGTTTAAGCCGCTTAAAGCGGTTTACACTTAAAAGGAAAATAGTCGCGAAACTGCATGTCCCTTTGTATGATTTTGATCAGTATTTGAAGGGCTAGTTTGAAGAGTAATCCAGCTACGAATCCTTTTGCTGACTGTATATTATAATTGCTGTGACTGATCATTATTATAGGCTAACTTCAATTTTTTTACTTCGAGTGGACTTTAACAGCATTATAACGCTTCAGAAATCATCTGTATAATATCGTAATAAATATTCCATTTAAATATGTTAAGTTAAAACTATGTTAGCTGATAAGTTTTTCTTGGTTTAAACGAGGCTAGACGATGGGTATCTAGTGGAGACAGGGACGCCGGAGAAAGAGGAACGCGCGGGGGCATTCACCCACCTTGCCCGGCCCTTTTCACTTGTTTTTATTACTTTTCACTCTATAAGTGCTCCTGAACTCAAATGTCGTTTTTGCGCCCCTAACAACGGGGTCGGCATTGGTTGATGATAACAATAAAACACAATGAACTATAGAAATTGATTTCGAAAAGAACGAATCATAAACACGTACTGAGCTGTTCACTATTGTTGCAAAAAGCCAATCAAAAAACACGTTCATATTAGGCAGATACTTAAGTGAAGCACTATACGAGTTGATATATATATACAAGGCCAAGCAAATCCAATCCAATTGTCGAAATCCGAAATTTTAACATTTTAAATTTTAGGAAAATCAATCACTTCTTGCGATCGCTATTATATTGCCGGCGTAATTATTTCACAGTTGTTCGTGATAATGTTAGCACATGCTAGACATGGAAAGGTCAAAAAGTCTTACAGAGCTGATTTAGTTTACCATGCAACCCACAGACTTTTTCAACATATATAGTAATTCCAAAGGTACTTTTTAGCACATCCTATCGTATAACGCTACTTGCTGACTTGGAAATAAACTAAAAAATTCCCAGCAAAATAAAAAGCACAAATTACATGCACTAACGATTTAACGAATCCATGGAAGGTGCCGATTTCGAAGTTATTATTTAATTAACCTCTCTCTATCTTCTATCCTTTCTACCAGTTTTTTCATCCGGATGCATTTCCAACATGAAAATGCTAAAATGATCTTCGTTGGGTCTCTAACAAAGAATTTTTCGATAGGATAATCATATAAGCATTTGTGGAGGTAGATAATATTATGCAAAATGATGCTTCTGCCTGGAATCTTTCTTTTTTAAATACACCAACGCAGTAATAGACACTATAATAGACGCCATACACTATACTGTTTTTAGCAAATTTTCAAATTAACATTTTTTGCGAAATATTGTAAAATGTGGGAAATAAATCCATATAGAATTGGTAAATTTCACATTTACTGGCCTTATAAATAGAGCGTCTGGGGGATTCAATATATCCGTTAACTCGCACAAAGTATTTATAACCAGGCCGTATGCATGCATGCAACTATATATCCAACATTGATCACTACTGTATAATGGAATTAATTGGGCATAACATTGGATGATGCCAACGATTGCAAAATATCAATTATAACTTTACATTTGCACTATTGATATTCCATTAATTGAAAAGAAAGCATTTGCCGAGTTCATTTTTTTGTGTGTCAACAGATAAATTTTTCTGCCACATAATATGTACGGATTAATTAGTCGTCTAAGAGACATTAAGTGCACCAAAGCATGTATATTGTAACTGTAGAATATAAAAATACAAGTCCACCTTCACCCATACTTATCTGCAGAAGGGAACCTAAAGATCTCGTGCAGCTGTGCATCTCAAATTGAGTTTCTCACTCTTGAACTGTAAGTTAAAACTTTATTCCTAAATCTCTCTCGGTTTGTAGCTATATATATATATATATAAGTATACAATTCTTCAGGAGCTTATACGGCAACGACACAGTGCGAATTTAAGGTATCATTTATGCATGAATTGGGCGTACTGCACTTTCTTCGTTGCATGTATTAAAACAAAAATCGAAAATTGATTGTGAATAAGAGAGGGTATGTACTAGAGACAAACTGGTAGCCGAGCGAAATATAGCTATACTTCTCTGTGTTTTTGGAGAAGTCAGTGTTCTTGCCACTGTATAAGCAGTATTAATTTTAGTGCTTGCGCTACATTAGATGGGTGGTTATTGAAAAATTATATTAACTGGATTTCACATGTAGGTGCTACAAGATTGATGTGACTGTGTCATATACAGTAATCAGCATAGGCTAACAAATTTTGTATGTACTGTATAATTTTATAAGTTCATCTTAATTTAGATATCGTCATTTTTATAACGACTACGAGCCGTGAAAGTTGAAGCAATGTTTATCAAAATAATCGTGTGCATCGCCGTTCTTTCGCCAACCATTCTTGCGAAAGAGTCAGAAAATTGCAAAAGTAAGTTGATATTCACAAATAGTTATCGAATGTCCCCGTTATATGTTATTTCCGTGAATAAGGCGATGTTTTCGCAATTTTGCTTTAAATTAAAACCATTTAATTTACATGCATACAAACGAGGCTGAGATCAACTAAACTTTATTCACAACTATACTATTTTTACTTTATTTATACTTTGTTTTTACTATTTTTACTTTACCCATCTATACTATTTTTTTCGTGTATACCCCATGCACATTACTGACTACTGTCCAATCGATAACCATCTATAATCTTTCTATTATTTTTTCGAGTATTACCACATTACTGTCCAATCGCGATAAACCATCTGAAATGTAATGAAATGCATCATCATTATGAAATGTAAGAAAGATCTCGTGCATAATATTCGAGAATGCCATCTAGACGATGGAAAATACAGTGCGAAAAGAAATTTTTGAGAAAGAAAGAAAATGCCTATTTCTTGCTGGTGCGAGGGTATTAGCTAACGCACAATAATATAACTATGCATCAATCACATGCAGTAGTTTAATGAACTTGACCTTCGCCCTCTGGGTTTCATTTTTCTTATGCAGCATATATAAGACATAAGTGAAACTGTAACGTGGAGATTTTTATTCGGTTTGATTCCGTTTCGATGAATATTTGCTCAGGCATGCACGATAGAAACTAATAATTATTCTACTGTATAATTAATTATCTTACCACTTTTTACCATATTTCTATCAAAACAAAATTATAGGGTACTCAAAATGTGAATATCAACGAGGAGTGGCTTTGGCCAGGACAAGTTGTGGGATGACGGGCGTCACTATCCCTAGTTGTGAAGAAGACGGTCGTTTTTCTCTGAAACAGTGCAAGACTACGCCGTACTGTTGTTGCGCCGATCCTGAGAATGGCGAACAAACAGAAAGCTGTGTCAGAGTTCCAGAAGAACCTGATTGTGGGAAGAAAGGTATTTTAGTATATTTTGTCTGTGAGGCACCCACATCACACTATAAGTGCGACAAGAAATTAATAGCACTAAATACCGAGACAAAAGATATCGTGTCACCATCGTCGGGTCTTTGTCATAAATTTGTCATAAATGTTAGACCCTCCTTTCGGATGGCCAAGCTTCCAGTCAGATCCTACTATGATATGGGTCACGATTATCTGCTCTTTTCCAAACGTCGTCATGATACATATAAATTATTTACTCTTAGCCACTTTTAAATTAAAATTTTCAGGGATAAACTAGCCTACATGCATGTATACGAATCTTTTCGAGATATTGAATGAGAGTTGAACTTCTAAAATATGAAATTCATGAATAATTAATGAGTCTAACTTCCAATCATTGCGCAGTATTTTGGTCACATGTATAAATCTGTAATTCTCTATAAAAGTCTTATGTAATAAATCTGTAATTCTCTATAAAAGTCTTATGAATTGATTGTAATTCATAAACTTTGATATACTAACTAATCTTAATTAGTATTCATAACTTTCTTACATACATGCCCTAACAGGCATTAAGCTTAATCTAATCATTTCACAAGCACGCTTAAATGCTCGTGCTATTGCGATTCAAATGCTCGCACTCACCATTGTAAATATACTCATACTGAACAAACCGCTCGTATTTTAACTCATACAATGAACGTGTATACGCAACGGACAGAATTTGACAACTTGTTTTCTCTGAAATTAAAATCATTAATTCCAATAAAGACATTTATAGTCATTGTTATATAATTTAATAATTTAGCTTCATATTGAAAGACGAAAACAAAAGCTGGATACAATGAAGGATATGTGCATGGTAGATAATATACACTCAATTTCAACCAAAACATTCGCGACTCAATCTGTAAATGATATTAATGCGTGAAATTATCTTTAATTTTTCAAGAAGAGCAATAACGGATTATTTAATCGCCGCGCCGAAAATTGCGTACTACATTTTGCAGCATTGAAGTCGAATGCTTTTATTTAGTTTGCGAGGAGAAGCGAGCTGCTGCCTTGAAGCTGGTAGAACTTGGACTCCTTGGTGTGTTTGTTCCTAGATGCAAGAAGGGAGGAACTTACCATCCATTCCAAACAATAGAAAGAGAAAATTGTTGCGCAGATTTACGAAGTGGAGAGTTAAGCAATTGCGTTTTTGCTCCCAAACTACCAGAGTGCGTTAAGAAAGGTATTTTTAATCCGCGATTTGCTAAAAATTTAGGCTGTCATATTTATTTTCCCCTACAAGCTAGTGAGTAGTATGGTCTATTTACTGTGAACTATCCTTTATCTAAATTTAGATTACTCTAAATGTGAATATGAACGTGCAGTCGCCCTGGAAAAAAGCAATTCCTGTCCAATGCTGGGTGCAGATATCCCTGAGTGTGAAGAGGACGGAAGTTATTCCTCGTTGCAATGTGGCCCCACTGGCTACTGCTGTTGCGCACATCCTGAATGTGGCAAGCAACCAAAATGTGCTAGAGCACCAAACATGCCTGACTGTAGCAAGTAAGGTAGGAGCGATATTCCTTCCATAAATTTATCTTCAAACGCCCATTTACACGTTTCGATGAGTGCAATAATATATGTAATGGATTGTCAATATTTGAAAGAGTAAATATTCTTTGATCGATATAAACCTACCTCAGTACCTCGACTAACGAACATTGCCTCAATTTGTATTCGTGAGTTCTCAACCTTTTGTGCAAAAGTTAAATTGTTGCACAAAAAACAGAAAGTACATTTCTTCCGTTTAATTAATTTATATATTTATTCCTTTCATTTTTTAAGATTGCCGTGAAAAGAAACGAAGAAATACTATAATTTAAAAACTTTTCTTTCGGATGATTAGTCCATGCAGTGTGTGATTCCAGCAACTGGAGCTTTAACGTATTCTTGGTTTTCATTAAACTTTTTAATCTGACGTTTTGCTGTGTTATATATAACAAGTCTTGTCGAGTGTTTTTTGAGCTCCAAATCTTCCCACCTGAAAGATCGAGACCAATGTAAAGGGTTCCTTCTCCGTGAATGCTTCAATGGTTACTGTATATTCTTTACCCACTGTAACAATATTAGCTAATTGTGACGATAAAATGATTCGTGAACAACCATTTCTTTAACAACATCACTCAAATTTGCACATCCTGAAATGAAAAAAAATCCAATAAAATATCAAGTCATACGAAGATGATGATAAGTCAGACGAAGAGAAAGTGGGGTGTACAGGCACAAAAACACCGACGAAAAAAAACTGGGAACGTCTAAGGTCCAATTAAAACAAAGTTCGGCTACACATTGAATCACGTGGTCCCACATGAACTTACAGGCTACACTTACAGGCTTACAGCTGCTTAGGTTCACTTGTCAAATGATGTAAAAAACAAGTATTATGTATTTATATATAATATTACACAATACAAAACGTAAAATATCCCTTACCACTTAGCATCATTGTTTCTTTGAGTTCTTCTTTATAGATATCTAGAACTTTGGACACTCCTTCCTCCCCCTTTAGACAAATAGAAATAGCATGTAAGAATATTTTCCAATTTCGTAAAAATGTAATGGTTGTGTTAAAGGTCCCCTTTTCTTTATGTGTTTTGGCTTCTGAATAATAGCAGGATCGTCGGGGCCGTATGTGGGAAAGCTTAATAGTCGCAAATTAATACAGCGACAAGTTCTCATTTTCCAATTTCTAATTTCTGCAGTTCTCTTTATCAAGACATCAACTGCCTTTTTTATATAGCTAGTTATTAATCATAACAGTTCACTGTGCGTTATTGTGCTTTGTGGATGTGCAGGTGTGCTGAGAGGCTTAAAAATGTTCCATCAACAGAAGTTAAAACAGATGCAGTAAATCTTAAACAGTTAAACATCATCATGCAATATGCCTCATGTTCCTTCTTTCGGCTTTATTGCCGGTACACTCCAAATCTCCAAGTGTTGAACAAACACCAAAAAAGGTGTAAATTCTTGCCTTCCAGCAAACACCAAAAGAGGTGCAAATATACACCTTCTGAATAGTCAATATACACTCAAGGGGGTATATTTACGCCAATTTTGGTGTAAGTGGTTTTGCCTCTGTATTTACACTGAAAAAGGGTTTATTTACACTTTACAGTATCAGTATACACTATGAAGTGTATTTATACATCAGGTTGGGGGAAACACTAAGTGTATATTTACACTAAAAATTGTATGTTTATACTTTTTGAGGTGAATATACCGAAAAAAAAAAATAAACCATAAGGTGTGTTTGACAAATATTGTATTCACTCAGATAAACAATAAACAGACCTGCAACTCCTATATTGAAGCAACAATTTTATTTAAAATAAAATAATGGTATCTTCTAAGCAGTAAGATGTATAAGCATAAAAAATACAAAATTCAATAGACAAATATTCCCTCTAACCTAACTTTAATATTAATATTTACAACCCTCCTTTCCTGCATATAATCAGTTATTTTTTTTAAAACTTTGACAGTTCATTAATCAGCACAAGAAGTCTTGTTGGTACCTTTTGCGTATCAAATACCTTCAGCATTTGCCTTTGTAAAAATACAATTGTATTGCTATACTCTCTCGGGTATTCAATGTTGCAAACATAATACAGGAGCATCATCATCTCCACAGCATGAAGTAATGGTAGTCTTGAGAAAACAACTCGATTTTTAGCAACAACCGTACACTTCATCTACCTGAGGCTCTTCTATGGTCCCATGCCAGGCTTTGAACTTCTTGTGACATCTTTAGCTTCTCGAAACTATAATAAAAAGGAAATAGACTTTTAATTAATCAGAAGCAAAAAATATCACTTGGCACACAGATTTGCAAAGTTGAAGTATACATAACATAGACTACAATGGTTTAACCTAAATCATAAGTTAGAGCAAAATATATACCTGACAAAGATATGATGCTGGATTGCACATTGCTGTTGACTTTCTAGCATCATTGGCAACAGACATAAAGCAACATAAGCTTGTTCCACTAAAAATGAGATTAAGCAAATCAAACATTAATCAAACACAGCCAACTTTGTTGCATCCTTTCTGCTAGTACACCAAAACTAATATACTTTTTACATGAGCAAACATTCTTTAGAAAAGCAATTACATTGTAATGAATCAGTTAAGGCAGCATTAAAGGGACTTGGCTATACAGCAGTCTAAAAAGTGAGGCAATTAAGATGGCTATCTAGAAAAGTCATTGAGAAGTTTACCTGCATTCAATTCAGCACTTTCACTATCAGCACCACACTCGATGTTCTCTCCACATTTCGTAAGATTTAGCAATTTCTTTCCCTCTCCTGAGAAGTTCTTTCCCTCAGCAAGTCTGACGAGTTTTGGGGCCAACATTAGCAGATTTTATTCCATTAGCAGATGCCTTATGCTGCATGTCATGTGCTTGCTAAAGCATCTAACCAAGTTGCTTATACAAGGTTTCACTTGGTTTTGCAATTATAAACGGTAATCTAGGTTATTTGTTTATCTAACCTGGTAGGTCAACTCATAGTAAAGAAGCCCTAAAGAAATTCTTACAGGATCTCTTTAAGATCTTACCATATTCTTACAAGATTTTTTTAAATCGTTTTGCGTTATTACAGGATTATTACATATATTCTTACGAAAGTTTTAAAGGTTCATAATTTGAAAGATTTTTAAAATTGGTAACAGTTTCAATTAGTCATTCTAATAACACTTGAGAACTGGGGAAACAAAACCAAAAGAACTATCGTTTTGTCTTTCCACCAAAATTATCTTACCAATAAAGGATGAGCAATTTACAAACTTCACCAGGGTTGTCTTTCCACAGCAATGAAGTGAGAACCAAGATGACCTGAATGCAAAAACTCTTTCAGGACTGGATCTGTTGGCGGGGGTAAACCTTCTTGACACTCGTTATAATTTAAACTATGATAAACCCTTATTATTGCGAAACCAGTGTTCTCCTTCTTCACGAAAAATTTTACTTCTCCAAAATATTTGTCAGCTTCTTTAATATCAACAAGAAAGCATACTGATTTCTTTCTTACTGATTTTTACATATCTGATCTGGTATTCCCCGTGTACCATGAAACAGCCTTTTAAGATGCGCAAGCATTGATTCAAACACAAAAGCAGAATGAAGGATTAAAGGCCAATGCTCTCTAAGCAAGGCCCATGTTCGGCAAGGTGAGGGAATGCGAGTTGAAAGTTGCTTCTGAAATATCATACAGTTTCGGAAGCATCCTTGTGTAACTGTCGAGCATAGCCCCAGCAACTGAGATAGATCTGGTCCTCAGTAATGTTATATCCATAACATAAAATCCGAACGCCAGTGACGAGAAATGGAAAAAGAACTCCGATGGCAGAATATCTTTCAAAATTGGAAGGCTAGCGTGGAGGAAAAAGGCCTGCTTTTCACTAGCTTTCCATCTTTTAAATTCTTTGAATGATCTCAACTTTCCCTAAAAATCATACATGGGGTAAGTTAATACTTTGAAGGCGTTCACTCGAAGCTGCGATGGTACGTTTCAGGTTGACACCACTTGGACACGATCCAGATAGCCACTTTGTCATGCGTCATGTGAATTCTCCTGCAAGGACCTAATGCATGTAATCAAAAGTTAACACACCTGGAATCTTGAGAATTGAATGCACATTCGACCGCTCTTTTACTCCAAAAACTGTTTCTCCTGTTTCCTAAGCTATTTGTGCGTAAGCTACTGTATCTTCGTGTGTGCGGCGTGGAAATGGCGTGCTCGTATAAGGATAAACACGTTTATTACCAGGGCCAACCATTTTTTGCCCTGAATGGAGACAAGAACAATAGCCAGACTTTCCATTGAACTGGATAAAATTAACAGAGGGGGCTTTTGCGACTAAGTCAACAACTTGCCCATTTACGACTAGTTTAAACTTTGATTCAAGATCACCAATAGAAATTGTCGGGCCAGAGCCTAAATGAATCACTTCTTCAACAAATTTCTGTTTATTCGGTTTTCCCTCCTTATAACCTCCTTATTCGGTTTTCGTTTTCCATACCAAATACAGAACATTATATTGTTCTTAAAAGATTATCGCAATGGTGGTGGAAGTTCGACAACAAAGCTCTGAACAGGCCAGATAGAGGCGCTGCTCGATCTAAACGCGGGTGCTCCATCAACATGCCAATAAAGGGTGATTGGGAAATGACCATCTTTTCGTACTTCAGTACTCTGCGATTGATATGATTTTCCATCTAATATATCTTTGTAAATATCACAAAAGTATGCTGGTAGGCCACAGTAAATCTTTTAATAATATGCCATTAGCCTATAAGAATTAGGAAGCACATATTACATGGCTATATTGAAAGCAAAACTGATATATATGCCTGGTCATGCAGCTATTAACTAGCCACCTTACAGTGTGGTATAAGTTTACCTGATATTAATCTTTTTAACTCTGGAAGAATGTCTATAACATAAAAGATACTCGAATTTCCTCCTTTTGCAGGCATTCTATGTAACGAGCACTTTTCGTTCCTGCACAGGTCATCAACCAAGGGGCTTTGGCAATTCATGCATGTCACATATCTTATGGAAATATATGTGAGCTCTCTTTCATTCTTTTTTTCAAGATGTAGCTTGATGCAGAAAGGTTGGTGCTATCTGGTAGACACAGTTGAAGCATTTTCAAAATGCTACCCAAAGCAAAATTTGAAAAATTGTGTCTCTGCTTCAAAGCTAGTAGAACCGCATTAAGTTCTTCCACGGATAAAGGAGACCCCTGGAACAGTTCTAAGTATTGGGAGGTTATTATTTCATCGTCTGAATCACTTGTTTGTTCATTATCACCAGAAGAAAGTTCCATAGTGTCATCACTTGATATGGAAGAGTCGCTATCTGTGTGAATGCATGTCGAGGTGTCTTCGATATCGCTGAAGCCTGCAGCAATTGCTGATGCATTGCATTCTGGATCTACTAAAATAAGAAACATGCAGCTATGAAGCAATTTTTTGTATATTACTAAAGTACTTCGATATCTAATTATTTAACATTTTCCTAGATTTCGGCGCATGGCTGTACTACATGGCCGCTATATCATGCACACATACATGCACACATAAAAGTTGGTAACATAAAACTGAAATAGTTGTATATAGTGCACGTTTGCTTATAATTTGCTCAAATAATAAACACATCGCTAAATTCTAACTTACAGCTCAAAGGTAGAATTTCATGACTGGGATTTCCGCTATAAGTGCTGCGGTCTAAATCGCTTGTATCACAATTGCTTGTGTTTGCCAAATGGACTGAATTGCTCCGGTATTCGGTGTATTCGAATATTCGGTTTTTGTATCAACCTATAGGTATATATGCAAATTTTATAAAACGAAATCTACTGCAACTTTCAGCAAAAAAAACATTGGGAGTTAATAGTACTTCCTAAAGCTACATAATAGTACCTCCTAACTGCCAAATATTAGTGCATAAATATTGGGTCAGCATCATTTCCAGTGAGAGAACCTACCTACAGATTCAGCAGAACTGTTAGTCTCCTTATTAGAATCGGTATCATCATTAGAATCAGTATCAGTCTCCAGAGACAAAGGCGTATGTTGTTTTTTACATGTTAGCGTTTTCAGTTGGTACTTGGCCAGATCTTCGTGTGCAACGGAAAAAGTATGCTTCGTGTGATCAAGTGCAACGGTAAAAGTATTTCTAAACGCTGCCATGCAGCTGCCGCGCGAACCCATTGTGAGTTTTTCTTCTCAGTTGAAATGTGATCTAAAAAGTCAAAATTTTTCCCTATTGGGTTTAGAGATTTGATTGGTTGCTTTCAATGTTCTACATTACAGGTCTGCTCGCGCGCGCAAATTCACACTCATCCAAGGTTCACTTCTTTAACGAACATCCCGGGATTTTAAGAATTTTGTTGGCGCATTTTTCGTGGCATTTGTTATCAATGGCTGTTAGTGAACGATTACAAAAGAAACGTCTCGCTGACAAATTCCCAGGTATATTATATTGAAAACATTTTCATACTGTTGTATTTCAAAGGAATTTTATAATCGAATATGTGCGCATTTGGGCTATATGCATGCTATTTCGTGTGCGTCTCATTTTGAAAAGACTGTCATATATGAATTGTGTCTATGCTAGTATATGAACCATAGACCAAATTTAGGCCAATTCCTAAAGACACAATGTCAATGAAAAAGGCATAAACATATAGACTATATAGGGTTAATTCAGTATCTTTGAAAATTAGGATAAACTTAGTGGAATATAATCAGCCTATACATAGTACTTAATGAGGTGGTCTCGCGAAGCTAACATAATTTCTTAATACTCATGTTAATTGCGAAATATTAATTGTAGGCTATATAGCAAGTTAAAATAAGGAAAAATGTATGCGTACAAGTTCGTCGTACATTGAATAGACAAATACTTTAATTTCCGTGGCGTTTTTTAGCGGCTTGTGCAAAGCTAATGGTATATTTCAGAGCCATAAGGGTAAAAGGATATGCGATTTAAAGTATCTGGTATTGTGACAAAAGCATAAAACATTTTAGTTGTACCACACAGAGATAATTCACAATGTTATTTGCATTGAAATATAGACTATAACCCCGCAGCAGACTACTTCTTAATCTTGTTTCAAGGGGAGGACAAATATTCGATTGTGGAAAGAAAAATGATCGTTGAGAAGGACATAAAAGTTCACGAGATCGCTACAGTAACGGGAGCTACTGGACGTTGGACTGGTCATGTTTCACTTATGATTAGCTATGTCATTATACTAGTAATTTTCGAACTTATAATGGAGTGTATACCTCTGCATGAGTAAAAAACGAACTTTAAAACAAACGGGTTGTTATACTTACACAATAGCGCCTAATGGTTGGATTAAATACATCGGTTCAGTTATCATGTCCAAATCAACAAACAAACAATTGTATTACTGACTTTAGGAACAAAGATTGAAGTGAAACGAGACTCAAGTCTTACGAAACGATGTTAGGTGGAAATTCTGCAGGCAGCAGTGTTGGACAGGAGAAACCTGATTTAGAACCAAGGCCTGAGAAAAAGAGAACCGAAGGTATAAACATTCCTATTTGTAAGCAAGTAAGCAAGTAAGAATTTAGACTGTCGCAAAAGAAACAGAAGCAGAATCATGACATCGGATTCAGAGCCTGATGAGGAAGAACACTATAATAATCCAATGGGTATAAAATTCATCTAGTATCATTACCATGCAAATGTCATGACTCTAGACGACATTGGTTAATTTCGCCGAGCATATATTGCTTCAAAATAAATCTATCATATACAAATAGACTGTAACAGGTTCAGCATATTTTTTTAAAAAAATGACATGGCGAACGAAACTAAGAAGGTCCGTGATTTATTGAAAAAATGAAAAGAGGTATCTTTTCTGCCCTGATTGCATGGCCACAAAATATAAAACGTTTCTAGATTTATCTTAATGCGGGTCAATCAATTCGTAGTATTTATTAATCATATAGTTGGTAATAAAGGAAGCTAGGTTAAGTTTCATTTTTAATATGCATATAGCGTCAGCCAAGCTATGCACCAGACATGGGTGATGTCATGGTGGAAATTGTCGGCAAACTTGATGCGATTTCGAATAAGTTAGACAAAATTTTGGAAACGTCATCACACGCGGAAAGGAGGCAAGTTGACATATAACGCCCAAAAGAAGAAAACTTGAGGAAATAGACCTGTTTCGCATAGTTCCCTAAATCAGTTCGCATAGTCCCCTAAATCAGGTAAATATGCGCATTTCAAAAATAAAGTATTTGCAGTGACCCGGAACATGGACCCGAAATTATTAGTTTTTCTAGATACTCGCACTCCAGATTTGAAGCCTTTCATTGTTTAAATTTTAGGGCCATCTCAATGTTAGTAAGTCATCTCCAGTTCAAGTAATAGAAGAAGAAAATATGAGACTCTGAATTCGTAAGATAACAATAATTTCCTTTGACAAAATTACATGCAATCATTTCATTTGAGAGTAACTATCCATAATTGGTGTTTAATTGTGCATCATGACAAAATGGTGTATTCAACAATCATGGGTTTATTCTTTTTCTAAAACTCTATACATTTTAGATTTTCAAAGGGACAAATTTACTGGTGGACGTTACCGCAAAGTCCAAAAAGCCGTCACTATGTGCCACGCAGCTACTTTCGCATCTCTTCACAGATGAAGAAATGCGGGAAGCTAGGTTGCGTGGAGCCCAAAGATAATAAGAGCAAAAAACCTGTTTTGGAACAAGACAAAATAAATCTAATAAAAAGTATGTTAATTAAAATGTTTTGAAAGTAATAATTTTCAGGGTATAAGCACAGGAGATTTTCATTAGTGGCCAAATCACTTTTAGATCTCATGAATCTATATATATGTATATAGAGAAATTTCGGTTATAGTGGGACTCCTGCTTTTTCCCTGACCAAGTATCAATTAACTTACATAGATGTTTCATAAAATGTAAATATGAGTAAAATATAATAAATCTAATTTGCCTTGTTTTCCATCGCATTGCCTGCCTTCCGTTTATCTTGATAGTTCAGGAAAATAAACTAAATTTCATAATACAATTAGCATAAATTATGCGGATCTCATGTGCATTATAATTATATCTATGTTGAACTGCATGTCTGATGTATATACAATATTGTATGCAATCTATATTTACTATCAATGTCTTGACGGTATTAAACAAGGTTCTAAGCTCGACGTCATTGAAATTGAGGGATAACAACTCACTAACACTCATATGCTTCCAGGGTGTTTATATTTATCTATATAAGCGCCCTGCGTGCTTACTGGTAGATGTTATAACGCCTGGTAAAAGTGAACGCCTGCATGAAAAGCTACTCGTTACACAGAAGAGTGTTTATTCACCGACTTTTTGGGTACATGCATTTACACCAAAACCTGGGTAAAAATACCAATTTTACCCTTTACACGTTACAAGTGTTATGTGCGCACTTTATCAGTGTAATAATACACCTCCAACGGTAATTTTACACTTTAAAGGCGTAATTTCTGTATTTACACCAACATTGGTTAAATATACCGTTATTAGTATTAGCAGAACACCTAGAGATTTAGAGTGTATCAATCAGGAACAGTAATTTTATGGCAGAGCACTTCATTTCAGTAAAGGAACAAAAGAGCTGAAGAATTAAACTGAAGTTTTACCTTCCTCTGTCTATTCAATTAGGGTTCAATCTGAGAGCAAAAATATAGCATGGAAAAACATGCCTCCAAAGACGGTGTTTAAATCGCTGGTGGCGAAACGAAGATAAGTCCAGTCGTTTATGTAAATACGATTTGTTAGCTTACGATTGAGAACAAGACCGTGATATGTCATTATTTTTACAAAAACTTGCATTCCAACAAAGACTTATTCAATTTCATTTCTTTTGCCAACATTTTTGGAAACTTGTATGTATAGACTTGCACTTTCTTTCATGCAAAAAAAATTTTGAAAATTCATACTGCAAGTGCGGTTGTAGAAAAATTACAGCACAAGATTGAGATTTCCTCGCTTCGTAAGGTAATGTGGAAAAACTTCAAGCCACTCTCGGTTACAAAAATACCAAAACGCTCATCCTCCCTGCAGTTTTTCTTGAGGTTTCTAATACTAATCAACACCAATAACAAAATTAAAGACGACTGACCAACCGGTTCGAAGTCAAATTAAAGTGGCCCTGAAACATTATTATAACACATCATCATACCTGATAGACCAGACCCCATACAATTGGCCTTCCTATAAATACCGCTCTTGCTCCTAAAGCCAGAGCTTTGAAAACATCAGAACCAAATCTTACACCACCGTCCAGATAAACCTCGATATTATTGCCGACCGCACGTACTATTTCTGGCAAGACTTCTATCTGTCAAGACAAGAGATCAGTTAAGTTTCCCTTTAAAATATGTATTGATGATCTTCAAAAGGGTAAATTCAATATTTATGATAACATGAAATAATTATATGGTCTAATGGGCGACTTGCGCTTTAGACTAATTTTTAATCGAAGTAAGTAGAAGAAAATAAATCGACTCCACGATTTCCTAACTTTTTCCAGTATATGACATCAGTTTTAAATTTCTCAATTTATTCATTCATAATTTCATAGTAGCGTAGAAGATTTACGCCTGTATTCGAAAAGGACACTCAAAAGAGCACTCATTGAGTGGCCGGCGATCTCAATCTTCACATAACGTTTCCATAGTGGTATTTCTACAATTCTACTGCATTAAGAGCTTAATTTTCAGTGTTTTAGTTTTATATTTTTCTTTAGATTAAGAATGAAGATGCTCAATAATCATTCTTATATATAAATACGAAGTTATTACAATAATTATTAATTTCTTTAGAAATTCATTGTTTTTACAATCAATGAACACCAAAATATTAGTATATATAGCGGAGGCTGGCTACGCTATACATACGCATGCAAACAAACCGAGCATATAGCATTTGATTGCATTTGAAGTTTTTTGCCGATTTTGAGAGATATCACAATCAATAATTACCGTTGCTGGAACGCAGTCCAACTGTCGACCACCGTGACTTGAAACAACGATACCATTGACACCATAGGTAACTGCAAATTTTGCATCTTCAGCAGTGAGTATGCCTTTCACTACCACTGGTAGTGACGTAACCGACTTAATCCAAGGAATGAGTGTGTCCCACGTTGCCGACGGATCCAAAAAGCCGTTTACCTTGTCTAAACTAAATTCGCCATCATTTGTGGATTTACTGAATTCGTCTTTCAAATTCGGCGGAGTTGGCATGGTAAAATTGCAACGAAAATCTTTGTATCGTTTACCAAAAGTTGGTACGTCGACAGTCAACACGATTGCTTTATATCCAGAGGTCTCGGCGCGCCTTACAAGACTCTCCATAACTTTTCGATTTTTTAAAACTGATAATTGAAACCATTTTAATCCAGTAGAGGCTGAGGCGACTTCCTCAAGTCTTATCGATGAGAAATTGCTAAGGGTCATACAGGTACCGATACGAGAGCTTGCTGTTAAATAATGAATAAATTTGTCAAATTGCTAAAAATTCGATATGTTCTAACAAGATGCTTTCTATATAGAGCCAGTTTTCCCGGAACATTTCGCGTTGTTTCAGAGCTTTCGACACATTTCGCCATGCAAGGCAAAATGGTCGCTTTGTGCGAAGAGCTAGTAAAAAACACACTTCAAGTGACATGCAGTATAGCCAAGCGTGATATTGTAGCTATACCGCCTACTACCGCTATGCCTCGTTCAGTATAGTTCCGGTGCGTTCGTTAATTCAAAACTTCAATATACTAATTGTTCATCATTTTTGACTGACCTTTTGCTGTAGCAATTTCACCATCAGGATGTGCAATTTTATGAAAGCCAGTTGGTGCGATGAAAAAAGGCACTTTAATTTCCTCACCGAGGATTAAGGTGGACATGTCAATGGACGACACATTGCGTAAGACGCGTGGACGAATTCTTAGTCTGTATTATGATGAAAAATTAAAGTTGCAGAGACAATTATTGAATAAAGCTATAGAAAATGGTATAAAAATATCGAGCAAATGGTGTTTTACCGTGAAATTTAAAGCAAGTGTATATTCACAAACTACGGGCGCTTTCCTTTCAGAGGCCAAACGATGGTCAACCGCTCGGTCATATTTTGAAGTGAAATTGAATGTTCAAAATGTTCGAAATATAAGCTGCATGTATACTCACGTATGCGAACAAAAATGTCACTGATAAATCTCATATATTATTTGCTGGAGTATGTTTTCTCTTACAACATAATACTAGATGCACTGAATAGTATTTTAGCGCGAACCAGCAGCAAAATGTGCACGTGCGATTTCTTAAGGTCGTTAAATACTATAATCACATTTAAATTTCACAGCTATACGTTAGCTATACGTTTCGTGAAACTTTGGTGATAAATAGGATGGAGGGGGACGGAAGGGGGTAGAGGGGGGGATTGAAATGAATTGCAATGAATACATAATTATTAAAAAAAAAAATTTCTTGCATCTGAGAAATATTTTTCTTGCCAGAAAAATGTTCTTATTTTCTTGGTAATAAAATGACATTTTGCTGTACTGTATATAATTACTACCAAACATAAATGTTACATAACAAAAGCGCGTAACTTCAATTGGTTAATCAGCGTGCAAAGGTTAACAACGCGCAAAGCAGACTGTTCGTTTGCTAAAAGTCCGAGGACACACACTGGACGCGATCCACCATCGCAAATCTATTTTTTAGTCTTTAAAAGCTTTTAACTTTGACAATGTGGTGATATTCTCCCTAATTATAAAATGATGCTATATTTTGATACCTATACCTCTCAAAATGTTCTTCCAGACTTGAAATCGTTTGCTTCTGAAAATAGAAAATTCGCGTAGCGTTATGCCCGTTTCAGATTTCGAACTTTTCTTGTGCTGAACCAGGGCGTGCATTGCGTGCATGTATAAGATAGGGCGGAGAAACGGCGATATAACCCCTGATTTATGCGTGATGCATGGGCGCCCCCCTTATTTTAGCACATGCTAGTAAGTACAGGATGTATGGAGTTTCAAGCAACGTTCGAAGATTTGTTGAAAGAGGAAAATTTCTATTTTATTTTAGCTTTCGGCGACATCGATGTCGAAAAGTATGACAAATCATCCCTTGTTATTCGATTATTAGCTATTTAGCAATAATATACAAAGGTTTCGCAACTTCCAGTCCTGTCCGGCATTAATTATCCCTAATTATCCCGTTCTTTTGTTTACATTGTTAATATATTACATGTAAAAATGTCTGCCAAGTTTTCCCGTGACGTCGTGTTTGTTCACGTATAGCAAAAAAGTTTGAAAAATTTACGAAACAATATTTTTACTACGGAGAGATATATTAATAATGAATTATTTGTCCGTGCATTTCGCATTTACTTATTATATCTTGGCTACTGACCAAGGATCAACGTGTTGGTAAGTTAGACAAGTATTCATTTGTCAACCTAAGAATGGAATAGATCGAAAAAGTGATAAATCATAAATGTATATGAAATCCGTAATTTTTAAACCTCTACGAGGGACGGACGTTTTTGGTCTGTCATCAAATTTTTACGCTGTTTTCAGCAAGCTATTGCGAAAAAGGTTAAAAAAATTACCTCATGAAACTTGTTGGGATGAAAGGTTTGTGTTTATCCAGCATGTATTAAAAAAAGCTAAGTTGGGGCGTTTATCCAAGTTATAAATTATGAAATTTTATCACCCCTTCAATGTGGAAATTTTCGTTCTTATCTTTAAAAAGAATACCTTGAATTATGTTATATAAACGCCAAAAAGAGTAAATAATAACATAAAAAATATATCAAAACGATTGACTTCATAGTTTTTAACACATTTGATTTGTCTCTTTGAGTTTCGCATTAAAATTTTGATTTGAAAACATTTGGCGCCCTTCCTCGTTAGGCTGGTAGCCCCAGTCCTAAAGTGCATCACATATTTTTCATACCAATGTTTCGCCGTTTCAACGCCCTATCTTATATACGACCTGGCTAAAGTCTTTGCTTAAATTCATTTGCCTTCGATTAAGCACATGAAAAACTCGACGTTTGAAACGGACCTTAGCGAATCGCGTCCAGTTTGTGTGGGCCAACAGACTTTCACATATGGCTTCACAACATGAAACATCCGTAGATCAGAAAGGAGTTGGGTATTTTACTGGATGTAATCACTTCAACATGTCAAATGAAAGCAATTTAATAGAAGCCGACTTATTAGCCTTTGTAATGTATAGAAATATTTCACAAAAATGACACAATATATCAGTTTCAAATGGAATATATTTTACTCTTATTGCATTCTAAAAATGAAGTTAATGTTTTATGTGTGTCTGGTTATTGTATATACGAAGATATTTTACCGTTTAAAAGCTGCAGTTGATTCCCCGACTGTCTGCATATCGTTCGCACCCGAAGCGTAATAATTAAATGCATCCTTTTGTAAATGTTCTTTGGCGAAGATTTCAAAATCGCTAACACAAACTGGCTCATGGTTCATTTTATAGTTTGCCATCTTCCCTTATATCAGTAAACTCGTCTCGGACAAAGGCAATCCAAAAGGCTGCCTACAAGTGTACATAATATACCATTATTATGCATTGTGAAGGTCACGGGACACGACGGCAATAACAATTCATGCATAAGATTCAAATTACATAACAAGTCCTTGTCTTTCCCTTCGAAAACCCTCCACGCAGCTAACCCTCGACAAACAAATCTATAACGGCATGCAATCTTTCCCGAAGAGCCATAGTGATTCCAAAAGTTCGACCTGAAATTACGTTTGACTACATTTACAGTCTAGTTTCCATTTGGTCGTTACCTGCCGCGAGAGTTACTCGTGGTGGATGTGAAATAGTACTAGAAGTGTATCTGCCTGTCTTCCGTGTCGGGTAGGTTATGCAAATTGTTGCTTATGTATCGGTTATTTTGAGGCAACGAGGAGATACATATTTTTTTCGTGAATTTATCCGAGGTGGCTCAAAATAACGTACTTTTTTTCACATTAATTTGGCGGGATGCATTTATTATATAATAATAGAAAGGAAATGCTTTTATTCCGTGTCGCAATTCGGAACTAGGATTTATAGAACGAAAGAATTGTTTTCTGAAAAACGAGTATATATTCAATAACTATCGTCATCGTATTGAGTATATTCGCCGACCAGAAAAAGAAAACCGAGCAATGTGCAAAATGAGAAATTTTATAAAATTTTAATCCGTTTCTGTAATCTTTTGAAAACATCTAGAAGCTGTAACTGAATGGCCAATTGGCCGATTTTGAGATAAGTAAGTTATATTAAATCAGCTATATATTTTGTTTAGTGCAAGACATATTTTGTTATAAATGACGTCATTGTGCATAATATGAAAATGGCGTCATTGTGCATAAGGTGCCTTCCCGCTTCTTGTTGTCTGTTTATTTTCGGGTCATGCTGAACGATGATTCCTTTCTCGTCACGTGTCTATTGTATTTTGCACAGATAAACCAATAGCAATACTTTCTGAAAAGCAAGTATCCTGCCATTTTGGTAGAATACGAGAAAACAAAGGACATGGAGCAATCGGACGCCGTGGAGAGCGCATCCCACGACCCGTTCAACTTGGTAAAAAACGATAAACTTTGTGAGTTGCCGAATTGAACTTGTCGAATCGAACTAGTTAATATATTAGACATATGAAAATATTAGAACACTCCACAATGGGATGATAACCGCCCAGTCAAAACATGAGGGCATCGATGATTTCAATTCTCTTGTGGAAAAATTCATGAGAAATAACATACCCCAACTCATTCCCATCACAGTATTCCAATCACACATGTTTTGGCTGGGTCTTAACAATCCTCGCGTAGCCAAGTTTGCCTTCGACCACTGGCGTCATATTTCATTGCACGTAAACAATCGGAAGAATGCACATTGAAAAAAACCCCGGTAAGCAAAACCTCAGGCTATTACTATTAGCAATTAAACCGGGTATGTTTACCTAAAGCTTAGCTTTGTGAGATATTTTGTTTGTTTTGAGCGCTAAAGCATGTGAAAAGCTTATCTTAAAATGAGTTCAATAGTGGTGGTAATAAGCTGAGATCACTGGTTTTTCAGATCAGTGGCCGAGATTTGCGGAATAATCTTAGTAATATGGCATTTTTAAAACGCTTGCAGACAAATTAATACATATATTCTCGTTGTCAAGAAAGTGTTAAGCCAGTACGTATAGACGTACGTAAACGTAAGTATGTAGACTTAGTACGTAGCCCTTTTAGAATAGGGGTAAATACCTTTAAATAATTTTTTATAACCTTACCGGCGGGGGTACACATGGATTTCGACCTCAAAGTCGAAAAATTTTTTTTGATGTCTTAGGTAGCTCTATTGCCTTGAAGAAGCTGTGGTGGTCGTATTTTCAAAAAAAAATTATTTACTACCTACTTATTTATTGTTTTAGCTGCCACTATATTCGGTTACTATGGCAACGCATTTTGTTTTTTTTTTGTTTTCAATGTAATTTTTTGTTTCTATTGTCTTGAAAACGTGATCAAGGGCTGGTTATGTTTATCATGGATTACATGAAGTTCCCCTCTTTACAAATAGGCCTGTAAAGTATCATGGGAAGGCATATTTCTTGTTTGAAAGCTACATTGTATCATTCGGATCTAAACTAGCACTGCTTTAAATATCAAACTTGGTTCCAAAAATTACTTTATATTATCTTACTTCTGTTTGTTATGGTTGGTTATAAGAACAAAAACATTTATAAGAAAAAAAGAAAAGGAAAACCATTTTCTGGAAGGCAGAGATACACAGATAACTCAAGCATGAGTGAGTCTACTGATGGCGGTGATTCAGCGAGATCAAGTACAACCCCACCAAATTCAGAACCTAATCTGGAAGTGGAATCAACCAGGCTTTTGAGCGCATCCAGAAGAAAACTAAACCTGTCAAAAGAAGCAGAAACATCAGCTTTGGAGGCTTCCCAAGATATAGATCATGCTGGACAAGGCTATCGCCTTATTGATATAAATAAGCTGTCATCAAGCATTTCAAAAGCACATGTTTGTGACGCAGGTAAGGAGGTGTTTGTTCAATCTTCCTTTAATTCTGTACTTAGTTTATACTTTGAATGTTCTATAATTTCTATAACTACATTTTTCATTAACTGGTTTGTTATTTCCAAAATTAACTTGATTTGGTTGTATACAGTAGGCTATTGACATCTGTCTATGATATAATAATCACCAAATATGTGAATCAGTTAAGATTGGTAATACTGTTAATATAATTTTTCTAATCTAGGACACTTGGTTATTCACGAAGATATTGCTGGAAAAAGAGGACTAATGCCTGATCTCAAAGCAAAATGTAGTTCGTGTGAAGAGGAAGTCACTTTAGAGACGTCCTCTAAGCTCTCTATAAATGGAAACAGTGCTAATGTAAACCGACGTGCAGTGTACCATTCTGTGGAATCAGGGGGTGGTTATGAAGGTCTTGCATCTTTTTGTGGGATGAACATGCCTTGTATGACTAGGACGACCTATTACCAGCACTTTGAAAAAGTTGTAACTGCTCTTGAGCAAGAAGCTAAAGATGAAATGAAACAAGCTGCACAAAACTTGAGGGAACATATTTTGAAGGAAAATGGTTCAGAAGATACAAGTTCTACTGTCGATGTTGCAGTAAGCTTTGATGGTACTTGGGCCAAGCGAGGCTTCACATCTCTTTTTGGTGTTGTATTTGTAATTTCTATTGACACTGGGGAAGTACTTGACTACCATGTTATCTCAAAATCTTGTCAGAAGTGCAGTTTGAAGAAATTGAAGTGCACGACTGATGAAGAATTTGAGGAATGGGAAATTGAACATGTGTTCTCTGGTGAATGTGATATAAATTTTGGTGGCAGTTCACCTGCAATGGAGATGGAAGGAGCAAAAGTTTTGTGGAGCAGGTCTCTGGATCTGTATAACATTCGCTACAGATGGATGGTCTCAGATGGAGACAGCAAGGCACATAGCGCTGTGGAGGAAGTATATGATGAAATTAAGGTTGAGAAGCTTGATTGTGTGGGGCACGTACAAAAACGAATGGGAAAAAATCTCCTAAACCTAAAAGCTACAACAAAAGGCAAACTTGCAGATGGGAAGACAATTGGAGGACGGGGCCGGTTAACAGAGGAGAAAATAAAGAAAATACAGCGGTATTATGGTTTAGCAATAAGACAAAATACTCTGTCAACACCAAATCCAACGGATCAAGAAGTTTCAGTTGCTGTATATGCCATGAAGAAGAATATTATAGCAATTTTACATCACTCTGTCCAATCAAATGATCCTAAAAAACAACATAGGTTTTGTCCTACTGGACAAAACTCATGGTGCAAATGGCAGCAAGATCAAGCTTTAGGAACATCGATGTACAATGGAGATGATTGCTTACCAGAAGTTTTATTTGACCTGCTTAAACCAATTTTTCTAACTCTAAGTGACAGTAAGCTATTGGAAAGATGTGTTAGAGGTGCAACTCAGAATAATAATGAGTCAATCAACTCTCTAGTGTGGGCTCGGTGTCCGAAGCACAAGAATCATGGAGTGAAAGTTGTGCGATCTGCAGCTGCATCTGCTGTCTGCCACTTTCGTAGTGGTGCTGCAAGCAGAGACAGAGAGTAATGCAACGACTTGCAATTCCAGCTGGTGAGCTAACAAAGAGATCTTTGCTTTTAAAAGACAAGAAACGGGTCAGAAAGTCTGACCACCAGACATCCGAAAAAAACAAAAGACGTCGACAGGCTGAGCAGCTCCAAAAAACCCGAAAAGAAGAAGCTCTGCGAGAAGCAGAAGGGACAACATACTGTTAATGACAAAATAGTTAGGCTAAAGTTCCAGAAACCTGTCAGAAACAGCTCGAACATTACCATAAAAACTTAACGCTTGTTTCTCGCAATGTACTTTTTCCATCTTTGAGAAAAGATATCTCATGATGTATTTAACCAATTTTCCTGAAATTTTCAGGGCTTATTCCTATGTTACAGCTATCTAAAATGAGCATAGGAAATTTCTGTATCTTGCTTGGGGTACATTTTATGACAAAAAATATTATCGAAAAAACCTATGTTAACTTTGCTCCTCGACTGCAACCACTAGATTCAAGATACAAAAAAGTTCTATGCTTAATTAAGATAATGATGCCTATCCTACTTACTGTTAAAATTTCTTAAAATTACAGACAATCTACAAGCAGATATCTTTTCTCATATGCACCACAGTTTCGCACAGCATGTGGTATGTTTCACAGCATGGTGTCAGGTTAAAAAGCATGTTAGGTACTAATGATTAGTATGTTTAGATTCTATAGGTCATAAGCTTTCTACTGATATATAGTTTGTCATAACTTTGGTGAATATCAATAGAATTATAGCCATTTCAAAAACAACCACCAATCCATGTGTACCCCCGCCTTAATAATTGTAAAATACCTTTTACAAGTACGTATACCTTTTAGTATAGTACGTAGACCTAGTACGTAGTATTTAACCACTGCTAGTACGTTGACTGAATTCAAAGGATGTCATTTAGCTGAGTGCGATTACACTAAATTGAAATGCAACAAATTGTGGGAATAATAGATATGGACGGCATCATGGTCAACAAAATATTCCACTGTCAAGAGCTAGGAATAATTGTGGTTGGGGAATCGCAAGCCAAATCTTACGTTTTTGATACAGGCCTTCGATGGGAGAACATGTCGCCCAAGGATCGATGATGTTTCAAGTATGTGCAAAGGCATATACACAAACTCCCCTTCGACGCACCCCTACGCTAATTAAAAATCTCCCATATTTTGGGAGATTTTGCGATGTCACATGACCAGCCTTGACCAGGGTCTTTGCCGCAGCGTGGGCCGCGAGGAGCGTAGGTAAAAGAGCCTGGCTTGCGAGGTTGGGAATGGGGGAATAAGGGAACACAGGAATAGGGGAATAAGGGAATATATAGGCTGAATATTAATGATATGTATATATTATTTGCGCAAATATATCAAGAATTGCTTGTAACTTGCTTCAAAGGTCAAAAATAAAAATTCGAACTCCGTCAATCGATGCGGAATATTGCTTAAAATAATTGTGCCAAGTTTCATTCCGATCAAACAAGTAATGCTAGAGTCTTAGGGTTTTTTTAAAGAGCGTCGCCCCCTAACAAGAAGAAGAAGAAGATTAGCAGCGGTTAGGGACCAGTTCCTGGTCCAATAAAAATTTAAAAGCATTTAAAGTTTTTCGTGCGTGTACGTGCGTATAAAAACGCGTAAGTGGAAAGCAGCTTTAAGGCTGTTTTTCACTTGCGCGTTTTTCATACGCACGTACACGCACGTAAAAGTCTAAATCCTTGTACATGTTACCTTTGAGAAAACTAAGTGAATAAATCGAAGGAACTTAGTTTTCTGCATATTTTAGTTTGCATTAGTTGACCTAGATGTTAAATAATAAAAATTTAAAAGCATTTAAAATGTTCCGTACGTGTACGTGCGTATAAAAAACGCGTAAGTGGAAAGCAGCCTTTATACATGTTACTTTTGAGAAAACTAAGTGAATGAATCGAAGGGAATTAGTTTTCTGCATATTTTAGCATGCGTTAGTTGACCTAGATGTTAAATAATAAAAATTTAAAAGCATTATCCGTACGTGTACGTGCGTATACAAAACGCGTAAGCGGAAAGCAGCCTTTATGCTTGCGCCTATTTCACTAGTGTGAACCATGCGGGATTAATTATCGACATCAATCAAATCAACATATCCATATACGTATATGTATTGTAAATAGGCTTCATTGATCGACATGCCCGCCGTTATTTTAAACATTGCTGGCATGTCGAACAAATAAGTAAATTTATAATGCACATACTTAAACAATTACTTGCTCAGAGCAACAGGAATTGTAAACAGTGAACCAATCAAAACACTTTATTGCTACATCTCATACGTCATCGAGCGGATACGCTTGACGCACGGTCGGATATAAAGTACCTCCAAGGCGCACTTGTTTGTTTCAAACAGATTGCCCTGCGAACTAGTGGTTGCAGACATGGAGCTTGGAAAAGTAGGAATTGTTTTGTTTGGTGTGATATTATGTCTACCTTGTTGCGCAGGTAGGTATTGCATGGTTCTCTATGCAGGGCCTGGAGAACTAAATAGCTAGACGATTTGTGTATATTTGCACGTGTTTGTTAATTTAGCAGCTTTAATAGCCGTAAAATGCCTTCGATCGGCAAGACTAAAGTTAAAAGGGTAAACGCCGTCAACTTTGTTCGCATCATCTTCGAGAATTATGATATATCTTATATATGATATATCTATGATATTATGATATATATGTCACATTGCACACAAATTTCTAATTATTGTTTCACAATATGGTCTGATTTTAGAATCGGATCAAATTACTATTAACTATAATGACTTATACACACTTGGCACGCTGTGCAAGAAACATGCAACCAACTCTACATGATTGCTGATATAATGTAAAAACCATATGAAATATATGCATTATATGAGATTACATTGCTTTAATTTGCACTGGTATTAAGATAACGTTTGAACAAACATGGTCTAACGTAACTGCATGTATTGCTACTAAATAATTTAAATAAGTTTTATAAACAGGAAAAATATCGTAATTAATTAAGGTGCCCAACAAGGCATAACGTGGCGACGACGACTATTTTCTGAACCTTAAACAACATCATTCGTTGCAACCACAATACACACTTATATGTATAAAAAGATTCAAACTACAGTGTTCACATACATTATAAGTTGTTGGGGATAGTCATTCCATAGTTCTTTCGAACAATCCCGCGGCATGCAGGAACGCTAAACTTGCATCGGAAACTCAGTAGAACGTGACGCCACACGGTTCGACAGGCAAATTGCGAATTCAGACTAATATAGCGTTGTTGGAATAGTATATTAAGGATTTGACCATGAGAAGAATTCACCAGGCCCTAAATTCAGGGTATTTTCGCTAAAGTCAATGATAAGTTGGGTGATTTGCACTCGCGACTCGGGTAATTTTTACTGAAATCAATCCACCAAGACCCGTACGCCTATGCGGCTATGCCCACGTTTGTTAATGATTTCATATAAGCACCGAAATATGAACATTGAACATATGATTTCATTTTCATGTAAGCAATAATATAATAATGTTAAACTGTGCACCCTTATATTGGTCCAGTCAATATTAATACAGGAAATGTACATATAAACAACTACGGCAAATTTATACATTACGGATCCAAATTTTATTGTATGTTCCTAAGCCGTTTAATAAAACTTTAAATTCTTGTGACTTTGAGTATCCGGATTAAAGTAACGTAAGAACGGAAGTTTTTTACTTTATTTATATCTCATCGCATCTTGAAAGTTGAAAGACATGCATGCAGTCAAACTGGATTATATTTAAAATACGTTGGGTATACTAACCACACTGCATTTACTATTTTCCTGAATTATTGGCTACCGTTGTTTAGGTCTAAGTAAGATCAATGACAATTATAATTCGGCTTTATGTGTTGCAATTTCGGCATAATTTTGCTTACGTTCACCGTATTGGAAAAATCAAAGAAAAAACTCTTAAACTAAAGCGGGACGCGAACTGATATGGACGCGGACCGTTGGAGGCGGGCTACTACAAGCCTTGCGCTGAAGGCGCCATTAATGCTATGGCCAGCTTCAAGAGATTTTTCATCGAGAAAGATACTAGGGCCTTCAAGGGATTTCTGCTACGACTAGGGCAGGGCTCAAATTTGTACCCGTACCCATTTTACATGTATTATTGTTTAGGATACCAATAAGAACTGACCTTTAAATTCAAAAATTGCTCAAAAAGGAATTTTAAGTGAATTTTGACTTTGAAACATATTTTCAAAATACAAATTACAAGCATGCCGGCCATGCAGTGCAAAGTGCAAATTCCTAAATGCGAAATATTATGGCATAAAATCCACAGATTTATATAAACAAGTGAAGACGCCTATTCTGGCAGTAACTGCGTCGCGTCAATCGTTGCATGCAACTATTCCTTTAAAAAAATGTTTCTTTCTCAGGGTTTCTAGTAAATAGAGCACTTCGTACAGAATATAGCTGCAATATTGGTGCTAGGCAGATGTAGCGAACGATATACGTGAATAATGCCGAGATTGGAGTCATGTACTCTAGGAATCGGTTTGTACTGAAATTCAATAGGATCGGTCTGGCTGTTTTTACCCTTGAAAGGAAGGTGCGGTTTGATTGAAGAATGGCGGCATAGTCCATATAGACACCTCGTTACATGATATCGTATTACATCAAAGAATACAGTTCATTACGCATACTTATGATTATAATGAGCTCTGTGTTATATTTTATTTCACCTTTAGTATTCTTATATAACAACGCACTTAAGCTCATAGCACACATTGTTGTCCAGCGTTTGCATCAAACACATCAACAAAATCTTGGCTATAAGGAGCCCTCAGAGATTTACTAGAATCTACAAATTTTGGACCTGGGTTCTTCTCAATATCTGTAGAAATGTTGAACTTTGCCAATAGTTATCTCTATGATTTAAGCTCTTAAACGTCCTGCCACTTAGTTGCTTTTAGGTTGCTTCAAATATGAGTGGTTTTGAAGCGTGATGGTGGAATATTGAACAAAGAAATGCTCTGCCTGTAGTTCCTGTTTGTTTTCCACTTCGTTTCTGACTAGTGTGTTTCTGACTAGTGTGTCGTGTCTCCGTGTTAGGTATCCGACTCCATCACTCAACAGTCTTTTACGTTCATGACTAAATGCATAAAGAAGGCGATGGATATAAGAAGATCTAGGTATTTCTTTCTGATATAATTTACGTATTTTTCTAATTTTGGTCGAGAGACGGGAGATTCTAGCTCGAATTGTACTAGGTGATCTGTCGCGACGAATATTTCGGTGTTTGTGAACAATATGGCGGCCATGCATGATTATACTTCTTAATGACAAGTTGACAACCAATTTGTCACAACGTGAATGACATTCGTTTAGCAATTTGTTCAAAGATTCGACTTTAGTGTTTCCCGAATTCTTGTTTGGTAATAGTATGTCTAGTTCTAGTCCAGAGTTTTCACGATATTCATGATATTCGATCAAACAAACTGGAAACAAATGAAATCCAGCATTAGTAAAACAAACGAGATAGACATAGTTACCTAGGCCTCGATGCAATGGTTACGCATGCACAACGCAGAAATTCAATTCAATCAGTTTGATTTCACATACATTTAAACTGCGGTATCTCGGTTGGTCAACCCTGTACTCTCCTTTGTGTTCGTATCGTGTATCAATGTGAATATCATATGATGCGGTTTCAGAACCTTGGCATAAGCATAAACTTTGGCTTTCAGAATATAAATAGGCTTGGCTTTAAAGATATTGATTTGATCGGATACAATAATCAATGGCATATGATGGCATATAAGGCTTTCATAGCATACAAGGCTTTCATAGTATACAAGGCTTTCATGGCATACAAGGCTTAAATGATTCATGTGATCGTTGTCTGTAAACCCGTTTCGAAAGAGCTCGGCATCTTTTAGTGTAGGTTTACCACGATCAGTGTGTGCTAGTGTATGTAGAGTGAGCATATAAAACAAGACAAGACGAGAGGCCAGCATTATGATTACCTGTACGTATTTTCTCGAACGACAGACGTCTAGATTTCCTGCGCTATCAGCCATCAGCACAGCGAATCGTGTACGTGTTCTTTTATATGGGCGTGTATCGTGCATTGCAGTTTCATGCTTTTGGTTCGCACGACCCGAGTTCGAATCCCGGCGTCAACAAACTTTTTAAATTTTTATTTCAGTAAAATATTTCAATTTTTTCGATTACTAGGCTTAGGTTACTATTTGAGGTGTGCTTAGCCCGAAAATATTTCGATACGAAATCAGGAGAGTTCAAAATACGAGTATCGTAGTTGGCCTGCGCAGCCAGGAAGACGTAAAAATATAAAAAAAAAACAAAAAAAAACCCGACGGCAATTCCAGACTGCGTTCGCGCATTACGCGACACAGTAAAAACTGCTAGTGATCATCCGTCAACCGACAAACATCCAAGTTTGAAAGTGGCCAGCCCGCAAGCGGGCTTCAAATGGGCAAAGTTATCACCAATATAAAAATAAGTGCGCTAAGCGTGCATGTATCTGCGTGGGGCAAGCAGGTTAGGGACGTTAAGCATATAGGACGGCAACACAAACATGGCGGCTATCGATTAAATGGTTTGCTAGAAAGACACAAATAATTAAAGACGTATGAGAGTTTCATACGTTTTCACGTCTTTTAGGTTTTCACGTCTTGTGTACGACGTCTGCGTTTCAAGACATAGCGAACGTTTAGCCGATTTTCCACTGGCGATAATTTTTGCGCGAACCGAATTTATTCCAAATATAATTAGTGTCAACAATTTATAGCAAGTGAATTTTTATAGTAACTTTTTAGAATTTACTACCAAATGAGGTAATCCATACCAATACTATCAGGGGTGGATCCAGGGGTGGATCCAGCGCTATAGGGCACCCAATTTGCATTACAAAACAAAGTGGTTATTTTAAGCAGTTTTCTTGTGTCATGCAAGCAGTGTACTAGTGCTGGATCCACATTCTGAATACCATTGCTGATAGGATTATCCTTTATAGTCCACATTATATCACAGGTGAAAAGTATTAATGAAATGAGACAGAATATAATGTTAATACAACCTGACACAGTTAAAAACTTGTTCATTTTAATTCAATGGGCAGGAGTATAATTGCTGAATCATTTTCAGTGGAAAAGAATGTAGCCTTATAGATCACAATTGGAATCTGCAGAAACTGCAGACAATGCATGTTGAAACGCGGCAGGAAATTTCAGTTCCAGTTTTAGAATTGTGTTGTATAAATACTGGAATTGCATGGGGAGTTAAAATTTATTTAGATAAATAACTTTAAAAATTGGTTATAGCTATGGTACTAACATAACTTATACATGTTGCTATTTTGTTTTATTGGTGACTTTATGCATGGTAATATTTGGATACTTATTGGACTAAAATAGCAACTAATGTTGATATTTGTTTCATTGGTGGTCTAAGGAAATGTTTGGATAAATAACTGAAAATGTTATGGTTATATGACAATTGACTAAAGTGGTGTTTACACTACAACCCTAGGTGTACCTTCCGACTAGGTTTTTGCAATTTTATTAAAGCACATTTCAGCCTGTCCTGGACCAGGGAATCTCGATCACCTCTTCTTTTGGTTCCAGATTTCCTAAGCTAGATCTCACCAAAATGAATTTTGACTAAAAAAATCAACTCCAAAGCTGGATGTAGAGCATGCCTAGGCTCGTGGTGTAAACACTTTTTAAAGTCACAGCTCATGCTGGTATTTCATTTCATAGGTGACTTGGTGCATAATATTATTATTAATATCAGGATAAATATGATTATTATGCATTACTAATGCAAATCTCGATTGTGATTGGTTAAAAACCTACATATAATTCTTAATGTTTTTCCACCTACACGACATTGAAAATTATCTGTAAGTAAAGTGACGTAATTTTTTGCCGCTATAGTTTGTTGTCAATAGTGATGCAGTACTGATTGTAGTTGCCTGCTTACAAACAGAATTTCAATTGGCAGGAAATGAAAAAGCAGGCTTCTTAAAAATTCTAGAGGTTCGAATAAGACAAATTCATCTTCAAATTAAGGCAGGTTTTATAAGAAAAACTCTAGAGGTTCATAGGGTCTTAATTTTTGAGACAAATACACCATTATTATATGCCTAGCTTATTTCTTTTGGGATGTTCAACAAGTATTCAGCGAGATAAATATTTCTGAATCAATGTGGAAATTAACGTAATATGATAATTATAAATGTTAACGACATGGTTAGGTGCGTAAAATACATTATAAAATTGTCTCTAAATAATTTTATGCTTCAATGTTGTTTAAGTAAATTCAATAATATGAAACCAGATAACATACATATTTCGCTCGACCGTCGAGATCCCGGGCAAATAAAGTAAAATAGTTGAACGAATACCAGCTTACCTAACTCTTATGATTTATTTCAACATTATTTTTTAAGCGAATTTTGCAATATAGTAGCAATTAAAAATCCAAATTCACCTTTCGGTTTTCGCTGCGGCAGTTTTTTATCCACAGACAATGATTCAACGGTTTTGTTAATGAAAATAATATACGGATCTAAAACGTTGGTCGATTGGCTGCTGTTTAAGTACGTCGTCCGCCCTCATTGGCTGCGAACAACAAAACTAACCTAAAAAACTTTCAAACCCGATAGCAATGTATCTGCGCAGATATACAAAAACATGCCGCCCCTATCCGTTCAACCCTTTGGGCTGTTGTAGTAAATACATTTGAAAAAAACGTATTTGTGTACAGTCCAAAAATATTTAAATAATTTCCTCTCGCCGGTGATTGTTTTAGCCTTTCCTGAGGGTATTTTTAATAGAATGCTACAGTAAATTAACTGCCTTGGGTTATTAAGGCGTTGACTGGGAAACGTCAGTGAAATAAAGTTTTAGCATGTCTGTCAAGGCATGACAGCTAACCCCAAATATGTCACTGGACAAAGATATTATTGGGGAAAGGAATTGAGTAATTGCATGGAATAGAATTTCCAGTAAATCCTTTTAGTTAACGCTTATAGCCTATAGGTATGTAATCCATTTCGGTAGCGGCAACGAGGCTACATTAAAGTTGTATCCGGGAGAAAAAATCTGAACGGTTGGGAGATGTTCTTTAATATCTATAGCCCTTCAAACTTTCTAGTAAACCTATTCATCGTATACTTTACAAATATATGGCGTTTATTTATGATGATGAATGGGATATTGATCTATAATAGAAATTCACTAGGATCTCTAGGACCGTCAGTTACGCGGCAACCATGGAACGTGGTTTATCACTGTAAAAATATTTATTTTTGCATTTCGTAGGCGAAAGTAACGCAGCTGAAAAGCCCAAATGCTACGAGTCTCATGAAAACGACGGTACTTGCACAGGTATGTTCAAAAGAAGAATTGAAAATCATTCATAGCATGCAGTATTAATTATAATTCAAGTTATTTCTTTCAAAACGTGTAAAGATCCGTGCTCTTCAAACCCCTGTAAACCTGGGCCCAGAGAATGTAAACGTGATGAAGGAACACGTGAAGGTTACAAATGTGTGTGTCCAAAATATACACTTGGCAAAGAGTGTGAATTCTCAGGTAAGCAACTTGTTTTGAAATGTACAAATTGCAATTCGCGAGCATTAATAACTAAATTCACGTAGGGTTTCCACAAACGAAGGTCCAAAATTATACATTGCCATGCAATCTTTCAAAGACCTTATGTGTGACCATAATTTATCATTATAATAATTATTTAAATGAACATGCACTTCAGTAACTCGTCCAGTTATTCCTCGAATCTATTTTAGCCTTTTTAAATTATTAATAAGATTTTCAAAGTAGCCAGATATTAAAAAAGGATAATTTGGAGGAAATATCGAAAGTGAAAAGACAAGGAAGAAAATATCATCGGCTCTACAACAGAAACGTCATATCATATTGCTCCTGAGTCCTGCCACAGCTGCATAGTAACGCAACGTCTAAATAATTTACAAATCGTCAAATTATCGCTAGGAATATGCCACCATGCACAACATCGTTCTAGGGCGTACCATCTACAGTATAACATTGTGTTTTGCCAGGCATTGTTTCTAATGTTTCTACCCTTTTTACGTATTTACATTTACATAGGTCCATGCGTGTCAACGCCATGTCAGCATGGCGGAGAATGTATTCAAGTTGAGGATGCTGGAATGTATCGGTGTAACTGCACAAATACGAAATTTATTGGTTATTTTTGCGAATTTAAAGGTAACGCGTTTTATTTTCTGTTGAAAAAATTGAGGTGTTGGACAGCACGAGTAATGTAGTAAAAAGCATAAAAAAATTTGCCATCCAATAGACAACCGATATTGTGTTTGAAATGTTCGGTGAATCGCGGTTAAATGGACACAATGTGGACTTGGTTAGGATGGCCGGTGAATCTAAAAGACGAAACCGCAACTGATGTTTCATGAATTGTTAAGATTTTGACCCTACAGAAGCTTGAATTGCGTCAAAAAATCTCTAGTTTCTAGGTTACACGAAACCCAAGATATGAATATATATAAAACTGGCTGAGGGTCAGGAGATGTTTACGTATGCATGGATAAAATAATTAATATTCCTACAGGTCCGTTTACACCTGCAATTTTTGCGCGATTTTATGTGCGATTTTCTTCTTTCAATAGTTGTGGACAAGTGATTTAGTTACTGTTGTTTAAATAAGAGCTTTTATACATCAGAGCATGCGTGACTAATTAGTATCTATCGAAACATCTATCAAAAGAAGAAAATCGCACATAAAATCGCAGATGTAAACGGACCTGTGGGAATATTAATTATTTTATTTACATTAATTTACTGCGACAGAATTTAGAGAGAGGTAAATTAGTGCAGAGTTTCCGAAATGCATGTATAGGATAACATGCGTGTGTTCTAATAAGCAAAAAAGTTGAGCTGTCAAATTCCCATGCATCTCTCAAATGTTGAATTAGAATGATTGCCAGTTGCAAGAAAAATTTCATCGTAAAACACAGCCTTAACTGCAAAATTAACTTTTTTGTTACAACAACATTTGACACAAACCGATGTATTATAAATTTAGACCCCTGCGTGAGCAGACCCTGCCAAAACGGAGCCACGTGTCATGCGGACCCCAATACAGGAGGTTACACGTGTGAATGCAAGCCTGGCTTCATCGGACCAGCGTGCGGTGATAAAGGTATACGAATTGAGATCTATACAAAAATACTTGGTGAACATTATATCAGTTGCCAAAATCTTCGATTTTGCGAAAATTGGCAATATCTTTGAAAATATTGAATTAACTAAAAAAAAGTCAAAAAAATTGGAGAACGTCAATTTAATTTTGATATCATATGTCCACTGAAGCTAAAACATTGATAACTATTTGGTCATTTTTTTTGCTAGGCGGAGGGAGAAGTCCCTTTTCATCCAATAATTTCAGTCAATTGCATGCTGGTTTCGGAATTTCGAATGGACCTTTTGCATAATAGACCAACTTTTGATTTTGGCAACAAAAAGGGAATTTCCGAAAGGAGCATACTAAACTTAGTAAAATGGTCAAGTTTCGCTGCAAAATATTGTAAAGTGCTGAAATTTTGTGTCCTTTTTTACTACGCGTACGACAGGAAGCTTGTAAATAATTTGTTACACTCTTCCGGCCGTAGTAAAAAAGTATACACACTTCGCATGGCTATATTTTCCGTACTACTTGACATTTTGCAGCCAATCTTGGCAATTATACTAATTTTGGTATGCTCTTTTTTGCTGTGGTGATTTATTTCCTCCTTTTTACCTACGTTGTAAGTTTGTCTATTATGCAAAAGGTCCATTGTTGTATCAGGGAATTGAAAACGTCGACCATCATACGTACGCGTATAGAACAAATGTAATCACCGAGATAGTTCAGATTTCATTTTTGTCGAAATGCTTACGATACCTTTTACTTAGATCAATGTTATCACAACCCCGGCATTTGCTCTGGTCATGGTTTATGCACATCGGATCCAAGTCAGAAAGTTCTGTGTATATGCGATGATGGATATAAAGGGAAATCCTGCCAGATACATGGTATTATTATTATTATTATTATTAAGTACTGCAAATAATTTTATGAACGAAATTTATAATATTATTAAACAATTTTCCCTAAGAATTTACTACAATTTAACATGTGAAGATTCTAATTTTGATATTTACATGCATGTAGCTACAATTTTTGTTTTTTCAAATATTTCGTATCCCGATTTGGTGGGGTTTTTTTTCTACCAATCATATGTGATTAGAAAGTTATAAACGTTTGGCAGCTGAACATATCCGACTTCCAGTGGCGTATCCAACTTGACGATTTAATCCTGCTATGCAAATTTTAGGTTAGGCTATTATAATTTTTCATTTCTTTAGAAATTCACTGTTTTCACAATCAGTGAACACCAAAATAAATTATTAGCATAGCATGCATGATTAATTTGTCGGGCTGGCTACGTCACTGCGGATTACATAAGACTTTTTATGTTTTTGTAGCGATATTTGATTTTGAAATGATTTATTTTGTTTTTTTTGAAGTACCGGAAATGGATGCCTTCTCGTCAAAAGCAGTGTTTAAACTAGAGCCCTATACCTGACCTAAGACTTACTTAAGCATGCAGTTAGTCCTGTAGTGTAAACGCACTACGACTGACCTAAGACAGACCTAGGATCGACCTAATAGTATGGTCAAAAGCGAAAGTCCCATGACCAACCTTCGGCTAGTAAAGTTTGATTATTTATATTCGTTTATTATTGTATTCTGCTCAAAATAAGCTTCTATGCCGGTCTGCAAACGATGAGGGCAAATAAGTAAAGCAAAAAGTTTAAAAGCTGTCATTTGCTGCTATTAAAAAGTCCGCCATGTTTATTTTTAATACTCTTCTCCAAGTACTTTATGTTGCGTGTATGAATACGTCCCGTTAGCAAGGAAACTTGTGTAAACACACCCTGTAAAGCCTGGTTAGGTACTTCTCAGGTACGGGTAAATGTCAGGTAAATGTCAGCCCCTTAGTGTAAACACGGCTAAAGTCAACTAAATAAACTATGCATGTCACTTTAGTTCAAAACTGCAACAGTAATCCTTGTAAACCGGGAAATTGTAGTATGGCTGGCTCGAAAGTGAACTGTTCTTGTGGAGACTATCATTCAGGAGAATATTGCGAGCATAAAGGTAACTTCCTAAATTCTCTCAGGGGCTGTTTACATGAACCCGGTTACCCGAGATTCCACGAAGCGTGAGATGATTTTGAGGTATTGAAATGAGCAGATAACATGATCCTGGCAGTCATATAATCACAACAACAATAGCATGTGCTTGTTTGGTATCATAAAAACTTATTTCAATACCTCAAAGTCCTCTCACGCTTCGTTCAATCTCGGGTAACCGGCTCATGTAAACAGCCCCTTAGTTCTAGAACACTTGCTGTGGTAATGCAGAGATTCTCGTGCACCGAAGTCTTCATTAACATAAAAGGAGCGGAGATCATAAGAGCTGTATAGTGTATAGGAAGCATAAGAGCTGTATAGGGAGCATAAAAGCTGTATAGGGACTTCGTGTTGGCGAATGCGTCTGATTAATTACAATTCACATTGTGAGGAATGGCAAAAAATTGATGACTCATACCTAGATCGATGACTCCTAGCTTTAGTGTGACCCGGCTGTTGTAGCAAATCCAAGATGAGCTAGAATAAAATAACTATAAATGATTTTTCGCGGTTCTTCCAGTTGTTTTATTTCCAAATTGCGGTCAAGTTGTGTATGAAAGAGAAACGTATAGCAAAGATGTTTAGCCTATATTTGGGTAAATTGATGATTGGGTGAATTTAGGGGAAATTATGAAATATCGTGGAATTAACTTTCGATACTGGCCCCTGTGAAATGGTCAATTAATCAATCCAAGGTTTTTTGCAGGATACGCTGTTTAATGCATCTTTAAGATTATTAAAGTGTTTATTGAATGGATTTTCGTCCATCTGTTGTACTCAGTACTGCATGCATATCTTTATTACATAAAAGAGTATATCTGACAATAATAACTAACTAATAACAAATGCACGAAAAGGATCTCTTTCCCACTGCGAAAGGATCGCTTTCGCACAGTTTCGAAATAATGTGGAGGAACCGCAAAAAATCTCATTAATTTTCTGGATAACAATCAATACTTATTTTACCCCAGATGGCGCACTGTTATTTTCAGGGTGTTATTTTAACACTAAAAACAGGGGTTACGAGATTTAATGGAAAATAATTCTTTTTAGGGGGTTACAAATAACACCGTTTCTGGAGTTCAATTTTAATCCTCATTTTGGGGTTACATTTAACTCTTATTTTAGAGTTAAAATAACCCCGTTTTCGG